ACAACACGTTCCGGAATAACGATGAAATCCGGAGCCCAACAGGGCCGGATTTAGGGGGTGACCACATGGGCCGCGGCCCATGGCGGCAAATTTAGGGGGCGGGAAATTTTGCAATTTTTTTAAAAGTAGGTATAAAAAAATCGGATTCAGAAAAAAAATTACAAACGAAAAAAGCGACCAAATCTCTCATTTCCTGAGAGTACATTAATTTCCAATTTTGCCGTCTTTCGGTGATACAAGAGACAGCATCTTTAATTAGTCAAGTTGAGAGAGAAACCAAACGGGCACGGAGCGGTGCGTGGCGCAGAGAGCAATGTTGACGAGGACTTGAGATGAAAAGAAGAAGCCCTCGGTGCGACTGTTGGCATGTAACACATATTAGCGCCTACAAGACTGAATGAATACTTCACGCATTGCGTTAAACGCGGTGCGGTCAGCAGCGGTCGGTCGGCGTGAAACGCATGGCGCCTACAAGACTGTAGGAATACTTCAAGCAAGGCGCCAAATACAGTGCGGTCAGCGCGGCGATGCGGCGGAAGTTAAAATTATTAAACCACATTTATGTTTGTTCTTTCATAATTTTTTCGTTCATTTCTCATAAATGGAAGGCCTTGCCCACATAGAGATAGGTTTACGGAACTTAACTTTCGCGAAAAGTTCCGTGAAGTTATGCTGGTTGTGATGACAGGGCTTTCGGGAAAAATGTGTTCGACACGAGTAAATGCGTCTTATGCACCTCTCCCTCACAGGCACGTTCATTTGATGGTTTTAATTGATGTTTCAAAACGAATTAGAAGGGGGCGGCAAATAGGTAGGTAAATCCGGCCCTGGATCCCGATCAATAACATGGAGAACTAAGGATACCGTGCCCGGCTTTTCCAGACTATTGATAGAGGGGACTTTTAAATTCGCAAAAAAAGCTATCGCTCAAGTGGTAGATAAAGTGACTGCTAGACTGAATTACAATGCGATCGCTCATCTCTTCGCGCAAGTGCACTTCGAGCTGAATGAAGTTGAAATGGATCGGACACGTCATGTCGGGATCACAAGTACTGTAAAAACCTTGCTGACGACAAACAAGGAAGAACAGAAAGGTCTGAAAATTGCGGGGTGGGATTTTCCCATCCTTATAGGTGAAAATTCCTACGCATCCGCTCCACTCTCCATGCTTCTCGGATTTGCTCGTGATTTCAAAGATGTTCTGGTTCGAGCACAATTTGAGCCCAAGGAAAAGGTGACAGCACAACAAGGCCGCAAAATGAAAATCCTGAGTTTTCATTTTTTCTCCAAATTGCAAAGAACAACACAGGTCAGCATTTAGGGCGTCAAGGTAAACTTATTCTAACGTAGTTTTAAGCGTTGAATTCGGAAATGGCCTCAGTTTTTTCCTTGCGCCTACTAATTTTCCGGAAATTTGGGATTTCAGAAAAAATCTGTGCATGCTAGAGACGAACCAAAGTCATTTTTAGATTTAACAGCTCAAAATACATAGATATGTTTGCTTATATGCTCAACAAATATTCTCCGCTGTGTCTGATAGCGTGGATTTTCCAGTCAAAAGTCATAGTCCGCCCATATAATCCCATGTAAAACTGGTCCGTTTAGTTAGCATCTAAAAAAAACGGGAAATTATGTTTTTCAGGCCTTTACTGGGGGCTCTTCCCACCCAATTTTTGCTGCTGAAGCTATAAATGGCCTTAGATTTATTCCATGATCCACCAATTTGCTTGAGAATCAAATTTTCCAGAAAAAAGTTAAGTGCCCAAAAAAATGTGTTTTTGACATTTTTTTAAAACAAGATGTCTTTTCTTTAGGTATACAAACAACAAAATTGATGTCTCTGTTGACTATCCACATCACATTTGTATTTACTTCTAAAAACAGAAGCAGAGTAGCTTTTGGAATTTAACTTTATTTAAACATTGAATGATAGCTGGCCTACCTACCCCATTGATGATTATTACCCTAACATTCACAACAGCACCACACATTCTAATAACAGTGAATCTCAAATGAATTAAGTAGACAGGAAAAGTACACAAGAGAAACTTAGGGATGTTCGAAACTTGCATAAAAATTACCTTTTCATGAAGTAAGAGTTCCAAGTTCTTCCTATTTTGGAGGTGGTCCAAAGAGTGCTGAGTGATGATTGGGCAGCTATGGAACCGTGTCAAGTTTCCTTTTGTTGGAGCGCTGAACATTGTTAATTCTCACTTTGCAAAAATTGTTCATAAATATGTTTGACAAAGTGTGAACTGCTCTGCTAAGAATTTTTCCAGTTGTCTTCCCACATGCAGGACAAGCCTCGTCTAAGTCCAGTGCAAACTGTAATTTATGCAATGACAGCTTCTTTAATAAACCGCGTTGACTTGGGATGTTCAAAAATTTTTCTTCGAATTCAGCCAAGATTAATACTTGGAAAATACAGTAAATTATGCATGTGACATCATAGATGATCATAAAAGCTTGAATTTTGTTGGCACCTAATGCATTTTCTGTTGTACCAGTGACTTTCCCTCCTTTGTACTCAACCTTAGAGTCTGTATGGATTTCATCGAGCAGTAAATTGACTATTGCATCCCTGTCATTCTCTAGGCTTTCAATCTTGGCAGAAAGATACTTGACTTGCTCATTACTGAGGCCTACCTCTGATTTCAGAGATCCTGTCAATATTTTGATATGTGATGGGTGCGGAAGTGTTATAATACCATCATTTCTTAACGTTAAGTAAGCACTTGGGAACGACAAACAAATTGAGCTTGCCCAAAGCAAGAGGTTTGATGAGTACCTTGGACAAATAAATGTTAACAGTTTCATCTGCTCTAGTAAAAAAATTTAACTTGGCAAGTTTTGATGACTCAGTTTCAACCGAGGGGTTCCCTGGCGATGGAGTCCAGAGTTTTAAAATTAGTTCCGTTTGCTCAACCAAAGCTTGGATGTCATTTGCAAAACTGCTAATGTCTGTGGGAGAAATTGCATTCACATGACTCATGAGGCTTTCAAATGCAGTCCAATACTTCAGCTCATTACTTTTGCTAAGGAAACCTTTAAATCTTGAAGAGGGAAGGCAATTGTTTCTGAAATATACTTGCACTTAAAAATTACAAAAAATTTTGACGCTACACATTATTTCCGGGACATTGTTCAAACTAGTATTGACTTTAAAAAGCAAAATAAAGTCATTGTAGATCTTGTGATCAAATGTTGAGGATGCAACTTTGCTTTGAAACTTACTAAGGAAATCTGGAAAGTCTTTAATTTCATGGGTGATTTCACGATAACAGGAATAGTTAAAATGTGAAATACCTGATAAATAAAAGTGCACCAATTTTAACAGGATTTCATTACCTCATTCTAAAGGTATTAAACTTCCTTTTTCCAGCTTTGGCACGCTCTATTTTGATTCAGTGCAAAGTTAAAGTGATTGATAAACAAGCCATTGAATCAGGTATCAGCGCTTCCCGCGGGACTGCTGGAGGTCCACGCAAACATGGCGGCCCTGCCAAATTGTGTCGGTTACGTAACAGACACAGCGTAACCGACACTCAAAAATGTGAGATTAAAGATGATACAAAAGATGAAACTTGGCAATTCTTGAGTTATGAGGTGGAATTAATGCTGCCTTAAAAGTTTTCTAAACTTTGGAGACTTCGTTTTAGTTTAATACTATTAAATTGAGGTTTTTGCGTAGTGAGGAATTAGTGCTACACACGTAAAAATCACTGGTTTTCATAATAATTTAAGTTTTCATTGTAAAAAAAACTGACTTATCAGTAATGGTTTTGTCAAGAAGACTTCAGCGAACAATTTGATGGCAGTTTTGAAACTCCTGACTCTATCTGGCGAGATAAACACTGCACTTAATACAACTGCAAAAATTTGTTGCCAAATGTGGCGACACCTCTTTCTTATGACTTTTCTCGCTCAATAATAAACATTTCAGTTCAAACTGGCAACTTTCTTGAACACTAGAGTCTCTTTTCAGCAAATATTGCCAAAGAGTTCATGATCAGTACTGATATGTTACCGCAAATTGCTCTTTTGCTTCAAAATCGGGGTTGGCGACGCGTAACCGACCGGACATTTTCGGCCTTTAAAGTCTCATATTATTAAATATAATAATAATTCATCATATTTTTTAGCATGGATAGGTTCAGGGACATCATTCCTATTGATTAATTAATTTGGTTTTCAATCGTTTTGCCCTATGTCGTTAATAACCCACGGCGACACGACTATTCCTATTATCGTGAAATCACCCTCATCCGTAGCACACCCATTTTAGGTGATCACAAACACTTCCTACAGCACTTTTTCTGGAGGCTAACAAACTGTTGCTAATCCATTTCAGCACCACTTCCGTTGTCACGATAGATTTCAGAGAACACGAAATTCACTCACAAAGTACGACGAAAATAATCACAATTGAGTAACTGACCACGTGAGAGTCATGCTGTCATGCCGACCGAGGTGCATGTTTGATGCAACATCGCGAAAACCGCTCGATAATCTTGCCGAATTTGCTAAAATAAACGATGAACTGAACACGATGCCACATGAACACTTCCTGACACGATATGCGACCATTGAGAAAAAAAAAGACTTCTTCAAACTACTAGAAACGCGTTAAAATGAAATGCCAAATACGAGTACGAAATCCGACTTTCGGCAGCCACTCGAGAAACTAGCACCACTGTTGAAAATCGAAAACATAAACAACACTTGGGAAGTGAGGGGGGCCTCTATATCTCGGAGCCTGCGGTAAAACTTAAAAAAAAAATTCATATTTTTTCATTGGTTTACCCAAGGGTTGAAACCAGTTGAAACTTTGTAATCCGCCAATTGCGTGAAGTGGTGGACAACGTTAGCCAATGAGAGGCAGCTTTTTCTCTGCAATAGAAAGAACTGTACTGTCTTCCAGAGTTCCGACATCAGCGCTTGCCTGGCGCTAGCGCTACATTGCTTCCTCTTTGCTTGCTGCAGAGCTCCATTAATTGAGGTTATGTAGGTTATACCAAAATCTAGGTTGTTATGGTTGTTATCATAATGTGTTCTATTTCACATTAATAGTAATTTTTTCGCAAGTTTTCAGTTTTGATCCAATGACAATAACGAGGAGTTATGTATATTTTTGTGCTAGGCGTTTATGTGTTCACATCAATACTCTTTTTTAAGTATCCTACATTGATAAGGGAGAAAAAGAAATTGAAGTTTCAGTGTAAACATATTAGTCACCGAGGAGGTAATTATGTTCATTTTTTTCTAATAACTATTTACTTCTCTTCCACTTGGGAAGAACATGTTAATTTGCTAATCGAATTTCTTGACTGCATTTTCATCAAGGAGTCAGGGGTAATCGTTAGTATTCGAAGTCCCTAGCGGTGGAATCCTGACCTATAGGAAGCATAATCTCCCATAGGATGGATAATCTCTGAAACTGTTTATCTTGATTGCGTTGCCTCAGACGTTCCGCCCCTGCTTCACTGTTGAAGAGAAATGAGCCAACCTAGTAGTTTGAAGTGTTCCCTTTCTAGTGAAGGGGCCAAATCTCAGAAATTTTGAAGACATGATATTGATTAATTTTTAAGCCTAAGTTTATTAACTTCATTTTATCTCCTGCTCCTGATTCATGACCTCTGTACCAAGAATTGGCTTGATTTTGTTGCAGGTGCAGGAGAGTCTTTGGAAAATACTTTGACTGCTTTCAGACAGTAAGTATCATCTGGAAAAAGCATTCTACTTAACTCTCCAAAACTTCTCGCATTTCAATTTTAAAAACCAAAGCGCCTGCAATGTCATGCTGCTGTCAAATTGCTTCATTTCTGTCCGCTTCGATATGTAAGCTTTCAAAACAATTATCGTGTACTTAAGCAGGGGTGTATGAAGTACCAAGATGCCGGCTGCGTTAGCCGAAGCGTTTGACTTTAGCAGAGATGCCTGCTTGGCACAGAAGGCTAGGGTTGACAAAAAATTCTGTCCCAGATAATCAGTAAGCAGGAGCGTGTCACCGATGCGTCTCAACTCTCAGCTCTAGCAGATTAATTGCCTTATGTATTGGTGAATTCTCCAATGATGACACGTGATCGGCATTGCTCTGTGGTAAAGTGTTTGCCTCGTTTAATGGAAGTCCATGAATCGCGGCCTCATGAGGGCAACTTTTTAATGAAGTTTCTTAATTTCAATTGATGACATTTTTTAAAAAAATTTTTAGTGAAGTATTGATTCCTAGGATATTAAAACTTTCAAATAGGTCTATTAACCTTTTATATCAAAATTTTAGTGGTTTGGATGAGGGGACGCAAATGTTGGAATTGGACTGCCAGCTAACCAAGGATGGTCAAGTCGTCGTCCTGCATGACAGTAACCTTCTCCGTTTGACTGGTGTTGACAAAAATGTCAGCGATTTGGACTATTCAGATCTACCTCTCTTAAAAACAGACTTGCCCATTGAATTCGATCCTGGTGAGTTACTACTAATTTGTCAAACCAACTTGTCTGGCAGTTTAATATTTTAAATATGTTATGAATATTTTAAAATCCTCCATAGAAAAAAAAGGGACTACTTCTAATCGTCAACTTGATGTAGAAGAGCTAAAAGCTTTTACTTCAGAGTTTCCTTCATCATAGAAAATAAGATATCGAAACTCACCCATCGTATCTGTAAGAGTCAGAGCAGGGAGCAACAGGAAAGACGAAAAATATAAAGAAGCAAACAAATGAAAAATTCAAATAGTTACCTATTGTGCCCCGTTCGAGGAGAGAAGTTTTTGGTAATTGTTCATTGGAAAACAAATTGGAAGAATTACAAAAAAAACCAACAAATGGGAAAAGCCTAATTTCCTCCTTCATATTGTGCTCTTTTTCGGCAAGGCAGTACTTAGTCAGACTCCTCTAATTGATGTACTCATGTTTATTTATTTTGTCCTTATCTCTTTGTAATTACTCTCCATCGCTGATTTGAAATCCATTAAATTCATTCAAATTACTGTTAGAAAATTTTCTCACTATTTGTCATTTTAAATATACCCTTGATTTAATGGATTAAGTAAGTTTAATTATTTTTTTATTTCTCAGGAAACTTTTGCAGCAAACCAGACTGTCCAGACAGGAAAATCCCTCTGCTGTCCCAAGTATTTCAGGAATTCCCTAAAACTCCTATCAACATTGACATAAAACAGAACAACGACATTCTCATCAGTAAGGTGAATGAACTGATCATTCAGCATTGTCGGGAAGACTTAACAGTTTGGGGCAATCTCAGAGATGAAGTCGTCAAGAAGTGTTATAGTTTGGTATGTTTACTTATATTTTCCTTCTGTTTCAACTAGGCCTTTCATCATATATGATAAATGACCTGCATGTTTCTTGCAGCTGGGAGGAGTGCTTGAAAAGCCCTTTCATTGATATTCTCCAAAGAATTATATGCAAAAGAGTTGAGGAGTTTTATCCTGCAAAAAAAAGCAAAAAATGAGTAGAAATTTCTAATCACTGCAACTGAGGTCCATGGTTTGGTAATTTTAACATGGACACATAGTTGCTAATTAACTAGTTATTCGTACTATATCGATAGCTGAAGACAATAATGCATGTCTCATTTGCAACATTTAAAAACCTCCGGTTATTTTTTATTTTCCTCTAAAAAAAACTAATCGAAATTGTTCCTTCCAATTTTTTGTGATTATTTTGGAATGAATGAAAAAAAAATTCTCAGAAAATTTTCAATAGTAACAATCCATAAAAAGAACGCAAGCAGAGATATCCAACATCACAATCTGAGGTATGCATTTTTTAACTTTAGCCATCGATATTCAATATGCCATATTTTCAATCCATTAATCCTCCTATTTTCTTTTCAGAACAAGAATATTAATGTGTTCTTCTCTTTGCGGCAAGTCATATACCTAATTCTACTTTTCTACTCGGGGCTGCTGCCATTTGTGCCTCTAAAAGAAACACATCTAGAGATTTTCCTGCCATCTATATACCTCAGACGAATTCGCCTAGATGGTGGAGGACAGCTCTCGTTTTCACCTTTTCTCCTGCATGCTACCAATATTCTTTTGATGAAAAGAGCCTTGTTTAAGCACCTCAGCAAGCGTGGTATTCAAACCTACATCTGGGTCCTCAACGATGAAACTGACTTTCAGCAAGCGTTTCAACTTGGTGCAACAGGAGTCATGACCGACTATCCATCCAAACTCAGAGCTTTTTTGGAGAACTACGAAAACGAAAAAATCAAATGCTGTAAGTAAACAATAGACAGAGTCAGCCAATCTTGTTAATTTTGTGGGAGATCCTGCCAACACTTGAAGACACTTGAATTTTTTTAATTTTTTCCTGACCTTTTTTGCACTTGAAAAAACTTGAGTTCTGAGAAATTGATCAAGTGTACTGAACGAGGTTAAACTATCTTGAATATTGAACAAAAACCATCCCCTAAGTGCACGGAAAAATCAAGTTTGGAATAAAAAATACCTAATGATTAAAACATCTGAGTCAACTGAGTTTTTGATATCCAACCCCAATGCAGGCTGTGGAGTATGGTCGAATCTGCAGAGATGCCAAAAAGTGCTGTTGAAGTAATGCTTTTGTGTGAGAGCCATTCCTGTGATGAGAAAAATTCATTGTTTCAAATAACTATTTGGGCATTCTCTTTAATTCATTCATTTTCTTTTTCAAAGAATATACTTAATTTTGAAAGAAAAATCTCACTGCAAAAATACTTAAAAATTTTCAAAAATGGTAATTGATAATTTGAATCTAGGGTAGGTGGGGGTAATGGGCTGCACAGGATGATGTTCCACGCCTTCTCATCTTTGTCAAAAAAACATTCTGTTCATAAGAAAACTACGTTAGTTTTTGTGAGAATACAATCTGAATTTTTTCTTTTAGCCAGGGATGTTCATAATACAGTCCTTTGTTTTTAATTTCAGGAGTCAATTTAGGATGGACCTCCAGTCAAGAGGTTCTGTAGCAAGCCTCTTGAAGCTAGTGAAGAGACTCATATCTCAACTAAATGGAGACCCTTGGTCTTGATTTTGTGAGACTTGTTACTGCATCTTTACCACAGCAACCGCCAGAAGCCTTATGCATCATTTCCTTTTTTTTTACTTATATGGCTCAATTTTGACATTACTACTTGCAGCTTAGTTATGGAAGAAGTGTCAAAATTAATTCCTTTCACCGACATCTATCACTGCAATGTGGTTTCACTACTTTTAAAAAAGATATTTGCAACAACGAATAAAATTGGGAAAGACAAACGACCTGTCTCTAGAAACAATTCACATGTAGAGATTACATGGTATGTTCTAGGGGGATCACCTCTCGGCAAGAACAGCTCTTAAGAACTTTTAATCCCAAGAACTCGGTAACATGCAATAGTAATGGACCAATAGACAAGGTACGAATTTAAGCATTCTAATACATGTTCCTTGACCAGAATTTCACGTAGAACACGATTCGCGCAACGAAAATTACCGAAATCAACTCCTAACGAAGATATTAACGTTTATATTTCACATTGGTTACGAGGAGTTTGAACTGCCCGCTCACAAGAAACTCAAAGCTCTACGTGAGTCAAATAGTGCACTAGAACGGTTTCAGCAAACTTCTCAATCAAGCGATGTTCATTTCCCACCATGTGCTGTTCAAACTATAAACAACTTGCAATAGCTGAGCTAAAGCGTCAAGATTAATGTTGCCAGATTTTTATATAGCAGAGATTATCATGATAACGATTAGCGCGCGATGTGAGTCACGTAGAGCATTGAGTTTTCATGAGCGGGTGGTTTGAATTCACGCATCAAGAATCATTAAATGTCTTCATAACGAGTTGATTTCGGTAATTTTCGTTGTGCGCATCGTGTTCTACGTGAAATTCTGGTCAAGAAACATGTATTAGAATGCTTAAATTCGTACCTTGCCTATTGATCCATTGAGAGAGTCAAGATTTTATGTTCCTCCTCAAGTTTTAACCCTCTATCCTACCTTTGGAAAAAGGAAGTGCCATGGGTGACCCATTACTCATTACGATGATTTCAAAGTGTGGAGCTAGGTATAAATGTGCACGCCACTTTGCAATTTGAAAGCTTCTGGAATCGAATTCAATCTGTAACTTATAAGTTCAGACTTCCCTCATGGATTCTTTTGCTACCAACTCCTAATAATAGAAACAGCTCTTTTTTTGTCCTTATGCTAATTCTTGAAGTCGGCAAACTTTTAGCCCAATCGATTCGAATTTGCTAGTCAAAGTAACCAAAAAACTTGTGTATACTCTTACCCACCATAATTATTTTTCAAATTTGTTCAGTTTTCGTAGTTACTATAGGTTTCATTCTCCAACGTTAATTTTCAATTTAGTCATATGAATCATGCTTTTTTTTCCATTTGTGGAAGAAATTTTGACTGTGAAGTTTATTTTGACATTAGTGTTGTTAATCAGCAGGCCAATAAATTTACATATCGGTGGCTAAAGTTGAAAAATATGTACCTCAGATTGCAACATTATATGTCTCAGCTTTTGTTACATTCCCCAGGAAGAAAGCTAATCAACTGTTTCTACATATTGAAATTTATGAATTTTGTTGAGTCCTTGATAAAAATCACACAAAATGAAAACAAAACACAACCAAAGACTTTTAAACACTGCAATTGAGGTACGCTTTCTCATTAGCCATCATTATCCATGATATATTGATAAGTGGTGAAATATCTTGTAAGTTTTTGGGCTTTGGACCCCCCATGAGATGATTCTCTTTCATTCATGTTTCAGGACACTATTGATTTTCTTTGCAAATAATTTAAGGGGGAGGGGGGATGAATACTAAAGTAAGTAAACAAATTTTTAGAAAAGTAACTAAAATTTTGAATGTGAGTTTAAGGCTGTCATCTCAAGACTTCCGTGTCTCTAAAAATAGTTCAATCTTTAGCCAGTAACAGTATTAAAGCCTTATTCTCAACTACATCCTCGGTTTTATCGCAAATCACAGAGTTTATCTTCAAAACTTAAGTAGTCGGTTTGTAATGCGGGCAATTCTATTCCAAAATTATTTTATGTACATTTTCAAAACTTAAATAGAAATGTTAGCTTCTTTCCATAAGCATTATTGATCTCATTGTTAGCTAAGGCCTTAACTCTATTTCATCTATACGGAAGATGCATGTATTCCAAAACTCTTCTTTTTTTGTGAGAGTCTGTTGTTTTTTTTTTCACAGCTGAGAGAGGTCAAGTTCTCAAAGATTAAAGGAAAAGCACACCTCTTTATAGGAATTGTCATTCAATAAAAATTAAATTTGTTATTTGCTCTCCTTATTCTCGTAGAGCAAGCCTAATTAAATAAACAGATCAGGTTGTAACTTTTGTTGTCTTTTATCTTCTGCAAATGCTTTAAGAAAAACAGACTTTAAAAGATTCAAATGTGTCACACCAAAAACGACCCATCTCTGAGGAGTTTTCAATTCCTTGGGCTTATTTCTAAGACAAAAAAAGTAATGAAGAATTCTGGTGCCGTGATGATTTTGTCACATACCTGAAAAGATTTTCAAATAATTGATAACAATTTGCTCCTGGCTGTACTTATTTTGTCCTCCCAGAGTTTGACGATTCTCAAATGGAACGATTAAATTAATCAGAGTTTATCTTCTTGATTATTCTCACGACTAGCCCCCTTTTTGCATTCCTAAATTCAATTATCCTTGAACGCTATTTGAGATCGGAGTCGAAAAGACCATTAAAGATAAATTTTCCAGTTTCATGAAATCTCAATAAAAACGATTCTTAAAAGAGATGTGCTCTCTCTGTTCTGCTGAAAAAACTCTAAATTTTTAAATGCGATTGACATTTTTAAGTACCGAATTAAGTTCCAGGTTATGTATTTCTTTGTTGTAGTTCCTAGGCCAAGTTAGACTTGTTAAAACCAATACAATTTAATTAGTTACAACAAATGAACCTATCCATTTACTATCACTCACCAATTTTTTTGTCCTCACAGTCAGATTTGCTCATTTACCATCATTGTAACGTTCTGTGTACTTATCAGATTCTGCTATTAGACCCTTGTCTCATTTATAAAAAAACTGACATTTTATTTGTCCTCATTTTTTGATCTGAGAATCTGCAAAAGAAATGTGCATTGTTCCACCATTTTAATATCATCATTGGTAGGTATGAAGCGTAAAACAAATTTTGTATCTTTCAAGATTTCTCTGTACAAGCTTTTAAATTGTGGCACATAAAAAGTGTTGGGGCTTAAGGTGATATTACCGGTATTTGACAAGTTTCCTATCTTGCCCAATTACTGAAATAGAAATGACTCGTGGAAATTTTCTTTTCAAGTGCTCCAAAAAACAAAATATTATAGATTTACCTGACCTAATAATTTGCAATTCTTTCCAAGCAATCTCAGCTAGAACAACAAGATTTTCTTTTCAGGATTCTCATGTCAAATCATGTCTTCAGAATAAGTATTGATTTTAAACCAAAGTTTTGTTCTAATTACCAAAAGTACTTTAACTGGTTATAGGACATTTTACGTGTGAAGTATGACGTCTGACTGTACTGTTGCTTTGAACTTTTCACTTTGTTCCTCATCTTTAAGTAACACTTGTTAAATAACTGTTTTTAAGTTGCTTGTAAGAGAAAAAATTACCCTTATTATGTTATTTAAATTACATTTTACCTTTTTTCAACAGTTTAAATTTTGATTTTTTTTTTTTTTTTTTTTTTTTTTTTTTTTTTTTAATTTTCTTCACATTATCAAGTTATTTGCCTCTTGTATCCTCTACTTTAGCAAGGGGTATGATGTTACATCATTAATCTGACAATTTCAGGCCATAAATATGGCAGATTAGAATTTTGAATAGCTTTTTCTTGGAACTATGTTTTTTGAACTGGGAACCTGAACCATGATAACCACAGTCACGTTTAATTTTTTTGGCAGAATTCTGTCCCAAAATTTTTTAGGCAACTTCTCTACAGTTATGTGTCAACGAATTCAATTTTTAGTGCTTGTGATCTAAAATTCCATTCCCTAAAGACAATCACAGTTCTCAAAATGAACAGAAGAAGAAATATAAGGGAAACTCCTGCCAAAAGAAATATCTCAGAATTGAAAAAATAAACATTAATATATATTTTTGCTAATTTAATACACATTAACAGAAATACTTATGAATTTGAGTAACATGAGCATGAACATGATTAAAATCATTATCTACAATGATCTGAAAATACAGTACAATGCCCAAGAGGGACCAAAACATAACGGTGGCTACAAGGAATAAAATCATATCTATTCAAGCTTAAAGCTAAAACAATTCAGTGAAAGATCGACTGAAACGGAAACAACCATTGCCTCTGTTTTGTTTCTTCCGAGAGTCTGTTACAGGGAAAATGTTAGACTAACATAAGAATGAACCAGAAAACTATTAACAGAGAATTGAACCCAAGTACAAGTGAGTCAGTCTGGTTAGACTGATTCAGTTTCATGGAGCGGTTTACATAAGTCCGAATGCTCCAACTTCAAACTGACTAGACTAAATTAGTCTGTTGTCAGGGTAACGTCAGGTTGACGTCAGCCTGAATCAGTAAAAATGATGCCAGACTCATTGTCAGTCCGACCAACTTTTACTACAAGATAAATACCTTGTTTCTCGCTATCTAAAAGGGGTCTCAATTATGGGAGATTTTCCACGTTTCAGGACTACAGCATTAATCAATCTTTCCATTGAAACCGTTTCTCCCATTATAACCGGAATAACTGGAACTTAAAGATTCTTGGGGCACAATTAACGTACTGACAAAATTAAGTTGTTTTTTAAAAAAAAATAAAAAAACCTAACAATTTTGATGTCATGTCTCTTTGAAGATACTTCAATTATGGAGAAAAGAATCACACAGCGATGGCCACAAAGCTAAAGCCATATACCTCCATCGTGTTTCAGAATTTCCGCTCCTATTTTATTCTTTGGAAGAGAAACAAGTCAACTTCATAGCTTGAGACTTCAACAGAATACTCTGCTAACAGAGAAGAAAGTTTTCAAGGATTATTGTAACAAGTTTGCCAAAGAAAAATTAGTGTATGACAGAAAGTCTGCAGCTTCACAAACGGAGAGACATGGCTTCGCACTATGTCCATCGATAATTAAAATTGGTATGCTCATGACCTCCTTAAATGTGAAGTAAAAAAAAACCAAGTCAGAGGGGAAGAATAAGTATAGGGTCATTTTGACAAAACAAAAAATAAAAAGGCAAGTTAATCCTGCTTTATTAGTTCAGAACTCTCCAAAGATTGAAAACTTATTGACTGCTGCCTTTGAAAGTAAAAGAGATCTAGATATCTGCTTTCTGCAAAAAGCAACCTCCCACCTTCAAAATTGTTCGCACAAAATATAAAAACATAATGTAGAAACTTGCATTTTTCGCTTCCCCCTCACAATTTTCAAATTAATATTTTTGAAAATAACTATTGGACATGCATCACTTGGGTAGTTTTTCAGAATATTATCATTCTATCAAAACAAGCCCGTTTAACGTGAATTTTTTCTTTTAAAAAAATGTTTGACATCTTACCTACGAATTCAATGGATATCTTTCATACTACACGTTCGCAGTGTAACTACTTTCACTCAAATACAATCTTAATGAGCAATATGGTAGTGCCATCAATTTTTTTCTGAGACGAACGTCCAAGCTCAAAAAAAGCTCTTAAAGTTTAAGTCGTAATGGAGGGGATCGCATACTTTACGGTGAGAGTATATCTCTATAATCCTATCAAACTCTCCAATTTATAACAACATCGGATTACACCCATGATTCCTTCGAACCCGAACTACCACTCTAACAAATCCCATGTTCAATATAGAACCATTAAATAGGCCATCGAAATTGAAGGATTGGGTTTTTATTCTGATTTTTATCAGAACGGTGCTCTCAGACGCTCCGGTCCTTACTGGACCCAGAGCCCCCTGCGACTAAATTGCACACACGACCCCAACTTCCAAGGCGTCGAAAATTACATCTTTAATCAGTACTTTACTGGTCAGCCAGATAGTCTTCTTGAAAAGCTATCCTTCTAGTCTTAATGGTCAATTTGAGTATGTTATTCCTGCTATTTATATAATTTGTTCCTATTTCGTCTTACTCAAAATACTCATTCCTATTTTTTGCTTATAAACTCTTAATTTATATTTTAAGTCTTTGAGGTCAGGATAAGTTAGTTTTAGTACTTTCTTTTGTTACTTTATTTATAATTAAATAAGAATTCCTTTATTTATTAATGAAAAAAAATATAAAACCAAAAAAAAACCCGATTTGAAATAAAAGTTACACTTGTCATTTGCATGACTTTCAAATGCTAATGGGCGAAAATTAATAAAGAAATTGACGTTTGTTTCACTTTGTTTGAGGACAGCAAGGCTGGAACCAAGGGAATTCTGCTAATGTTTTTGCTGACTATCTGTGCATGGAGATTTAGACTGGGTTTAGTGGTAGACTTCCACCGAAACATGTGCAAAACCCTTCATTACAACCTCAACTTCGAGAGCTTATTCTCAGCTTGGGTGTTCATTTCAGAAAATACTAGTAGCACAGTTGTGTTTCTCTTACAATTTTACAAAAGAAAAATGCTTAAATCGCAAATTAATGTGGCATGCAAAAGCTTCATTCTTTGGGTGCATGAATGCTTTGAGATTTTTCTCCAACAACTGAAGTACATTTAAACAGAGTTACAAATTCTCGTGTCCTGAAAATAATCAAGGCCTCACATCTAATATGCAAGAAAAAAGACCTCACAGAACTTTGGGTTGCATGATTGGCCATAGATAGGAATACGGTTTCAAATTAAAATTGCTCAAATTTTAAGGCCACCCTAGTTTTATAAATGCAACAAGAGGTCAAAGCTAAAACTTAATTTTACTAAAACAGCCAACATTTAAATTTTTAGTTTTCTTACGTAAGACAATTTTTGCTTGCATCCAGAAGAAACAACGGACACCAGAACAAAGAAATAATATTTGAAACGTTGATAAAAGAATACACATGGATGAATATTTTTATTTTTTTTTTTTGCAGAAAGCCTTCTCTTATGGGAAACTTTTCTTAACAGATTGACCATTCTAACTTTCCAAATTGATACATAAAACCAACAATACAACATATCGATGGCTTCAATTGAAAAATATGTAGCTCAGAGTGCGATGATGTGAGTCTCAGCTCATGTTCCATCTTTAAAAGGAAAACTTAAACTTAATCAACAGTTTTAACTGAAATTTTCTACTAAGGACTATGCACTTAATACCAAGGGATTTGGCGGTGGCTACATTTTGAGATTTGATGATGATATTCTTCATAATCTCCTCAGTAAGATGAGCTTTTAAAAGGAACTTCCTATGTGCTAATTTCAAGAAAATAGATTCTGAAAAGTGCGTTTTTAACAGGTATACACGCTTAATGCTCATGGGATTTGTGACAAAAAATGCTTTAAAAAAACACAGAAAATACATAAGTATAATTTTCACCTATGTCGTTGGACACCTCTAAAAGAAATTCTGAGGCACGAAAGAAATGAAAGCTATGTAAAATGTAACCACATATCTATTCATTCCATTATGTAAAGTGTGGGTATGGAAACTCACCTTAATGATGTACGTGGAAAGATAAAATTTTCATCATAATCAAGGTAAAATTTGAACTGCAGTTCATAGAAATATATTATGGAAAGGAAGTAAAATGCAAAATGAGTATTTATGAGCATTTGTAGAGGATGATAGTTGCAAAATGTGTGAAAAATAAATACTTATTTGGTAAATGTTGCGTAAACTTTCCAAGGGAAAGGCGAAAAATAGTATGTTTTTAACATTCAAAATAACCGCTGAATATTACCTGAATTTTCTTTTCTCTTTTGCAACATGGTGACTTAAGAACGTTTTGAATAAAAAATAACCAAGTCTGTCACAGTAGGGGTATTTTTTTTTCTCTCTTTTTCTAATTTTTTCTTTAAAGCCAACTTTTCACCCATTTTTTAGGGTTAATGAAGGTGAGATTATATGTAGACAAAAAAGAATAGATTGTTCAAAAGCTTTAAAGTTGCTAACATTTACAAAATCAGTTGAGGAATGGTGGGCTAATGGATGGTCTTATCTAATATGCATTTTATGGTTTTTTTGTGGCAAAATGACCTAAATTTGTGGCAAAAATTACACTTCTATCATGTAATTTTAGATGTTACTTTCTCACGAATTATTCACTTCTCTTGATAGAGTTTACACTTTCAACTTTCAAATGCCGATAGGGTATATATCTGGCATCAGCAAAGTTGTCCTTCATTTTTTCCTCCAACGATTTGAAAGACTTCTTGAAAATCCACCATTAAAAAGCCCTGAATAGTGTATAGGAGACTTCAGCGTTTTTTATGAAGCTAGAATGAGAGAAACTCATCCTTATGAGATAATTCCTGAGAATAGAATTGCTCTGCGTTTTGAAATTGTGCGATTTTCCAGCAAGGGGAATAAGACCAATAATTAGAAATACCCATGACACCAGATTACTGCAGTTTTGATACATGATAATGTTTTGATTAATTAACAAGAGGTTTTATCGTACCATTTCATCAGCTTCAGAAGAGCCGTTATGGAAATATATGAGAGAAATCATAAAATAGAATTCTGGTGTCCGCATTGAGTGTATCTCACTTACTAGTGTGGAGAATTTGCTCCTTGATCTCAGCTATACTTTTGATCGTTTGTTCTGGGAGTACGATTGAGTAGTTATCTTGCATCATCTCCCGTTGTTCCTTCCACCGGTAAAATATATCCAAGTACTCAGTCATCTTCTCCAAATTCATTGAGTGTTCATAGAGATTGATCAGTCCTTTGAAATCGTAACCGAGTCCTGAATAGGTATCTCCGAACACCTTGGAATCTGTTGTCATAATTAAACTGAGTGAGCATCAAGACAACACATAAACTACGCAATATGAGGGGTTATCTACTTGAAATACTTTTCGTCTGCACAGGTGTTGTTATTTACAGTTTAAACTGGAAAGTTAGATCTAACCATAAAGTAGTGCACCAGCTTTAAGAGGCAGAAGATGGCAAGTCACAAAAACGAACCAAACATGACACGAAGTCTAAAAATGAACTCCTGAATAAGATAAAAATGTTTATAATTCATATTGGTTAAATGGCGATACAAATGATGTTGTTTGGATAATAATTTTACTTTTACTTGATCTCTGTGTGTATTTCATTTTGGAGTTGTTTTCTGAACTTTCAGTTGTGTAAATCGTTTTCTATGTAAGATTTTGACGAAAATACAAGGCACATCATTCTCTGACGTAGACCTTGTTCGATGGCTCATTGAAATATTTGCAATTTCAATTGGAATTCTATTATGTATTAGCACATTTCTGGTATAGGACTAAATTTATATTTGATGAAATGTGTTTCATCCTGATAAATTGTTTTGAGAGTTGTTTTTTCAAATTTTTTATTTCTGTCTGCAGAGCATAGTTTAGCTGTTCATGATCATTATTTATCTTTACTGAAATATTACCAAGTTATCTTTAGAGTATTTTCCTTCTGTAAACTTCTGTTACAGTAGATGAGCTGTGCTAGTCAGGAGCCAAAAAGTAAATTCTGGGCATTATTATAAAATGGGAGGGGGGGGAGAGGATTCTTGAATAGATGTAATGATAGGCTAGGGTACTTACGTATAGCTAGAGCTCTAAGGTAAAGCCCTTCTGCTGTCTTGTAGTCTCGGATGTGATAATTGACCAGACTGGCCAGGTGACTCACCGACAAACCAACTTCAAAATGGTCACAGCCTAGGATGCTCTCTTTGATTGCTATTGATTTCAGATGCATATTTTTTGACAGCTGAAAGCAATGTGAAGAACATACATTGAGAAGCCATTTTAATTAGATATTTTAAAACAGCTGCTGTAGGCTGCTTTCTAACTGCTTTTGCATATGACCTCTGAACTTTCAATTACTTCCTCGAGTCTTCGTTCTTTGATTTTCTTTGAGTAAACTCTACTATTTTCTCATTTTCCATGCTGAGTTTGATATTTTCCAACCTTCAAAGATTAGTCTCAATTTGAATTATTTGGTAATTTTTTTAAAAAAATACTCTCAGAAGGAAGAGAAGTGAATTCACAAAAAACTCAATGATGTCAAATTGAGCTCTGATTGACTAAAATATTGTCCACCATCACTTGCAACGGAATGACTAAGTTTTGTCCACAGTTAAATCAGCCCAACATAATTAAATACAAGTACCTACTAATGAAACTTAGAGAAACAAAACCAAAACTATCGGAAAAAGACAAACACTTACTTGATATTTTTGCATGCTCTGATAGAGGCGGCCAAGATTTCCATAAATTTTAGCTGTCAGCACATTCTTTTCACCGAGAATACGCTGGACTGATGATAACTCGCACTTGTGAAACTTTTCAGCAGCTGTGAGCAACTCTTGCTTCTCTTTTGCGCGACTCATGGGCAGGTCCAGGGCTATCTCTTCGATTATAAGCGTTTTGACACGCTCTGCAGAGCTGAGAAGCATATGATTTGGTGGCAGGATCTTTTGCATAGCACAAATGGCCGATTCTGCATGTTTCGTTGCTTCCCTGAACCGGCCTGTGCTGTACTCTTGCACGTAGAGCGTGTAGGCATAATCTTCTTCAAGTATTGCAACACGTAAATTGTTTGGTCCAAAAATTCCTAACTTTATTTCTAAGGCAGCCTAAAAACACATGATGGGGGTATTAGTACATGTAGGGTGAAAAGTGATGATTTTTGAGCACTGTCTGACAACTATCCCTGCAAGATAGAAGAACTCTTGCAAAAAAGGTTCGGCCATTTTCAGCCTTCTCTTTGTAAAAGTTTGCTGAAAAATCAGTTGCTAAAAAAAGTTTGTAAAGGTTTCCCTTTTATTTTCAAAAAATATTTTTCATCTAATAGCTCCTCTCAATTGAGTTAAAATCAAAAATTAAAAAATACCTTTAGATATTGTCATCTTAACATGACAATGACACAAGGCATCCAGTACAGCATCATATGTAGCATGTTACAGTGGATGAGGGGGAGGGATAAGAGAAATGGAGAGAATTATGTCAGGTTAAGGACACTGCCTTAGACAGTATTAGTTAACATAGCTTGCATGGGGTACTACAAAAACAGAATCGACTGACTTTATTCACTTAGCAGGGACTGACTGACAGACTGAACATTTTCCACTGAAAAAATAAATTCTTGTTATTGATTTGATTCTCTCTCACCCATCAATTTAAAGTAAAGGCTGAAATTAAAGAAGAAAAAGAAAAAGAGTTAAGTAAAGGAATTTTTCTTACTTTGTAGGCACATGCACTCTGATGGATGGCATCTGCATTGAGTGAGTAAAATGCAAAATCGCAGAGAAGGTCAGCGTATTTTAGACTATTGGATTCACAGCACTTTTTGCCCAAATTGAGGGCTTGATTGATTAAAAATCTAGCTTCATTTAATTTTTTTTCTAAGCTGAATGTTTTGGATGCTTGACGTAGGGTATCCAAAATTATATTGACGGGTGTCGTTTCATTTAAAGCCTTGAGTGCTTCTATACTCCAGAAATTCGCCTGAAACAAACAGGGATGCGTAACTTAAAGGAGAACTTATGCAAAATAATAACTGATGATGGTAATTATTTATTGACAGCAAACTAAATAGAATTTGAAGTGAAGTACCATAAGATATGATTGTCATAAAATAGAGACACAAAACACAATGACATGATCCAGACCAATCCACAAAGGTCAGTCTAAGTGCATTTCTGAAGACCACTCCTCTGCCCAGCCCTCACTTGATCGTTGCCAGTATGACACAGAATTGGCTCCTTCTATCCAAAAGCAGAGGTCCAAAGTTTTATTCAGCTATCCAAATATAATATTTTTTGACATTTTGTGCTCTACTTCCTTCTACGCTTAGGTTTCTCATGAGAGAGTTTTAGGAAATTGTCACCCGAATTGTACTTCTAGGAATAATTTTACCAGCTTCTGCTATAAATTAAGCAAATATTACATCAAACTTTTTTTATACCTCCAGGCTCACTTATTTCTGATAAAGATATAGAATCATCTTGATATAAAATTCTGAAATAAAGTTGAACTTGAAACTCACATCACTGTAGTTATACTGATGAAAGAAAAAAACAGAGAAGACGGTAAAGAGCTGACTGAAACAGTGTGCACCATCACTCCAAGATTCTTCTTTCTTGACTAGATCCAACACTGATTCAAAAACAACATTCGCCTCCGTGAACTCATGATAACTTGCATGGGCAAAAAGTAATCTGTCGGGAAAATACACGCATTAGATTTCTTTGAAAAAAGAACTTACACAAAAAAGGGGGTGGCACTTTAATAATGAAAATTATGCAGAACTGCACTAAGAATAACTGCAGGGACTAAAGACTGATTCCTATGTGCATTTTGGTGCTGAATTCCAACATGCTCTTGATTTTCCCAAGACTCATCAATTTTCCTAAAATATGAGGCTTTTTTGAAGAAAATTAAATTTCCTGGAAACTTGGTGCATGATAAAGAAAAATCAAGGTCATCATCTGATTTAACGACCAAAGCTACACGAAACAAAGTGATTTGTATTTTTGCACAATTTTCCAAAAAAAAACTGATCCACTTGGTTTGTATAAAAAATGACAGGAAAATAATTTTAATCATGAACTTTCCTGATGAAGCTACTCACACTGATTTCTTATATTACGTTTGTAATCTGACCTGACCTAACCTGGAAAATCAACCTTTCAGAACCTTCTTCAAAAGGAGATGAACAATTATGAATATACGAGGTTACCTAAAAAATGGGCGATCTATGAGGGACTGGTTGATTGAAAAAAATAACTGCCACATTGCTGGGAAGCAGATAACATTATATTTTTAGCAATTTATATTTCAAGTTTTAATTCTTAAAATCTACATAATCTTAGTTCAAGGGGGAAGAAAAATAAAAATAAAAAAATAAAACCCACTTTCTGAACAACTTCCATGGAATCATTGACTGCTTCCGAGCATAGTTATTTTAAGAAAGAGACAGAACTCAATTTTCGACTGCATTTGAATTGTCGTAGGAATGTATTGTATGAGTATGACTAAGTGGTAATCAGTGTACGACATCATTGCGCAAGGCTTAATTTAGGCATCCAGTGGAGCAAAATATTTGATTTTTACACATGTGTACGGCACTATTCGTTCAATTTGCTGACTACAATGTTTACTTTTTACCGTACAATTACTAATTTTATGCATCCAAGCATTTTTTGGCATCCAGTTCAGCAAAATATTTGATTTTTGCACATGTGTACGGCACTATTGGTTCAATTTGTTGACTACAATGTTTACTTTTTACCGTACAATTATTAATTCAATGAGTCCTAAAATAGAAATCAATCATAGATGAAACAGAAGAAAGGAGGAGGAAATTATTACGTTTGGTAACATTTGATTAAGTGATGATGTGCGTTCTCTAAGGTACTGGATTCTTGAATCAGCTGGAGACACAATTTGAGGACCTTGATACTGCATGGGTACCATCCACCTTCATTTAAGAACTCACCTGCCAAAATAATGTTATAACCAAGGTTACATGAGAGATAAAAAATATTTCATTGAAGAGCCGAAATAAAGAAAAGTTAAGTGCTTAAAAAGTTATTGATTTAAAAATTATTAAATTATCGTTATCTTCAAAATTACTAGTCTATAAAACTATAATTTGCCCAGTTTGGCAATACGGTTGTCAGATTTGGGGTGTGACAGCTCCTTCCAATCTTCAGAAAATTCAAATCGCTCAAAATAAATTTCTCAGATTAATATGGTAATAAATGTCACTGTAGGAGTTATCGAAACATCTCTTCACAGTACAAGAAAATTGGAAAAATGTTTCGCGGGATATTTAAAAATTTTTAACCCATCTTAGTAGGGCTGAATTTCACCCAACCTTATTTTCTAAGACTTTGGAGACTAATGTGATGACAAGATATTGGTGATTCCCCCCTCTTTTTTTTAAAACAAAAACAGACAAAAAAAATTTTGAAATACTTCTCTACACCTGAAATAAAATACTTGGAGCCCGTTTCAGATAACTTGTCCTTTTTCGCAGTGAACACAAAATAAACAAGTCCTTGTTCCATATATATAGCAAAAAAAAAAGACAGGTAATCTGAGACAGGCTTACTGTAATCTTTTTTGCTCTAAAAAATATTAGTCCTTCGAGCGTTCATACTGAGGTCTGTCCATAAATTACTCAACACTTNGGGGGGGGGGGGGGGGGGGGGGTGTCGACTGGTTGTATGTTACACCGAAAAAAATTAAATGTTGATTTAGCATTTAAACTGTTAAAAAAATGTCCGACAAGTTTCAAATGCTGATTTTACAATACAAAAATGCTTACATAACATTTTAATTTGTATGTTTTGCAGTGGGCGTAGTTACCTTAGCATTTGTTAAAATGTAAAATCAGCATTTGAAACTTGTCAGGCATCTTTTTAACGGTATAAATGCTAAATCAACATTTAACTTCTTTCCGTGTAGATGCTATTATGAAGATTATGAAGAAGAGGGGATGTTAAAAGAGCTTAAGGTACTGAATTTTTCCATGATTATGAAATGAAATTAAGCATTAGAGGTGTCTTACCCAGACAAATGCCCATTTCCACAACATGACCAATATCTGCTGCTCCTTGTGAACACTGTCTCAGATGTGCAGGAATTGTTCCGAAAACAGCTGTATCATGATCTACTATATCCTAAAACATTGAAGGAAGATATTCATTAATGCATGAGTGACCTTAAAATTAGTTGGGGAGGATAGCTTCTAAGTAAGTTGAACCATGTAGTTCTCTACTAGTTATCATACATAAAAATGAACTTCACCGATTAAGAATAAGTTACAATAACATGTTTGCGGAATGTGAACAAAATACGCTGCTGCATTAAACTTATATCAGTATTCCTGGTTCTTGTCTATTTAATTTACACAATGGAGTGGATTCATTTAACTGTTTTGATATTGTGTCAGGATTTGAACAAATTCAGTTGAATCTGAAGAGATCAAACTTACATTGATTTACCTAAACACATTAAATTCAAGAATCGATTTCAATTCGCCGAGGATTATTCTTCTGGTACAAATTGAGTAATTTCTTGATAATATTAAACATACCTGAAAACATCTGAGAAGAGCAGATCGTCTATTCTTGGCATGTAACAGTTTGTTGAGTTCCTCAATGCTGCTAAGCTCTGTGGCAAGAAGTGAATACTGTTTTGACTCATGCAGCTGAAAAATTAAAAAAAAAATAATTGTAATGTGGCCAGAGAAACTATGTTCGTAAAAGTGAGGATATTGGGACAGTGAAACCTTACATGCTAGAACTGAGTTAACTGTTTGCAGATTGTTGCTGTAAACAATGTTCAGGTAGATCCTGTTTCAGATTACTTTCTCTCTTTTGCAGTATGTGCGAGTTCGGGAATCCCCTACCCCGCGCTAACAGCAAAACAGGAAAAGTAATATGAAACAGGCTCTGTCAAAATGTTCATATGACAGGGTTGCAAGAGAGCCAGAAAGTATGCTACTCCATAATGGAAGAAACCCTTTGCTGTAAGCTTCATTAAACTAATAAAAATTTCCTCTTCGCTGTAAATTCAAGAATTGACCAGATAATAATCATGGTCCATGACAGGATGATCAGTCATTCGGTCGTTTCGCAATAGCTATGTGCTATGAACTCGAAGTACTTTGCCATGGCATACTTCCCTTCTCACTTATAGTAGCAAAAGTCATTGAAAATTAAGTAATCAAATAGAGCTGCAGACGTTATCAGAAAACTAATATTGATGTGACTGAATTAATCAATTGCTACAGAAAAGTTACCTAACCGCACTTTCTCTGAACTAGTTCAGAAAGGCGATACTGCCATTATTTGGACTGATATTCATACTGTTTTCTACTTATGCTCAAGTAAATTAGTGGGGATACCCAACAGTAATTAGTGATCAAGGCAAAGCTGATTGTCTAGGTTTTTGTGCCACTGGTGCAATTTCATCCGCTGACATAGCGGCTGGTTTAGGTGGAATTGATACACTCTCCGACTCTTTAACCAGTCTCATTAACTAAGGCGGCAAAAGTGGGTCCAAGCTTAGTAAAAGGTAGTTCTCATCTTGATAGGCAGCTGAAAACAACATTTGTAGGGGCAAATGCAAAATTAAAGAGATAATAGAACAATGGGTAGATTATTTGCCAGGTCAGTGACAACATGAGCAATGGTGACAAAAACGGAGTGGACTGAGTGCGTGATGTGAAGGCAGAAAGAAAGATGAAAGTTTGAAGTGAATTTGTATCACTAGAAGAGCATAAAAGTGGGTTACCTCGTAAATAATGTCAAAAATATGGTTGCCTGGCAATGTTCTGACATCCAACCTATGCAATGGATAGTGACGAGCTACAGCTTTGCAACAGCACTGATAAAGAGAGAGAGGCTCGAAAGTCTTCGTTTGTGTATTGATATGGTTATCCATATTTAAAATTAGCTAAAACACTGGGAGTACCTTCTAAAAATTAACAAAAAACACTGAAGTTGAGCCCCGTCTCCCCCATTGCGGAACAAAAACAATCACCAGATGCTGTCACTGCATCACACATTCACACATTCGCATTCGCGCATGCGCTACGATCGGAAAACTCATTTTGAACCAATCGGACATCAGGAAAAGCTACCGCCAAAGAGATATGGATTTAAAAATTCTCCAACATATCAAAAGAAGAGAAGGGGGATGAAATTCCTCCAGGGTGGAGTAATTGTGTAATTGAAATTAATTGTAATACTTCCTTATCTCGCTGGAACTCATCGTTAAATGATAATATGCAATCAGGAACTTGGTGGAATTTTCTAATTTAGCGCGAAACGTTTCATTTTTCTCTGATCGCACTACCAATATTTTCGTCGTCAGAGTAGACCGGAAATGACGTAACGCTCAGTCCGGAAATCCGGTGAAGGAACTCTGAACTAAGCCTCTAATGACATGAGTTGGCAACAAGGTATTGATTGAAATGTTGTCGTTTCCGTTTCCGTCTCAAAAAAGTCTTCAACAGCCAATCGGCCACCCAGCGAATTTTCGAAGCTCTGACTTGGTCTGACTGAACACACATTTTATCTTTCATCTGAAGCAAATTTCGAATTAAATCAGGTAATTGTTCCATTATTTTTATAAATCGATCGGGTAATGATAAATTCACCATACTTTCAAATTGATTGAGCAGAGAGATTCTAGGATTACAAAAAAGGGCCAGGGAAACTGATGGGCTCAGAGTGCTTTTGAAAATAAGGAGGGGGAGGAAAAAGTTGCACTACAGAGGAATACTTTGGAAGTATATTTAAACTTGAAGAGTTCATTTGAGACTAATATAACAGAGAAATATCTACCGCCATTGATAATGAAAAAATGGCAATTGAGGATAGATATTTCAAGCAATTGCTTGAAGAACCACTTGATTAATCTAAACACTGCTTGGAGTGAAAGATGTCTGAGGAAAGCATGATAGGACAATAATAAATCATGAGTGCACAGCTGGATGTAAGGACGTCATGGCATAGTGAAGATTAATATCCTATAGAATTTTAAAAGTCTCACCTATATTGAAGAAATATTAAGGAAATGGTATAGAGGTATGGCAATTATAGAATAAGCGCTAAGATTACCTACTGAATATGTTCTCCCTGTTGAAACTCTACCTTTTAATAGTGATGGGAAGAGCAGGAGTCAGGAGATAATAATAAGTAGGTAAAGTTAAGATTGAAAAGATTAATTTACAAAGTACTTTGAGGATTCTGATGATGGTTGACATCAAGTTAAAGAATCTTGTTTGGGTAAGAGTACCTGCCTACGTAAGTATCTCTCTACTCAGTAATCTCAAAATAATTACCTTGAGATTTAAGGACAGTAGGTGGCTATAGCAATTAGCAACGTGAGTACCTAAGTAAAGGCTCTGATTACCATCACGGTGGTGAAGTCATTTTAGAAATTATTTGGCAAAATCACATACCAATTTGCCGGTGTAAGCTGGCAATCAAATAGGTAACTCGGTTTGCGATGTTGCAGACCTCCTGTCGTACTTTATTTTTTAAATGAAAAACTACTCAACGGCAATTCTTTAAAACTGCCGTGATTTTTCTTCTCTGTGAGAAGAAAATTCTGCAAAAACTTCAAGGAATGATGTCAATTTGTTCTCCTTTAAAAATATAACATAGAGGCGGAGATTTTTAGACACCGCAAACGAGATATGTGATCGCGGACTTACGCCGTCAAATTACTGTATGCCTATGCTTGATGATATGGAAAAGGACTAAGAAAATTGTAAGGTGGACAAAACTTTGCCGAGAACCATTGTTGAATTCCATCAAAGTGAAATCAATATAAAATGGACCGCGTCAAACAAAAAGGAACCAACTAGTTTAAAGTTAAAAAATGAAGAAAAGGTCCCAGTGTCCATAAGTTATGGCTGTGACTTTTACCATAAAGCATTGATTTGCACCCCATCCTTTGGAATGAAAAGTTTATTTTAACCTTAGTCTACGGTTACAGAATTTTCTTTTTGCTCCAAAACTATTTTTAATAACGTATGTTGTCATTTGAGACCCGATGTCAATTTTCCGTTTTCCCAATAGACTGTACGTACTTAAACGATTGTAGAGGTATTATTATATGCATATGGCAACTGAAAGGGTTAAAAATTTTCTACATTCAAGCACCTCATTTATTTACATGGAAGCTTAGATTTTCGATCCTTCATCTATTTAAATCATGTATATAGTGCGCATACCCATGATCCACACTGTAGAGCAAAATTTCTTTCTGTTTTAATATTGCCTCAATATTCCTAAAGACCTGATAGGTCTTTTCAGGAGGAATGTGCCATTAACACATTCTGAGGCCCCAATCAAGGGATTCAGACAAGGTTTAGGCAGGAGCTTAAAGATCATAAGTTCAATATATTATAATTTATTTTCATTTTTAAAATGAAAATGATTACCTATTCTATTGTAAGTTTGATTAATTTTCTGACCTATTTATGATCTTTTTTTTTAGATTTGCAAAATGGACCACTACATGAATAATGAAAATGTTTCTCATGATGAGTTCATGAGACAATTAGAAGAAGACACCGAGCAGCTTGACTTACTACTGAAAGAAACGCTTCGCATGAGAGAAGCAGCTGAGAGACAAGAAATGAATTTCATGACTGATACGACCACAAGTACGGGTGCGATTGAGGAACTAAGAAAAGAAATTGAGGAGATTCAGGCCAGGATTGTCATTATTGATGCTCAGGTTGAGGAATTTAAGCGAAACTTAGTTGAAAAGACCATACCTCAGAATCAAATTGAAGAACTCGGAAACTCTGAGGAGATTCTAGTTGAGACCGTGCCCCAAAATCAAATTGAAGAACTTGGAAACTCTGCACAGATTTTGCTTGAGACCATATGTCAGAATCAAATCAAGGAACTTGAAAAAGAATCTGTGGACACACCGGCCAACACAAAAAAACTCTGAAATACAGCCTCATAGTATTGATACTGGCTAAAAATTTCCTGATTGGAAGAGATTCTCTCACCTGAGTCAATATTATCTCCAATCAAAGTAATTATTCTTATTCTTCAAACTGATAATATGTGCACATAAGTATTTTAATCAATTTCAATAATAATTCTCTCCGAAAATGACAATGTGGCTTCTGGCAGAATATATAATTTTCCCAACTGGAGTTAAAACTCAAATTTTTTAACATTTCAGTACTTCTAGTTTCATTTTTTAAGTATTTTAATTTCATATTTCTTTCCTGTCTATTCATTTAAGTGCCTATTATTTTAGGAAAAGAGGAAAAATCTTGTTAAAGAGTGACCATTCAAAATTATTTAAAAATTGTAATAATTGTTTGATTAATAGACTTACTGCTAATTCACATCGGCTACTTTTTCTCTCCGGATCACCTAATATTTAGAGAAAATGAATCATTGTTAAACATGTTACTTGGGCAACACTTAGCAATTAGGAACAACTATTTCTGATTCTAGTTAGATACATGTGCAGTTGCCCTGCACAGATAGGTGGTTTTGTGGTTGAGTTAGAAAAAGTAATTCTACACTGCAAAATTTAGTCTAATTAATATTGAGCTTTATTCTAAATTTAAAATACAGAAAAACAATTTTTTCTAGATGCTCTCTGATCTCACAAGAAATTAAACTTACCAAATATATAAACGGTGGAACTATAAACAAAGGTAGTTTGATCACCATCTAAAAGTTTTCACTCCTCTTTTATTTACTTTTTTTTTCTAAACAATATTACTAGGCATTAAATAAACTGGTTCAATGGGACTGACAAACAGATTCTTTTTTGTGAAAAAAATAATTCGTTTGAAGAAAAATTTCCTATTTTGTTCATTCTTTTTTTCTTTAGATTTGACCATAGGTAATAGACCCAACCCTTTATGATGTTGAATTGATTCACTATTTACAAGAATCAGAGGGGCACAGTTTAAATTCAAAAGCAGGGGTAGCCTTTTATATTAGAATAAAATACGTTAGAAAATTTTTAATAAAAAATATCGAGGACTTTTTATTTCTAAAGGAGGAACAAGTAATTCAAGGGCCACAATAACAAAAAACTCAAACATAACAGAGATACCTACATTCTAAATCGTTGAAACATGATAATGCTCCCTAACGTATGCTTCCTGAACTCATTGAAGTAATGTAATCAAACATACACACAAGATTTGTAACTGATATTTTCAAAGTAGGGTCTTTGCGAATGAATCCCTCCCATGAACAACCATGAATGGACGGAGTTCAATAGATATGCATCAGGTTACAATTTGGAAAAAATCAGTTTGGAGTAGTTTTGAATTCAACTGGTTGTAGATTTCATCCTGTTAAAAAACAAACTCGAGAGAAAATAGTATGAATGGGAAAGAAGACACTGAACTTTGTCCTCATCATCGAGTCTTATGCAGAAATAAAAATTCAAACTTATTTTTCTTGGTTCAAACTTGATGTTAACTTGGAGAATTGGTTCAATTCGGTCCAAAACGATGGTGGAACAGAAAAGAACTAATCTGAATTGTAGAATTTATGATTCCCTTTCATGTAAGAGTCCACAACATATTAATTAATATACTTTCGAAGTAAGACAGAAAATCTGCCAGCTTATGTCTCTAATGAACTTTAATTGCTAAACTATAGACAGCTGATCTGTTATAAAGTGGTATATGGTACGTTTACTGATTCTGGTCGACTCCATATTTTATTGAGAGGACATAACCAAATTTTTCTGTCCACCATCTTTGGAGCACGCTTAAGGCGAGGCAAATAAATTCACCAAAATTTGAGCAACGATATTGATCCCTACTCTTTCAAAGCAATGCAATATGAAAAAACCTGCTATGTGAAAATCTGAAATACATGTTTTTTTCTATTGCACAATTGAGCTCTTGTATGCCATGGAGATTTGCGGTTAGAATACTTTCTTTTAGATACACTTTTGCAAAAAGAACAATGGTGTCATTGCTTTTACATGAGATGAACTCCCAAACTCAAAAAAAAGCTCTCAAATTTGAGGCCATAGTGGAGGGGATGACCTGAGTAACAGAAGTCCACCTCTACATCCAGTCAAACTCTCCTTGCACAAGTAGGAGGAAAATACATTAGCATGGTTCCAGTCTTGAAGTCCTCCCGTTAAGTAGCAATCCTGCAAATATAATTGCTTTCTACCTGTAAAAAAAGAGCTGGAATGGATATGGACTCTCGTTATCTCTCAGACGATCTCCTCTCTAGAGACGTCTACTTTGAGAGCTCTTTTTGAGCTTGGGAGCTCATTTCAGTGAAAACCTAATAGCACCATCATTTTCCTTGCAAAATTTTACATAAGATGTTGAGACGATTCTCTCTATTAAGGCTTCAACTTTGAGAGCTTTCTCTGAGCTTGAGTTTTCACTTTGGAGAAAACCAAGGGCACCATTGTTTTTCTTGTAAAATTTCAACAAAGGCAAAAGCACTTCACTTGCAAATCCCTGTGCAATACAAGAGCACCATTTATACACATTCAAGGCAAGGACCCAAAATTGACAAAGGCAGAATTGAAAAGACATTTCATACAAATATTTTCATCTCTCAGTCATGTCAACAAAAGACGGTAGAATTACCTTTCAATGATAACTATTCTTTACACCCAATTTCGCCTGTAGTTGGGGAACTGATCATGTAGACCATTGAGCACATGAGATCTTAAACACTACCCACTTTTTCGGGCTTCCTTCAATGCAGGCTCGAGCAGCAATTCTTCATAGTTAGTTGTGAACAATGAAGGCCCTGTGCTTTCGATCCTGGCACTGCCGAGACATTCATTTCCCAGATAAAAAACAGCATACTGTAAATAAAACAAATTGACAGCTGTTACTGCTTCTGCAGCAAATCGATGGTTGGCAAAAGGTCTGTACTTTACCATTTTTATTTTACAAATTATCTACTTTAGCTGATAATATCATGAAACTTCAAATAAATCTAGAATACCTGTTGTTGGTGAAAAATAAAATCTGTTGACTGCCCACAGTAAAAAAGACCTTAGTTCAGGAAGGCAACTTTTCAGGCAGGGGATTTTTTTTTTTTTTTGGAGTTAAGTTGAAAAATCGGATGTACAGATATTCATAGAAATCTATCGCTAGTGTTCCAAAGATAAATTGCGAGCAGATTTGATAATTTTTGTACCTATAAAGGACAAAATTTGCATTCTGATAAAGCAATTTTTCACCTTGAACAATGCAGATTTGAATTTTAAATGCATAGCTTCTTCTTGAAAATCCTATTTTCTAAACTGCAAACTTCAAACGACCATCACTCTAGTTCTGTTTGATGTTTTGAAAGTTCGCTATCCAAAAATGCTTATCAATACTCCTGTATGCTCTATTATCAACATCTTTCTTATTAGTTTTTGTGTCCTAGGGTATCTGTTTGTGTCAACAAGTCTTGCCTGTAAAAACAGTATTAACTCTGGCCTTAGATGTCCGGTAGGCCGATATTTTACTTTTTTCAAGATTTTTCGACTGCCATGCTACAGGAGACATTTTGTGAGCACTTCAATGTTATTTTGATAGCATAAGAAATTTCTGAAAAACTTGTGACTTTTTCATTTGAATTTTTTTGAAGAGTTCCTTTTAAAACCAAAGATTAGAGCTTTTACCTAATGAGATTGAGCAACAGTCCATTGTTTCCACAATATTCTTTCTTGACACAGCAGTATAATGAAAAAGTGGTCAGCTGTAAGAGATTGCTGCATGGACCACATTCAAAAAGCTACAGCTTGTTAGAGATCTGATTGTGAGAGTGCGCACATATTCTAATTCTAGCTTGATTTTTTTTCTCAGTCTTGACAGTTCTTCAGGAAAAAATAGGTCAATTAACTTTAACATTCATCATTGTAAAGGAGTAGAACTGTATTGCTAGAGGGGAACTTAAAAGACCTTACTTGTCCTGGTGTAAGAGCTAATTCAGGTTTCTGGAGACGGACATATAATTTCCCACTGGATGTCTTTATTATTGTGCACGGATCTAAATCATATACGTGTTGAAAGCGGAAAAAACAGTTGAGAATTCCATTCTCTTTCAGATATTGCGGCTCCTGATCTATCCAATACGGTTTACTTGTCATCATCAAATTTGTGATTAGTGATGGATGACCTCCTCCAGGAGCCTGAAACAAATAGATGATAATACAAATAAATAAAATATATATAATGAATAAATGGTAAAATTCAGGAATGTTCTCCTCGGAGGAAATGATGTAGGGGACACCTGAAATCGACGCAACGAAAACTAATGGATGAGGGGCAGAGCAGAGTTGGCAATTAAGTTTACTATTTGAGGGTCGATTGCATCCGACAAGCCTGGTTTGTTTATATGAGCATATGTACGTGTGCTTCAACCCATGGACAATGAACGGAGCCATTCATTGACTGCACCCCTAATCCACTAGTTTTGGTGGCACAAACTATGATGAAGAGACAGAGAAGAGGGATTAAAAAAGAGATAAGGGGATGTTAAATATTTGGAGACAAACAGTGATACTCTATTACTAGCCTCTTGGAAAACAGGACGGAAACTTTTACTTTGGAGCTCCAGCACACAACCCTTAATTCTTTGTTGCGCAAAGACACTTTTCATGGAGAGCAAACTAAAAATACTGAAACTGAAGCACTGACTTACAACTAAAATATCTTGGGTTTCTGGGTTTTTCTTGGCAACATAATATGGTATCGCTAGACCTCCAATCTTGCATCGTTGACCAATGGTGAAATGATGGATGCCTGTGTGCTTTCCGACAACTTTGCCTGTTTCTATGTCAATGAAGCGACCTTCTTTATCTGGAATGTACTGTAAGAAATGGAGGATATTAAAATTGAAAAATTACCAACTAACGTTTTTTCATTCAAGACAATTTTTACTTTTTTTGTGAGTATATAGAACATTGCTATAGAAAATTTAATCTAAATCAGAACACCAAGTCTGATCTGTATCTTGAAAAATCCAGGTATAATTATTGTTGCCCAACTTCAAAAGATGGTCCTAAATAGAGAGAGATATTCAGCGATAAACTGATAAAAAGAAAAACAAATCTTTGAGAGCTTTCATAAAATTCTGATTCAGGCTCTCACGTACAACAGGATGCATCTGTTCCTAAAATTTCAAGGCACGGACCCGGTCTATAGGACCCTGGACTCCCATAAGAGCCAATGTAAAAATTCGTGAGCAGGTACTAGTGTTGCTATCTTGCGTAGGACCCTTGCAACTCACTGCTATTATCAGTTATCAGACTTGACAAAAATCCGTAGGATTACGTATATCTGCCAAAAATCGAGTTTTTCACCTCTATCTAACAGGCGGCAGGCCTATACTGGTCAAAAGGGGTTGGAAAATGACAAAAATATACTTATTTCTCAAGAATCCAGATGCCTTAAGTGTTATTTTCCAATCATCGGCTTAACCTCACTTTTAGAGTGGGCGATGGATGAGTCAAGCTTCAGGAGGAAGGATCCTCTGAGTTTACTAGGGTCCTACGCGAGAATGCGCTGCAATCACCTGCTCACAACAGAACGGAGTCCTATAGAACTCGTCCCTGTTTAAGTCATTCCCTACATTGTCACTTTCTGAAAGAAGTCACCTCTTTTGCTTTTTCTGTGGCAGAGACATTACAGAGATTCAAACAAAAATAGCAGCATTATTCTTGAAATATTCATATTCCAGAGGGATTGTAAATTTGAATTTACGTCCCAGTTTTTCAACAATGAATTGGATACTTCATTAGGATTTTGCCGAACCCAAGATTCAACAAAAAACTGGTTCCATCGCATTCAACATCTCATTTACAAATAAAATATAAGACGAACGAACTTCTGTTAAAAAAATAAAATAGGAAGAAAATGTAATAAAATTAATGACTGAGCAGCATACTTCTGAAATGAAGCTTTGGAATTTGCGGTGACCAATGAAACAAATTCCAGTACTTTCTTTCTTCATCAAAATCCTATCAAATCCATTTTCAGCACCAATCTGTTTTACTTCCTTTTTTGTCAAGTCTGCTAAAGGAAAAAGTGTTCTCTGGAGGGCAGCTTGTGGAATTTGACTCAAGAAAAATGTCTGATCTTTAGTGGAATCTTCAGGTCTCAGTAATTTTGCATCTGGAAAGAAAAATGAAAGATTGCCAAGCTAATTGAAAGATATGGCCAACATAACATCTGTTCTGCAATCTAAGTTGTCTTGTCATTTTGAATTATATTAACCGTAGAACTTAGATAGTGGGGTACTAAAGCATTTTTCTCTCATCTTCACAGCATAGGTGCTTACATCACACCTTAATAACTTTCTCTTGAGATGCTTCTATAAAAAATACACAGAAAACATAAAAAAAAGTGATGCATGTAAGAATATCAAAGGTTAAAGTGGAAAAATGCCTACATTCATTGCAGCTTTTCAAAATCTCTGATCATGTTAATTTTTTTCTAAAATCATAGTATGTTCTTGTACGATAATTTCTTGTGAATGGGCCTGTTGCAAACTTTTGCTGGAGCAAAAATAAGAGTTGTTCCATACAGATAATGTCTCAAAAATCACGATGAACGCATTGGCAAACTCTGAAATACACTCCCAACTTCACAATCTGCGTAAGAAATTTTCATTTTTCTAAGCTTTCCGCTTCAAAAAGGATACGAGAGCATAGGTGAACATTTCGTTAGAGGAGTCGTTCCATTCAATCCTTGCTCAACATGGCCAACGCTTCTGCGTGCAAGTTGAGGAGAGCACAAGGTCAATCAAGGCGGATATCTATCAACGCAAGAAAAATGTAAATGTAAACACACCGATTGTTATCAGGTGGTTAAAATCTTCGTCCCATCACATGTGTTTTGGCGGATTGGCGTCGGCGATGTTGAATATTGCATAGTATCCTTGTGAGCAGGGGTAGGATAGAATGACTCCTCTGACGAAATTTTCACCTGTGCCGGGGTATCTTTTTTGAAGCTGGAAGCTCGAAAAAACACAAATTTCTTATGTAAATTGTGAAGTAGGTAAGGAGTGCATTTCAGACTTTGCCGATCAGCTCATCGTGATATTTAAGACAATTTCTTTGAGTAATACCCCTTATTTTTGCTCTGGCAAAAGTGTGCAACAGGCCCATATTCTTGAATAAGAGAAGAAAAAAGTGTGTTGGACTTACCAAATCCCTTAGAGGCTCTCTATTAGCTTTCAAAGCACTTGCATAGAGTTCATGAATATCATTGGATTTACTACATTTTTTTCCTACGCATCATTCATTAAATAAAATCTTACTATGAAATTAAAGAGCAGTGTCCAATTTCCTCCTATATAGCAGGGAAAGTGAAGAATGGAGAGTTAAAAAAAAATAACTGCCTCTACTCCTAATTTAATAAATGTGTATACTCTGTCACTGTCTGAAATTACTAAATTGAAAATATGAGAATCATGTCTACATAACCAGCCATCAGCAAAAAGATACACAAAAAAATGAATAGATACATACTCACTTTTACCAGGGCTAAAATGTTCCAGATAATTTCCAAAACTGGACCTTGCATAATGACCTGTTGCAACAGCTCCAACTTTCAATGTATTCATTGCATAAAATAAAAATTTGTTAAATTTAATGTCCCGGTTACATAAGATGTCAGGATTTGGGGTAAATCCACTTTCGTAATCTTTGATTAGCTCACTGAGACAGAAAAATCAAAAGGGTCACATTAAACAACCATTACAACAACACAACCACGGTGATACAACTCGGCACTTTATTTGTAGCCAAGAGATTCTCCAAGAATCGATTATACATGGTCAGAGTCTCCATAATTTTTTCATTATCCAATTTTTTGACGGGTTTGACTTTATCCAGACTCCAAATTTTCCGAATTCCCTGATTTTTTATCAAATTGAAATTCCTTTTTTTCATTATGCTAACTTTTGTTTAACTATTACATAACAAAATATCAAATTCTAGAGATTTAAGTTTTTAAAAAGAGGCCCTCAAAAGTTGTTTGTGCTCTCTGAAATCAATAGTCTAAGCTCAAAACTATGTATCTCAGTTCACAACGTTGCAGACTTCCTATCATACTTCATTCTTTCTTTGGAAAACTAGTTGATGCAATTACTTGGAAACTTTCTTGATTTTTCTTCTCTGTAGGTAGAATATTCTGTATAAATTTCAAGTCATAACTTTAGCTGGTATCTCTTAAAATATAAATAAATTAGGAGCAGAAATTTCGAAACTTTGCAATGGAGATTCGGACTTGAGCCATCAGAATGGCACTGACCTCAGTTGCTCGGCAAACTTAGTGCTTGTAAAATTCTATTGAATTTCCAGGTCATCCAAAATTTGCTAACTTTCCAGGTTTTCCAAACCTTCAGAAACCTTACTCAAATAGAAGTATTTTAGAAACTGACTGGGTGAGAGAATTGTAAATAAAACAAAAACACTTGTAGCCGACAGTACGTCCCTATTGATGGGCAACAGTGGTTTAGTTGTAAAATTTTCTCCAAGGTATTTCCGAATTATTGGAAAATTCATTAGCTACAGAATCTCAAAATCTTTCCTTCTTCCTCATTTGGATAGAACAGAATAGGCTTTATAGTTCTGCTTTACTACACTGTACAATCTTTTGTTGCTATAATGAGCTATCTACCACTAAGGTAAACATTTTTTCATCAAACTCTCACTACTTTAGTACAAGTTGTAGATACTTTTTACATTTGTGACACTAGTAAAAGAAGAATAATGAATTGTCGGAGGAAAATTTAAAATCAGGGTTAAAACTAAGCACAAACCTAAATACATCATTCCAGTAATCTTTCACAAAATTCACTTGATAGAATGGTATGTTCAGCTTGTCACAAACCCATTTGGCATCGTCACATTCTTGATCTGCAGCACATACACCAGTTTCGTCAATATCATCCCAATTTCGCATGAAAACACCAGATAAAGAAAAACCTAAAAAAAAAAAAGGATTAACAAATACTCTTAGACAGCAAAATCACAGTAAACAACCATGATAGTTCTAAATCTTTATACTCAGGGTGCCCATTTTAATTGAACTTTGCAGGGAGATGCTTCCAAAGAGAAGAGGGCCCAAAAGGTCTTATCCTTAAAGATTTTAAAGTCTTCCCTTCCTGAGAGGTCAATTTTGATGCAAAGGTAATGCAGTATATTAATTAAATCAACCTAAGTTCTGGTCTGGGATGCAGAGTATGGGTCCAAAACGTAGATTAGTTTATTTTGTGTTTTCCCCCACCACCTTCACTGATACCTTTTAAATTGTGGGCACCACCTGCAGATTTAAGGAATTTAAGAAGTACACAAATCACCTATTATTGTGCTTTGTTTTATGATTTTTTTCTAAATATTTTTATTTTATCAGAAGTATTTTCTGCGGTTCCAGTGGTTTTTACTCATTTTTCCCTTTGGATAACCCCCTGGCACTCCTGTGGAACCATTTCCATCCATTCAGGGGACCTCCAGTGTCCCAGATGATTTTTTTTAGTGATGCTGGAATCACTATTTTAGCCTAAGAATTTAGATTCAGAACATTATTCAGATGACAATGCATTAAAATTCTGTGCTGATATTTTGACTTAGGTAATGTCTTTGGACTGATAGTTTAAAAAGTTTGAAAGAATGATATTAGCACAGAACTGTAATAAATTGTCACAAAAATATTATACTGGAGCTAAATTTTCATGCTTGGATGGGGAATTTTCAGGTGGGCCTCCTGTGGTGTAGTGGTTGCAGCTTAGCCCGTTGCCTATAAGAATGGAGAGGCCTTAACTACTCGGTTTCGTGGCGTCAAAGTAGTAGAGTAATCACCGTGTTAACCAATCAGAGCTGCCGTCGATGGGCCGAAGTTGCATGAGCGGCGCGTTTGAATCTTAGTGGGGTAACGATTTTCGGTATTTAGTCGTGTTTAGCTTTTATTTCCTCAATTATCAGACAATGTAATTTATGAACTAGGCAGTTTTCTGATGTGAAATTTTATCTTCTTTCCAAAATGTACATAAAAATTTTTGCATCAGATCAACCTCTGAAAAGATATTAGCACAAAAGGAACATGTGTCATGCATTCTCCCATAAGAACACATGCTCAATCGCGGCCGAGTTTCATCTACTAGCGTGATGTCATAGAATCGTCGTTACGGCCTCTCTACTCTCGTAGGCAAGGCTTGGCCCTAGGACCAAGAGGTGCCGGGTTTGATTCCCAACCAGATAACCTAAGTTTGATGGTCACAGGCAATGGTCACCTGGGGCTGGGATACTAAGCGTGGGATCAGCCAATAAGCTATTTGAAACTTGGAAAAAAAGAGAGATGATAAAGTAAAGTAGGTAAAGGTAAAGTAGATATAAGCCTTGATATCTACTTTACAATCAAGTTACGACGCTTCAACACTCTTGGAAACCGCTACAGAGTTGCAACCTCTTTCCATATTTTAGAGAATAATAATTACCTTTCTGCTTTAAAAGAAGGGCAGTAACAGCACTATCAATACCTCCAGATACACCAACAGCAACCGACCGAAAAGGAGCTGCTAGTCTGGTGGTGGTAATTTTGCCAAGCTGGAAAATAAAATATGAAGAGGTAAGATTCACAATTAAATACCTCAATGTCCAATTATGATCAACATATTACATCAATTAAGTAAAAAATCTGCGCAAACATTGCGTTTCATGACCAATAAGTCACTGAGTGCAAGCGGCTGGTAATCTCTGAGTGTAAGTTTGAATAATCTTTACTTAAATACATATGGCCGAATATTCTCCTTATCTTCACTACAAATGACACCTCAATAACACAGAGATCATCCAAAGCGAAAAGAGTGCAGAAAGTTTTGCAGAGAAAGAATTGGCCACAATCTCTGCCTCAATATTGCTCAGTTTTTGAAAAATATCCGTACTCCAATAAAAGATCAATGGTTAATTGTGCCAAAAAAATTCCTACCTCCAGAGCACTTTCCTGTTTTGCCCTCTGATATGCTCTGATCTCTAGCTGAAGCTCCTTAAAAGTTGTTCTTACTTCACAAAAGGATTAAAAAGCCAAAAATTCCTTAGTAAATCAGCGCGCTTCTCTTTTCGGCCCTCTGATCCTATCAACTATGGTTCATGCAAAATTTATATACTCTTTCACAGATTAGGATTACCTCATGCCACATGTGAGCGGGAACTTGCGCATTCAATTATTTTCAACATTCCTGTGAAAACCAGGAAAATTAACAGTTAAGCAACAATTACAAAAATTACTTACAGCCATTGCATTGGGCAGTAAACTTGGACGCCACGAGCTCACGCGGTACTTGCGCGACTGAACGAAACCATTAATTAAAAGTCTGGAGTCAATAAAGTGGAGGTACGAGACAGGACTCTGAAAGTTTTTTCTCACACATCTCACATCACATGCTCACTCCAAAATATTTCGGAAAATCTTGAAATTTTCCACTTCTTACCTTCTCAGCACTTTATCACGTTAGATCACACGGCTTCTTTGAGGTTATGTTTATTGTTTATATATTATTGTTATGACGTCACAAGTATGTACGCGTGAGTGTGTGAGTGAGTAAGGGTGTGTATGTGATGTGTATGGACGGCCGACGGTAATACCGTAATAACAATGTTGATGTTGAAGTAATAGTAAATATATTGAATAGTGGTGTAGCTATCGTTCAAAAAGGTGTTTGCCCCTCTTTTGGCTGTGCTCCCGAAGGATCAAGATGAGGGAATCTTCTGTTATCTGAAAGATGTCAACGAATCTTGTGTTCAACTCTCTCAGGTCTGGACCATTGTAAGTATGGTAAAGCAAGTCCGATTTTGAACAAAAGTGACTGATAACACTGATAGTTCATGAAAAAACTTTGGGCAACATTTCTCGATAACAGTACTTTGAATTGAAGCATCCTTATGACAGGAGATTGCGTGTTGCTTTCATTTAAAAGTACAGCATGGCAAACAAATAATCCGATGCTTTCACTCAAGCTCTCTTGCACCATTTTCAATTCTGCATCTCCATCCTACTTTTTCATTGTCAGGAGCATTACATGCACCTAAACACTTATGGCTTTATTCAAGAATCCATAAGTAATTTTTTTTTCTTTCTTTCTTTCTAGCGATAAAAAACCCTGAAAGAATGTAACTCAACTCAATGTAACCTCCAACCAATGAGGTCCTGAGAGAGGGAGCGTAATGAATGAAACCCTATTCCTTACACGGAGGGTCTACTCCTTGTTCTTGCATGAGATAATTTCAATATCTTCGCCTCAAACTCAGGGACAGTTGTACCCATCACACTAGCACCGTACAGTGGTAGCATAGAATAATTGGGCTAGGTTCACTTCGATGTTTGATGACAATTGTATTTATGATTTTCGATCGCATTGAAGTAGTCAACATTCTGGATTTGCCTAGTTACTTTGCTCTGCTGAGGTGCAGAAAGATCTTTGCCTTCTTATTTTTGAGGCCACTTTACTTAGTTGCATGGCTGTCTACATAACACTAAGTACTTTCTCTTCACATTCTATGAGACATCTTTTGCACAGCTGTCAACATTAGACTGTGCCGCTCACTATTTTCTACAAGAGCCAGTAACACAGTTGCTTTGGCAAAGCGTAATGCGTGCTTAGCAGTTTCTGTCTCAAAAAATAACTTGTTCAATTGTTTTCTTGGAAAATAATGGCATTCTTACGAAGAAATAACACTAACATTTAAAAGGAAAAAATGCCTTCTGCCATGAATATTTTTTGTTGTTTTTGAACAGAAAAATTCTCTTGTTCAACCTGAACTCTGATAAAGTGAACTCTGACAAAATCGAATGCTCAATTTTCCTCTGATGCATGCTGACCATCTTATTTCATAGGGAATGATCTAGAACAAGACCAATCTACACAGGTCAGTTATTTCGCATCTTTTTGAAATCCACTCCCCCGCCCGGCCGTAACTCAGTGGCAGCCAATCTGATGTCACACTGGCTGCTCCCATATGAAATATATTGCAGGCAGCCAATCATACGTCATAGCGCAGTAGAGTTCCAAAACTCGTCGTCGGGAATGACTGACCTGTGTAAATTGATCTTGATCTAGAATAGGCAAGTGTTTTCTCATAGATTGTGTATAGTGCACCTCTGAGTTAATGGTCCAAATCGATGAGTGTTTTATTAGTCTTCCTCAGTTATCAGCCCTTGTTGGTAAAAGAGATTCTTCCTTCAAGTAAAGCAATATTTTACCAAGTTCCTTTTTTCTTATTTCCTCAGGAAAATTTGAATGCAATGTGACTGACAACAAGTCTTGCAGCCAGAAAATGACAGACAAGGAATATGACCCTGAGTCTTTTCGTGTTGAACCTACATTTTCACCTGACATCAACAGAGATGGAGGTCAATATGAAGAACTTGACTTGGGATTTGCAACTTTATCTGCCATCAAAACGGAACCGCCCTCAGACATAGGACAGAACTCAGAGCCTGTGGTAATTAATTTGTCCCATTACTCAATGTATTTTTATTTGTTATTTATCTATTTATTCATTTATTTATCTATTTAAGAATTTACATTCATGGTTTTCATACTACAGTAAATCAACCCCCAAAAGCCAAAGCTTGTGTGGGGGAGTTGCATGCTTACAGTATAAAACAAAACTAACAAAGGTAGTAACTACCACTGAACATAAATAACAATATAAATCTACATTATTTAAAAACAATTATTTGTTGTTGAACTACATATTTTGTAACACAGAATTACCATCTTCGGCCCACCTCCAAAGAGCCCGAAAAAACAATATTTAGTTTTAAAAAAACAGTCCAACTTGATTGGCTAGTCCTGCTAATTAATTTTGATTTCTTTTATAATATTTAGTACTAATTAATTTATGTCTTATCCTTTAAATTACCTTTCCATACTCTATCCAAATCAACACCTCCACACAGCATTGAGCTCTACTGTCCCTGTATCCAACTTTTAAAAACTCGTTTTTATATTAATCTAATATCCGTTGTATAATTTTGTCCGTAAAACATTCAATTTAAAGAGAGGCAGGCAGACTGGTTCACCAAGAATTGGAGGGAAAGCAGTGTCATTAACTTTCAAGAAACGCCCCTGGCAATTCTCGGTTGCAGTGTATCAGAATCTCTACCGCTAATTTGGAATTCAGAGAGGAAATTATTGACTGAATTTTTTGAAATTGTACATGCTGAACAATGTAGAATTATAAAGACTATTCTGTAAAAGTTTCAGCAAATTACACATATTTGCCTTGATCTTGATGGATGAAACGTAAGCAGAGATTTGCAGACACCGCAACTGAGAAGTGCCCTCTCTTCATGTATCACTTTAATATTTTGGAAAGCATTCTAATTAGACTACATTTTGCAATGAGGACTTCTATTTTTGGCTCATTTCAGAAACAGCTCATAGGTATGCCATTAGTTTCCTAATACAGATACGTATTTTTAGCCAATATTGCAAAATGTAGTCCAATTGATATCTTAGAGTCTTGCATTTAGGAAAAACAAGAAGATCAATGAAAGAAGATGCATAACCAGGTGAATCGTGCAAGATAGCGATTTTTTGCATTTTTTTCATAGCACTTTGATACTGAGTCCTAGTCAGTGCCCTCCAGGTTTGTAGTGAATTTTTTTTCGAAAATTCAAACCTCTACATACATACATTTCGCTGAGCCTAGTTTATTTTTGCATTTCTCTTAATTCAAAAGAAAAAAAAGTCTGAGAAAGTTAGAAAGACAGAAAGTCCAAGGCTCACAGAAAACTTAGAAAGTCAGGGAGAAGAGCAAGAACATTTTGCTAGACACTCTGCAATTTTTTTTTTTTTTTTTTTTTTTTTTTTTTCTGTCAATTGTACAACTTGAGTTTGACTAAGATCACTGGAGTCTATTTTGTCTTCTCTTCACAGAAAATTTATTGAGCCTGAAGTCTATTGAAAGTCATAAGTAATAAAAGAAGTAAAAATTGAAGAAGCTAGCGGTACAATAGCAATTGCGTTATGTTGTAATGGCTCTTAAGTTGCAAGGTTCCCGACACAATATTCCAGTTTTCTACTTTTCAGTATCCCCTAATTATATTAAAAATAAAAATGAAGAGACCAGTTGCAGCACCTGCCATCAATTGATTGCTATGCTTATATTTTAAAGCTAACGGATAGGAGTAAGGAAAGGAGCAGGACCCTAAGGGGGTTTGGGGCATTGAGAATTTTACAAAGATAAGGTAGTGATTTAGGCTAGTACAGTGATCTAACCACCAAGGAATAACGTGAATGTGTAATCGAAAAACATGAATTTAAAATTGAAAAATGTGAATGTGAAATGGAATAACATGAATGTGAAATCAAATAACATCAATGTAAAATGAGCTGTTCGGCATCCAAGAATTATTTTATTTTTGTTTAGGATGATTCTGAAAACTTTTTTGGAAGCTGGGAAGTGATTAAACAAGAACCATATTCCCCTGAGGAGACTGTCCAGTTGGCAGAAAATTTTTTACTGGTAAGTATTAGGATTTAAATACGTTTGGTCTATTTAGAGATGAAGTGAGCACCGGATTATCCAAACCAATGTGACAGTTGGGTGGTTCAGATAATCTAGAAATTGCTCAAGACAGCATCAAACTTCATGATTTTAATGAAAAGTCAATGTAATTGCTTTAAAAAGTGCTAATGTCCACTGAACTTTTGTTTAATTCACATATGTACAACATTTAGATGGCTTTTGAAAGTGCATGTTACTAACACTTCAAGAATAAAAATTTGAAGAAGGGTATTCAGGGTAACTTTCTGAAAGACCTGAGAGTGAAAATTAGATTGGTTGGTCCGAGTCCAGATACTGTGGTGTTTACGGTATTCTGGAAAAAAAGCATGTAACTACAGTTTGAATTTTATGGTAAATAGTTTTTTTTTGTCAGCCAAATCAGGGCACCATCAATTTTTATTTTTTGACTTACCAAGCAAAAAAATGACTTTTTTTGCCATTTTGATAGCAAAGGTATAGAAACCAATTTTTGTGGGTATGTATTTTTAAGGTGTAAATAGGGTAAAAATTTTCAGCCACAGTCTACTTTTTCAAGTTTTGCATCTCCTGACAAGGACTTGACGGTAAAATTTCCTTTAACTACAGTCAGTTGAATTTTCATTGCCTCCTTTTAGCAGTTTGTTTTAGTCAAAACCATTGGAGATGAGCTCTTGGCTGCACCTCTTAGGTTTGTTTCATTATTGGATCAGGGAAGTCTGTCTCCTTAAACTACTAAGATTTCTCAATTTTTAGGGGTTTGGAGAATTTAAGATAGGACATTACACTGATCTATACGAAAGTACTGAAAGTCTGTAGGATATTCATGCAAGTATTTTATTCTCTCCCCTACATTTTCCTCATGTATACTGGAGTGGAAATAATGACTGTTGCATTTTTTAACACTCTTGCTGACCCAACCAAAAAAAAAGTAGAATGGAGTAGAGCCAACATAAGTATCGTCAGAAAACAGGATAAATGAATGAAGGAGGAGGAATATTTATAGGAGAAAGAGGAAAAGAGTGAGGACTATTGGAACGGATTTAACAAGAATCAACTTAGATATCTTTATTTCATGTTTTCTAATTTTCCCTCATGTTTTATGTACTTATCTTACTCTATAGTATAAAATCATGAGGGTATTGTGTCACGCTAAACATGTCACAAACCGGTTTCTCCACCACTCCCCGCTCCCCTCCCGTCGCGCACGCTCACATGCTTCCCGCCGTCTCCAAACCGCGGGTTTTCCCTAACTCTTAATGATCTTAACGATCTCACAATATCTGCACATTAGATGCGCGAAGCACCTCTGGGGGATTGTGCCGCGGAGTGACCAGGGGGCGCAGCCCCCTAATGTTTTTTTAAATGGAGAACTGAATTAATTAACGTTTTGAAACTGGAAAATTTCTCGTATATTATGAAGAGTATACTCACAAAATTTCACGCTTTTCAATGTTAAATACACCTTTTTCAGGAATTAATGAAACTTGCTGCATTTTTTTCTTTTCCAAAGTTTATCTTGAATTCTTAAAACATTGTAATGAATTCTGGTACCAGTTTATCATAAGAAAGAACAAATTGTTTCTCATTAGTGTCTTAAGTGTCTTCAATAGTATAAAACTCCAGACGTCACACTTCCTAAGGAAAATGTAGGCATCTAAATGGAGTTTATTTGATCAGAATGGTCAAGTGGGACCTACTTTACCTCTTAGGAGATAATTTTGTAGTAAAAATAAAATAGTATTAAGAACTGAATGAGTACTCAGTGTTACACAATTATTTTTATTACACTTTAATTGTTACTTCTTACGTCTTACTTCTTTTTGTCACAGAGCCCAGATTCTATAAACAAAGAACAAACTCCTTTTGCAAAGAGGTCAGACTTACCCATTGATGGCGAAGCAGACACACCTATCTGGCCCAACAGCTGTCTATCAGGAAAATCATCAGAGGATGACGAATATCGAGTGTATAATGAGATTGTCAGATCTTTTCCAACAACTTCTTGTAAGAAATCCACCCAATTTAAATCAAATCCTGTCATTTCCTGCAACTTTTCACTGCCAGAAACATCCAACAATTATTTTTTCTTTGAAAGCAGTGTAAGCAATGTAGGAAATAGGTTCACAGGTGACTCAGATGAACTTTCAGCAGATTTTCTCACCAACTTCAACGAACAAGTCATTTTAAGTTCAGTAGAAAATAAGTCTGTTAGGAGTGTCGCGAGTTTGCAGGGTGCCAAGTCCTATCTCCATAGGTGGAAGAATGGAAGGAAAAGCCGGAAACTAAGAGGACATGTTTGGTCTAAAAATAAGAAGCACGCAAAAAAAAATAAAAGTTTGCTTCATCGACATACAATCTTGGAAACTTCCTCCCTATCCCACCAAGCGCACTCTTCTGCTCAAAAGTATCTTCAGACAGACTCCAATGAACCTCATGAAGAAATCCCCAGAGAATTTTTATCAAGTTTACAGCTTCAGAGTCGGTCAGATTCATCAAGGTCTAGTGTCAAGCAACCTATGTTACCCTCCAGGGAGTTGGATCAGATGCCAGAAGTAATTTTAAACAACGAAATCAACACTCCTGAAGATCTCAGTTTTCAATCTTTTGATTCAGAATCCTTCCTCTCCAGTCTGAAAACTCACAACCATTTTCTTTTGAAGGAAGGCAATGAACGGAATAAATGTTTGAGATGTGGTCTGAATTTTCACTTGAAGCCAAGGTTATTGTCTAAAGACTTTCAAAATTCCAGTAGTCATTACTTCCAATGTTTCTTTTGCTGTGCTTCTTACTCTAAAGCATGTAAGTCAGGCTTTAAGTCGCACTTAGGTGCTCATATTTTGTCCTTTTTCTTTAAGTGCTGCAACAGAGAACTGGGGTTTAAAATCAATTTTGATTATGACGTGCAAGCCATCATAAAAAAATATGGTACCAAGTCAAAAAACTCTGCTTCAATTGCTAAAATTCCTCCCACTGGCTTAGATCAAAGAAATCGTTTGAATAGAGAAAATGCTTGCCATCGGAATTATGATTTGGCTCAAACTGTGCTCTCGGATGGAGAGCTCTCAGTTGAAAGTGATTTGGATTCTTGTGAAGATCAGACAGAGCCTCAAGATAATTCCGGCATCATATCACAGCATGTTCCTGAAATTAGTGATACTTTTACTGTAAAAACTTGGGAGTCAGATGCAGAGCTTTTGAAAGATTCTTCAGCGACGAATCATCACCAAAAAAGTAGCACTGAGCCAGTAGGGGCCAGTGAGTATCTCAAAGTTCCAGAAACATCAAAAAGTAATTTAGCGAGTATTGAAGAAAAGTTTACTTTGGTTTCCGACCTGAAACCTCGCTTATTTACGAAGATAGACCTTAATTCAGGTGTTTGCAGTCAACGGCCAGTGAGCAATAGAAGTATCCTGACCTGTCTCTCAGAAGAAGATATGAAAGAGCACTGTCAGCGTGTAAAAAATGGTTGTGCAAGGCTGCCTAGAATTGTTCTTACTCCTGTCACAGAAGATTCCATCAAAATGTATAACTCATCCTTACGCATGAAACGGCGAATCAGAAACAAAGAGGTCATGGATGCTGAAACCTGGAATGAAAGAATGAGTGAAAAATTAAAAAGAGTTTGCCTTGAGTCCCAAAGTTCCCTCCAGGAGTGTAAGAAGTGTCATAACAATTTTGTGAAACATGCCAAAGTTGATTTGTTACTTGAAATGGGAGAGTTATCTCCATGCGGTAAGTGTTTCACGAGTTTCCATTTTAAGCATCGATTTGAAAAGCATGTAATGGCCTCGCATCCATTCGCTGGACCATTTGCCTGCTACCTTTGTAAGCTTAAATGCCAGACATGGGATCAATTCGTATATCATATGAAGCTCCACGATTTAAATAGGCACCTGTGCCAGGATTGCTCCATCTCTGTGCACCAGAATGTAGCCTACTCTCATGAATTGTTAATTCAACGAGCTCTGGAGAGCAACATCGATTTTAAAAGTAACTTCCGAGAGTGGTCTGTGAAGCGGTCCATACGGCCAGATAACCTCAATGAGAACTTGCCCTCGCTGGATGTCCTAAACAAGATCATCGGTATTGAGTCACAAGATAGTCCATCTGATTTACCCGCAGCATGCATTGAATCAAGAGCATTGTCAATTATGGCTCCAGATTTGGAGGGAAAAGTCACCGATTCGAACATTGCTCTCGTGCAAAAGGTTTCTCCGAGTGTAGGAAGAAACAGGAAGTTTAAAAAGCGCCGCCGTAAATTCTGCAAGTTACCTGTTGACCTTTCGTCACTTAGCACCATTGGCGTTTTCTTTAATCACGATACTCAAACAATAGTTGGAGAGTGTTTGAAGCCAACTACAGATCTGGCCCCAGTTTCCCCAGTTTTGGAGACAGCCTCAACTGTTTTTGATCCTCTAAATGGAAGTCTTGATGATTCGCTCTCCACTCAAATCGAAGGAAGTATTACAACCCTGGCCAAACATTTCAGTAAGAATCAGAAAGATTTTGACATATTTGAAATTTATTCCTCACTGGACACAAACAAATATAGTCCCAAGAGAAAGTCCAAATCAGTCGGGCAAAATAAAGGAAAAGCTTCCTGTGTGACCATTGTACGCACTTCTCCCAAAGCATCATCTGACTGTTTAAATGAGATAGAGCGACCTTCATCCCCTATTTTTTATTATGAAGATGAAAATGACGAAACCATCTGCTCATTGCAGAATAGTTTGAAACAGTGCAAGGAAATTCTAGACAAAGATGTTTTTGAACAGAGTGAAATCCTGCCGAGTTGTAACTTTAAATCAAGTTTCTTGCAAGATGATCTGCTGAAAAATGAGGAATCTGCAAAGCAATTGACCTCAAAACAACATAACTCTAATTTACATTCACAAGACCAACCTTTAGCAGTTGGTGTCTCAGAGGAACTGGGTGTACTCCCGAGTGATGAACTTTGTTTGTCAAACCATCTAGAGTTCTGTGGACCGTCCAACACGAGATCAACAACTTTATCTGCAGAAAGTCCCACCATTCACAAGAGCGCCTTTAACAGTGGTTCTAGTAAAGAGCTACTTAATTATAAGGGCTCATCCAACCCATTATCATCGTGTCACATTGAGGTCATTGGCATCCATTTCATTCAAGAAACAGAAAACAGCACAGGTGATTTTGTAGACCAATCTTCCGCTGACAGAGAAAACGAATGTCGTAAAGATCAAAATGAAATAAAAGTTAGCAAGCTAACTTTTGGCTCTGTTGATTCAATGAAATTAGCAAGGCCTTCATCCATTGTTTGTCCTCACCCTAATAAAGTCTTTAAAATACCTTCATCTGAATGCTGCACCCAAGTATCCAATTCAGCTGTCAAATTTGATATGCCATCAAAAAGTAAGGAATCAGATTTATCGTCAGTCGCTTCTAGTGCAGTAATGAACGCTCCAACTCCTGTAGAAATGGACAGGACAGCCTTGTCTGATACACAAAGCCTCCTTGCAGATTTGTGTGAAAGGGTTGAGATGGAATCCGATCCAATTAGCAATGTTAAAATGCAATCAAGCAATGAAGAAACTGAGACACTATCAGTTACCTCTGGTGCAGCAGTCCGTGAGTCAGCAGTTGAATCTGTCGTAGACACAGACAGAATAGCCTTGTATGATACTCAAAGTCTCCTTGTAGAAATGTGTGATAGAGTTGAGATGGACTTGAATTCAACCAGCAATTTTGAGATACTATCAAGTAAAGGAGAAATTGAGACCCTATCAGTCATCTCCAGTGCAGTAATGAACATGCCAACTATTGAGTCTGCTGTAGCAATGGACAGGATTACCCTGTTTGATGCACAAAGCCTTCTTGCAGAAATGTGTGATAGAGTTGAGATGAACTCTGATTTAAGTAGTGATATTGAGATTCAATCAAAAATTCAAGAAACAAAAGCACAGTCAGTTGTCACTGGTGCAGCAGTTAATACTCTAATTGTTGAGTCTCCTGATGAAATTGACAAGACAACTCAGTGTGATACTCAAAGTCTTCTTGTTGAAATGTGCGATAGAGTTGAGATGGACTTGGATTCAACGAGTAATTTTGAGATACTATCAAGTAAAGGAGAAATAGAGACCCTATCAGTCATCTCCAGTGCAGTAATGAACATGCCGACTATTGAGTCTGCTGTAGAAATGGACAGGATAACCCTGTGTGATGCACAAAATCTCCTTGCAGAAATGTGTGAAAGAGTTGAGATGAACTTTGATTTAAGTAGTGATATTGAGATTCCATCAAAAATTCAAGAAACGAAGGCACAGTCAGTTGTCACTGGTACAGCAGTTAATACTCTAATTGTTGAGTCTCCTGATGAAATTGACAAGACAGCTCAGTGTGATACACAAAGCCGCCTTGCAGAAATGTGTGAAAAAATTGGGATGGGCTGTGAGTTGGAAAGTCAATTTACTTATAAAAATCATTCTCACATTGGTGTTTTACCAAGAAACTCTAATATTCAACCTAATTTAGATGTTTTAAACATGGCTGAAACTCATACCTGTGCAAATAGTTCTACCGCAACAGTTATGCAGTATCATCCAAGTGAAAGCCCAATGGATCAGAACTCAATACCTTTAGATTTATCCAAACCCTATGATGCAGGACTTGGTTCTGAGTCACGTTCGGTCAGTAGGAGCAGTTTAGGTTTGTCATCAAAAAATCCACCTCGAAATGAGCCAGTTATCAATAGGATATCTCCTTTGTTAGACAGACGCATGCGCTTTCCATTAAATTTGACCAAATCGGCACCCTCACAAGCCAGTATTTTATCTGAATCAATGTCTGACAACATGGAAGATTCTAGTTCAGACGATGAGGAAACTGTAATAGCAAGTAATGTATCTGGTGCATCAGCAGAAGTTTTTGAAGCAGTAGAGTCTTTACTTTCAGAGGTAGAGCAAGATATTCCCAGTTTTTCTTCAACTTTTAATGAATCAAAGAACATGAAAGCATGGAAAGACAGGTCACGTGAAGCTTCTCCCACCATCGGGTTCCAAAGTTTTGACTATTCTGATGGGTGTTCTTACATTGCAGATTCTAGTTCAGATGACGAGGAAACTGTAACTGCAAGTAATGCATCTAGTGCATCAGCAGAAGTTTTTGAAGCAGTAGAGTCGTTACTTTCGGAGGTAGAGCAAGATGCTCCTAGTTTTTCGTCAACACATAATGGAAGGGAGAACATAAAAACATGGAAAAACAAGTCAGGTGAAGCCTCTCCTACCATTGGGTTCGAAAGTTTTGACCATTCTTACAGCAAGATTGATTCGATATTGATAAATATGGAGGGTAAAACCAAGAAGCAATGGAGCCAATCAAGGAACTTGCCAACGAAACGGGCTCTGAAACGTTTGCATGGATCAGAGCCAGTGTCAAGTACAGGATCTGACACCGACTCCAGTTACAGCTTACGGCTCTCAGCGCATCCTTCCAGGGTATTTTCCTCATTAAGGAAGTCAGTAAAAAAGCGGCGTTTTTTGGGAAAACAAAAAGACAATAAACAAAGTTGTAATTCACCCAACCTTGGAAATGAAGAAATTCCTGTAGAAGACGCAAAGAAAAACCAAAGGGGTAGGAAGCGGAAGAAAGGCTGGAATCCTGAAAGGGCCCAACGACAAGCTGTGATCTGCCGGCAACAAGGCAGAGGACCCAATGGCAGGTTTTTAACAAAGACTCAAAAGTCTGACAAAAAGTCTAAACAGAGACCATCTCATGTCCTTGACCATTCTTACAGTACACTCGAATCATTTTCAAGCCTCAGAAGTCAGAACTCTTCTAATGGAGACACAACAAGTCTGAGTGATTACAATTTGGATAAATCTGAGTGTGAGTCAACAACAGATCACCCAAGAAGTAAGATAGGTGGATCTGACACATACAGAAGAGGTTTTAAAGTCCGCAAAAAAAAAGTTAGCTGTTCCTTAAAACCAACATCCCAATCATTGTTAAAACCTAACCAGTTTCATGGTCCCAGTGATGAGTTTTTCGCCGGTGGAGTAAAAAATCATGCTACGGAAGCTGAAGTCAAAATTTCAGAGGGACCCAAGAAAAGAAGAAAACGAAAAATATACACTGCCGATGTACAAAGAGCCCTACGATCAAGATATACCTCTCAATCTAGTTCTGATTACCCTAAGTGTCAATCAGAAAACTCAGCTGAAAAGCCTACTGTTCTGAAAAATCAAACTTTCCTCAAAAATTCCTCAACTGATCAAGAGAGTCAGAAACATATCGGAGTTGCCATTATGCAGGTGCCTGGAAGTAACAAAGAGCCTGTTGAAATTAGTGCTGTTCCAATATTAATTAATTCCTCAGAATCTTCTCAGGTGTCATCCCAACTGAGTCACCAAGCAAAGCGCAAAAAGCGTCGGCGACTTGCCAGAAGATTCTGTCATCGAACATTGAGTAGCAAGTACCGATACTCTAAGTTGCAAAATATTACTCCACAGTCAGCTGAAAGATCAGTTATTGGTGATTTGTCAACAAACAAAGGAGAATCAATCGAAGAAAATTTGACCATAGGTAAAAAAAGAGCGAAATCTCATAATAAGAATGATATGGTCAAAAATTACTCTTCCAAAAAAGTCTTGATGGATGATCTTGGTAGTAACAGACTTATCAACAAAGGAGAAGATAATATTGGCAGAGGTAATGCTCTTAAAGTAGAATCCACAAAACATCTTGATAATACATGCACTGCAAAGACTTTTCAAAAACGACAAAAGCAAAGTTCGGAGAAACGTTTATGCAAAGGGCGCCAAAGGGAAGCAACTACTTCTATCAAGAATTCCCCATTGCCCGATAACAATGTCCTTAGTATGTCCACCGAGAGCAAAAACATTGAAAATTCTAGCTCACCAACGAAAAAACGTAAAAAACGAAACTCAAGAAAGCCCTTTACTGTTCGGAAGAGAAGGACAAATGTTGGCAATAATCTTATAACTTCCAACAGTGCATCCAAAGTAAAAAATGAAAATACACTTGAGCCGTCTGAAAATGGTCGTCCACTCCTTGCAACAAAATTGCAGTCTGCAAGAATAAAATGTACCGGTAAACGGCGCCTTCAAAAGCTCGGTCGATCCCATCAGAGATCAATGAAATCAAACACCAAAACCGACATCAATCAAGACCTCAATAATGTACTCGCTGAATCTGTAGAAATTTTGACAGAAGTTCTACAATCGAGCACTTCCATTGACCATCAGATGGAAACAAACTTTTCATTTGATGTTCCTTCTCAAGACAATGCCCAAGAAGACACGGTTGAGACAAATCCAAATGAAGAAAGTCGTTTTCTTACCACAGATTGTCACTCTGACTTAGTATCATCTGTTGATAATAATAACTTAAGCAGTAAATCATTAAATGATGCAGCAGGTGGTACAACTGAATCAAAGTTGACTGAAACAGTTGCCCAGCGTTCATCCCACCGTAGGAACCGGGGCAATCGATTAACAGAGATCTGCCTGATGATTCGTGTCCCTGGCTTACCTCGAAAACCTAAGCCTGGCTTTGTTGTATCGAAAGCAAAAACAGTCAATCTTCAAAGTGGTAAAATTACGAAGACAGAGAGAAGGAACGTGAAATCTTCTAGAGATCTCAAATCCAAAGCCTCATGCGCAAAAGGCCGCAAAGCAAAGAAGCAGTTCCAAATTCGGCAGCAAAATATGCGCAGTAAACAGCTGAACTCAGTCAAAATCACCACCAGAACTGCTCAAGGGGCATGTCACCCCAACTCAAAGAATGATGAGAAAAATTTAGCCACACCAAAGCCATTACCAGCAACAACAGAACAGCAAGAATCAAAAGAGCAGAAAAGAAAATATCCAACCAAGCCACGAAAAGGATGTTCTCGTACTTTTTCTGCACGTCATGTCCTGTTCAAAAGACGATGTCTCACTGAATTGCTGGAGACAGTAAATTACATAAATGTAAATCAGCTAGATTCCAGTCAAATTAACTCTGGAGTCAAGATTAATTCTGACAACAGACCAAAGCCCCCTAAGCTTATGAAACGTAGAAAACACAAGAAATCATCATCCTCCAAGTCAGCAGAAAGGAAAGGAAAAGAAAGAAAAAACTCCTCTCTTAGAACTTCATCGAAGCTCTACAAAGTAAAAAAATTACCATCAGATCATTCATCAACCGATCTTGATACCTGCGGGTCTTCTCTCAATTGTGCTCCAGCGGAAGACACCAAAGATAGTCTTAGTCCTTGTGAAGCAGAAAGGAATCAAGCTTTGAAATTATTCTTCTCTGTTAACCTCCCAACTCTCAAACCGGCTTTTTCAGAAGAAAACAAACATTGTTCAGAAAGTGGTGCAATTTTTTCTTCTCCTTGCAGCAGCTCTAACACCTTGAAGAAGCTAGAATTTGCTGAATCTCAAGCCGCAGAGAAAATATCAGAGCTTTCGGAATCATTAGGTGTTGATAATAATTCAATTAAATCGACAAACATTTCAGTTGTAACTAGTAAGCCTTCCAATGAGGATAACGATCGCAATAATGAGCCTTCCACAGAAATACCTCATGTTGTTAGCACAGGGAGCCCCTCTCCTGTCTTGAGTGATCTTGAATCGGAGCATAATAACTTGAGTCATGATACATCATCTGACTCTGGAAGTAGAAATCAAGGTTTTGAATCAAGTAGTCCATCCATCACTCATACCTCAATTCAAAAAGAATTTTGTGTGGAGGACAAGGATAAAATTTCAGAGCACACAGCCAAAAAAATTAATCTGGACAGTACTGAAGAACCCAACAAATCAATGGACTGCACTGTGTCTTCTGGGCCAAAAATGGCCAAAATATCTCCTTCTTTCAGACAAAAACCCAATGAGTGTCAATTTCAAGTGGCTCCAGCCGTTGAACATGAAAGAAGAATGAACTTGCCTCAATCTCAAGCCATGAACATTAATCCATGGGGCTCTGCCTCTGGTCCTGATAGTAGGATGTACTACCCTCATCAGTCAGAGATAATGCCCTCATATCAGCATTTTGACCCTTGTTTTGAGTCCAACTCCAGAGGAGTTTGGACTCCTCCATACACAAATAGAGATCACTGTCAAGAGATGTTTCACAATTATCACAGAAACAATCCCTGTAGTACAATGAACTACTATGCGTCTGCAGGTGCACAAAGCGCACTCCAATCTGCAGCTTCAAGACCAAATTTCTGCAATTTTCCACAATATACTGACAGCCACTCCACAAGTGTTCCCATCAGTCTTCATAATCAGAATGTTTCGTCTCATGAACACACCCAACAATTTTATCCTAATTTTTACTCCAGTATGTCTAATACAACCGCAAATCCCATTAACTATCAAACCAGCAATTTTTACTCCCCTCAGATTTCAGCCACTTTTTCTCCGAACTCTCAAGTTCTTTCAAGACTTGATAGCAATTACAGTCAAGTTGGTCCTTCAGTCAACCAAAGTCCCTCTGATTTAGGAAATCATACTTCATCACAAAATTATACCTGTAGCGAGCCTATCCCTCATTCCTTCACCAACAGCAATCAAGAGTCTACTCCCTCCAATATGAATGGACCTGTGTACATGACTTTGTAATTTAGGAAATGTTAGTCTCATTTCAGGAATTTTGGTGTTGTCTCTCTTGCAAGATGTATTAAAACAATTGCCTTGAAAAATCCCTCCCCCCTCTCCTACATCCCATTTAAAAATTTAATTCAGTTCACCGGCTGATCTATTCATGTTTGAGATGATTTCTGAGGAATGAGATGGAAATTCTGTGTAAAATCACTCATTCCTTTTTGGTCCGAAGAAGAAATTATTGTTTATTTTGTGCAAATAATATTTGATTTTGTAAAATTCCTAATGCTTACACCAGAGGCAAATTGGTATTCTATTTGCATACCAGCAGCTATGAGTTCTCGTGTGTAAAGCATAAATTTTCTGTGATTTTTTTAGTGTATTAGTTAGTTAGTTATTTGATACGTTTGTAAACTCTGTCTGTGTATAATGGAAGGTTGATGTTAAATGCCAAAATTTTAAGCTTTCAGTGCTGACAATCTCAGTGCCTGCAAATCTTCTTTTTTTTGTGCTTGAAAGTTGAATTATGACAAAATCAGTAGCCCTGCCATTTTTGCAAAATTTCTCAATTGACCAGATGGTCCACTTAAAAGTTTCAGGGATGCATCAGAATGTCATCGCCTAATAAATGGCTCATATATTGTTCATAGCTCATTCTCAATTCACATGATAAGTTTTTAATCATAAAAAAGCTTACCATTAGATAATCTTTTAGTTTCAGTATCAAATTTTCATAATTTCTTGTTAATTCATGGTTACAAATGTCGTCTTTTAAAAGTCTGAAAATATTATAACATTTTTAGGTAATGAGTTTTACCTACCTCTCTTTGTTGATATAATTGTGATTTTGACCAAACTGGTAGATTTCTAAAAATATCATACATCGCATTCTAATATTTTTTTAAAGATTCTCCATCAGTCAACTCCTCATTCCTTGTAAAAAAGTTCTCTCATTAGATTCCAACCATCCATTTTGTACAGTTTGTCAGTTTGTTTTTTGTTTTGTAATATTTATTTATCTGTTCATTTTTTTTTTGTATAGTGTTAATAATTGTAAATATGTTGGAAACAGTGGACTGTAATTACCTTTTACCTCTTATATTGGTTAATAGGAAGAAATTTTGCTCCAAAATCTTCAATTTTTCAATTTTATACTCCTCTCATGAATGTTGTCTTTGTTCACGTAAAACTATTTGCTGAGACATAAGTATTATATATGTGTGGTCACAAAATCAGAATCAAGTTTCTCTCAATTTTTTATACTACCTAACAGGTATACGGTCTCTGAATTTTGTAAAGTCTATTTTGAAGAATTTTATTCATGAGGAAAAGTTTCATTCCACCATCTTTGTCATGATCTTCATTTTTTATAGCAAACACCCATTCGAAAGGGAACAGTGTAACTGAAGAAGTAAAAAAATTCATAACAGACTCAATGTTTCTTTCGCTCTTCCCGGTACACGTAACATTATGTAATTTTGTTTTTCTATTCCATTCTTGAAGGAATATGAAATATTTTTCAAACTGAAAATCGTTTTTCACTCTTTCAGTGTTTTTATCTCAGTACGGTGTGACCAAAATTCACATTTAATATTGTTTTAGAGAAAATGTTGGTGTCTGGTTTGTATGTAAAATTTTTTGATCAGGCATACTTATACACAAGTGCCCTGAAATACCACCAGTTAGTGTTTTCGTCTCAGAAGTAAGCTTGCCATTCAGCTGGTCATTTTTTGATTTAAAACGTATTTGTTATATTTTTTAAGATACTCTGTTTTTTCAACTGTTGGTAAATTTGAAACGTTTCTTTAGAGGTAGTAATAAGCCTGGTGGTTTTTGATGATGATCCATTCTAATCCAGCCTTTCAAGTCGTCTCATTAATTTGTAATTTGCTACAGCATTTTCTATGTTGTTCCTCTCTAAAAATACGGTTCATCCGTCAGATAGGCAAATAAAAAACCCTGGGCTTCTGACGTTTCTGCTGCAAGAAGTCTCACACCAAAAAAAAATTAATCAGAGTTGGATGAGAGTATCCTGCTTTTAAAATTCGCAGATGAAGTCGAGAAAACAGGAATATAGCCTGACTAAAAGACTGAAGAGAGGTAATTTTTCTCAGAGAAAGTTTTTCAAAATATGGATCCCTTACATCTAGGGGCCAAATGTTTAGGCATTTTCATGCGTCTAAAATGTCCCTCTAATCAGTTACCTCCACACTATTTTAAGCACTATGCCATTCTTTTTTTTTTGTTAATTAGCTGAAATGTGGTTTTTATTTACATTCAAAGAAATGAACTCTCAAAAGGAACCAAAATTAGTTTGGTTGCTGACCAAACTCCAAACTGTGCTGATGTCTGAAACATTCCCTTCCAGAAACGTTTTCTTCTCTCCTTCCATCTCAGACTTGATTTGTAATCAATTTAGGCCTTTAAAAAAATCTGACTTCTAAAATTATTTTAGTAACAATTCTCCAGCCCCAAGTAGCAAGAGGAAATATTTTCTTCTGTCTCTCTGTTTACTTAGAAATAACTTTCTGCCGTTCATAAGCTTTTTTCTCAGGGAAGTAGCCGTGTATCATATTTTGTAATGTACAATTCCACCCTTGAGACTTGTGCTGTCACGGTTATTGATCTTTCTAATAAAAGCCAATTTTTTCAAAAAGAATTCTCTTGTCTTATTGGACATTTTTAAGTACCTAGTTTGATGTTTACCCCAATATTTAGTTTAATTTCAGAACCAATGAAATAAAACCACACAACGGGTTTTCAAGACTCAACACATGTATAAGATCAAAAATAAATCTGTTCAATAACTTTCTACATCTAACACTCAATGTTAAATGGATCGCATTTAGCAAAAAGGAACCAGCGTGATTACAGCGTTTTCTTTTTAAATCTTCTTTTCCTTCAAAAATACTCAATTTATGTACTGTATTATAATTCACATAATTTTTTTCCTTTAAAATGAACAATATTTTGGTGGGAAGCAAAAACTTTTTTGCTATTCTGGGAGATTTTTGAGATAATCCTAAAGAAGTAACATTTGTACGACACTGCAATTATTGTAATCCTCCGTCACATTTTTACGGCGCAATGATACAACTATTTAAACTTTACGGAATGCGTGAGGTATCACGCCGCGTTTGAGGGCGTTTTCGAAACAGCCAAGTTTCGATACCCGGATTATCGTTTTGCATACTTCTTATTATTTTGTTTCATTTTCTACCATTTCTTTGTTTTCAATTTTCCTGTAAAAACCACTCATTTGCTGAATATACTTCTGGCTAGAGCGAATTTTAGCTATGCATTCTCGACTGCTAAAATGTCAAAGGAAATCGACAAGGCCAGCGTGTATGAAGGCTATTTCAATTGTAATCTTCCGTCGCATCTCTAAGGCGCAATGATACAACTATTTGAACTCTCCGGAATGCGTGAGGTATCACGTCGCATTTGAAGGCGTTTTCGAAACAGCCAAGTTTCGATACCCGGATTATCGTTTTGCATAGTTCATATTCTTTTGTTTTATTCCGTACCACTTGTTTATTTTCAATCCTCGTATAAAAACCACCCATTTGCTAAATACAATTCTAGTTGGAGCGCACTTCAGCTAAGCATTCACCACTGCAAAAATGTCAAAGGAAATCGACAAGGCTAGTGTGTATGATGGCTATTTCAATTTTGCGCTGGGTCCATTTTGCTAAATTGTATCCAAATAATTTGATCGGGAAAAAAACAACATTAAGTAGCATGTAGAAAAAAATATATTTTCTGGTGTTGTATTCAATGCCAAGGGCTCAATTTGGAAATATATATCAGAAATTGTTGAAAATAAGCCTCCTTCGGAAGTTCAGGCATTTTTACGTGGAAAATTTCTGAGGCGTCATAGGAAAATTTTCAGTTTGACTTTTGTAGGTGTAGTAAATCCAATTTCAGAATCCTGAATAGATTTTGGAAGCGGGTGACGAGTTTCTCTTTTGATATATCTCATGTCCTGCCAAAATAGAAAGATCCACTGTCCGCTTTAAGGGTTTCTGGCCACTCTTTAAAAATTCTTACTGTCAAAAAGTTTATTGGTGAAAGTACCTATTATTTTTCCTAACTGCACCAAACTATAGTAGCTTTCACTAGAGTTTTAAAAAGTAATTTCACTTAAAGTTAACCTTTGGTAAATATTAGGTACTGTTAATAATAGGTAGCGTAGCAGAAACTTAATTATTCGGTTTTTTAAGAGTTGGCTTTATAAAACTTACAAGGTATTAATGATTAATTAACTACATTCCCTCTGATTGCTACATAGTAATTTTTTGTCGAAAACTGACAACCTGAAAAGCGGATAGTGCTCCTTGGAAGACGAGACAAAACTCTCAAATAATGAACCGCACTTACGATCATTAGTTCACACCGGCTCATAGAAGAGTTGGTAGAGAACGGGCCTTTCAACGCATGTTAAATATCTAAAAATTGATTAATTGGCACTTCATCGGGCGATTTGATAATCAGGGCCGCATGATTTCATAGATCGTAAAATCATAATCACGATGAAAGAATTGGGAAGTTCGAAAAAATGAAAACATTAAAAAGACATCTCTGCGAGCGAGGGCGCCTCAACAAAAGATGTAGAGGTTAATGTAGGTAGTGGGTATAGAGGGGGGGGGGGGGACCTCGACGACCGCAGCAGAGAAAATGGATATAGGTACTACCAAAGGAAATGCTCATTAGCGCAATTGGCTGTAACGCCTTAAATTATCGCGGCGCTGCGCCGCACAGTGGATTGAGCCTATAGGATAAGTCGGACACAATTTGGAAACTTTAAACGTTTATAACTCTATATATTCAAAATTTTGCGGTTCTGAAAGTTGTTTCATTGGTTTTCTAGTGAAATTTTCTTCATAAAGCACCCCTTAAAGTTTAAAATGTGACAAAATAAACATTAAAATTTGCAGTTTTAGTCAAAAATTGTTTGTCCGACCTCTCCTACTGACTCGGTCCACTGTGCGCCGGACCTATGATTTTTTCTTACATGGTGCAAGATTAATTTAAGCTTTCTGTTAGGGGAAGTTTAAGGAGCCTTCTACTATTGAGGATAGACTCAGAGAGGCACCCACGTCGAAAAATTCTCAAAATTTAGTATTTCTCATGTAATATTTGAAGTATTTTCAGTGTTCTACAAAACGCTGAATTGACAGCTACCGCAGTTACCTACTTTAGCAATGTCAAGATGTAAACCTAACTGTTGGGGCGGTTACCGAATTCAGCGTTTTATGAGTTGTCGCACATTTTTTTACATCCCGAATGTTCAACCAGCATCCTCTTTTTTCCGGTAAAATCATAATGGCCGTATTTGATCGGCTTTAAAATAAGCACCATCTCGATTCAATGTTTCTAAAATTGTTCCTATCCGTTGTGCTTGCCACCGACGATTGAGGTGAACTTTACTAGTCCTTTAATCTTTCAAGTCAGTCGAATAAAATCGAAGTAAAAACTGTCGACTCATACAGGTACTGAGCTCTGAAAATTCGTGATTTACGCAAAGTGGTACTTTTCAGATTGCGATTTAGCTAGTTCGAGCGATAAATTATTTCCTGCCTTCTTCGAGTCGAACCTCAAGAAAGACGGATGATGCCGGTAAGAAGGAAAGTAAGACACGACATCAAGGACGATACCAATATCCTATCACAAAGTTAGTAATCAGCTCAATCCACATTAATGAAGGTATACTGGAGTGTGTTTTTTCGAATAGATGACTATTCTCACTCCCCGGTAGGCAAGTTGCCTATGCAGCAAAATTGAAGGCGAACTTCAAGTAAACGATACCCACCGCACTGGGTTAGCAACATCTTTCATCTCCTTAGTTCAATCAAAGCTTGTAGCGATGTAAATATGCTTTTTTTGAAAAGATAACTATTTGCGCTCTATGGCATGTTTGTTGCCTATGCGGCAAAATTGAAGGCGAATCTTAAATAGAAAATATCCGCCGATAGGTTTACGCATGATTTTTGTTTAGCAAAGTTTGTAGAATGAGATTGTATGTTCTTGAAAAGATAAGTAGATGAAATTCATCTCGAGTATGTTGGTTGCCTATGTGGTCAAATTGAAGGCAAACTTCAGATAGACGATACCTACCAGTGGGTCAGCAACATTGTTCATCGGCTCGATCAAAGAATATTGAGCGAAATAAGAGCATGTTTTCGAATCAATAACTTTTCGCGCTTCCCGGTATATTTGTTGCCTATGCGGTAGCATTGAAGGCGAACTTCTGTTGGACGATACGTGTCAATAAGTCCACGTGGCATATGACCTCTTGTTTCCGTCAAAGTTTCCATAAATGTGTATGTTTCGAATAAATAACGGGAAATCCGGCTAAAACATTATTCCCTCCCAAAGATTCTGAGGACATTATATAAGTTTTCTTCTCATATCATATTCAGTTATTATTGATCTGAAATTTTCTCGGAGTGGTCACCACCGAATGTTTGTGGCTTACTTAACGAACGAATAAGTTGCATAAATGCCGTGGGAACATGCTGGTGAACATATTTTCAAAAAAGGCAAAAACAATTACGTATTTCCGAAACATTCTCGGCATGATTCTCTCAGAACTTTTCAATCTTCTGAGGAATGTACTCAGAGTTCGATAATATCCTGTTGCTGATAGGAGGAGACTTTGAAAATTCAAGATAACATTTCTAAATACTTATATTTTTAATGAAAATCAGTGACATCGGTGACATATCGATCCGACGGTGTGAATCGGCAATCACATAACTCGGTTTGCGACGTCGCAGACTTCCCGTCATACTTTATTTTTTAAACGAAAAACTACTCAACGGCAATTCTTTAAAACTGCCGTGTGCGAAGACAATTCTGCAAAAACTTTAAGGAATGATGTCAATTTGTCCTCCTTTAAAAAAATAACATAGAGGCGAAGATTTTCAGACACCGCAAACGAGATATGTAATTGCCGACTTACACCGTCAATATGTCTTTTTACATTAAATCTAAAACGACGTTAGCTGCTGGAAAAAATTTGAGTAGAAGCTCTCTGCATCAACGGCTTCTTTCGTTTTCGTGTGTAATCTGATGTTGCGGCCCAGTTCGGGATGGACGAGGCCAAAGGTCTCTGCAGTTCGTGCCTAGAAAAAACAGTGAAACATACCTACATGAGCTTGAAAAAAAATAATATTACGCAGGTAGGAAAGGTCCGTTCAGATCGCAACATATCGCAATCACTGCTACTTGGGCCGTCATACTTATTTTTTCTTCCGAAAACTAGAGAACATGATCTCTTAATAACTTCATCGATTTTTCCTCCCTATTAGACAGAGCCGGATTTACCTACATGCTGCCCATGGGCCGCCTGTATTTTTCCGCCCCCTTCTCATTTGTTTTGAAACATCAATAGATCGTATTCGACAGTGTTTCGATGTATCGTTTGGTTCAAAACAATAGAACATAACCTCGAACAAAAATTTTAGGATTTAATTTAGAAAAGCTGAAAATGAGAAAATTCCTAACAATTTCACTTTTCATTGCCATTTGGAACCCGAGAGATTAAAAATTCGATCACATAAAACCCGTTACCTAGCTCAGATTTCTAAATTGACTTCTGAGGCTGTGGTTACATATTGAACCAATCGATATCAATATAATTTAACCTGTGTGATCCGTCGAATACGATCTATAAAAACCATCAAGTGAACGTGCCGGTGGGGGAGGGGTGTTTAAGACGCGTTTACTCGTGTTGGGCAAATTTTTTGTAAAAGCCCTGTCAACACTAACAAAAGTTTAGTTCCGTAAACCCATTCTTGTTTGGACAAGGCCTTCTGTTTATAAAAAAGAACGAAACAATTATGAAAGAACAAACATAAATGTGCTTAAAAATTTTAACTTCCACCGCCGCGCCGACCGCACTGTGTTGGCGCAATGCGTGAGGTATTCATGCAGTCTTGTAGGCGCTATGCGTTTCACGCCGACCGCTGCTGACCACACTGTTTGGCGCAATGCGTGAAGTATTCATGTAGTCTTGTAGGCGCTATGCGTTTCAAGCCGACTGCTGCTGACCGCAGTGTGTTTGACGCAATGCGTGAAGTATTCATGCAGTCTTGTAGGCGCTATGTGTTTCACGCCGACCGCCGCGCCGCTCCGTTCCAGGTCAAATTGCGTGTTTGGTTTCTCTCTTAACTCGACTAATTAAAGGTGTTGTCTCTTGTATCACCGAAAGACGACAAAATTAAAAATTCCCACATTTTTACTCTCAGGAAATGAGAGATTTTGTCGCCTTTTCTCGTTCGTAATTTATTTTCTGAATCCGATTGTTTTCTCTCATTTTTTGATACCTACATTCAAAAAGATTGCAAAATTTGCCGCCCCCTAAATTTTGCCGCCATGGGCCGCGGCCCATGTGGCCACCCCCTTAATCCGGCCCTGCTATTAGATAGCAGAATAGTTTTTATGAATTTCGAACTAAAGTTTGCTTCATTCTCTACGTGGTTCCGCATTTTGACTGTCGACATATAACTTAAAAGAAGCTTACTTTTATGTCATTGGTGCATCCTTTCAAATTTAAATCACCCGCGATGTTTTTTGCGATAGCCATCCTGTCGTTATCGCTCAACGATTCGTACCACTCGCGGGCTTGGGTGAAATTGTCCTCGTCTAGAGTGTCGTACCTGGAATAAACATCATTTGATACAAAATACGGCAAAAAATCTAAAAGTGTTTCCAGGGTTTGAACTCACGTCAACAAGTTGGAGGAGCGATCCTTTACAGGTCAAATCTTATTTTGACCTGTACAGGATCGCTCCTCCAACTTTGTAGAATAGTTCCTTAGTAGAAGGTTCCTCCTAGTCTCTGGGCAGGGCCCGAATTTTGTCGGCACTTACACTGGAATGCAACATATTTATATGAGTCCAAACCGCACCACCAACCAATCAGATGCACAGGGACCAGAGACAAGGCACCCTCCATTGCTATCTTGGCGATGGTGGGAGCTTTTACTTTTGGGACTCCAACATTCAACTGTTGACTCACCTGCCAGGTCAATAATGAGCAACGTGTTGGGTATTTCGTTCCGCAAACATACCGAAGTTTGTCAAACTTGTTTGGCCCATTACGTCACCCGGAGCTCATCATTTACCTAGTAGAGGAGATGACTGTTTCTCCCTTATAATTATCCACGAGGAAGTGTTTGAATCCCCAAGAGTAAAAATTTCCACCTGTCGCCAGAGGCAAGAGGGTCTCTTGTCTCTGGCTAGGACGCGCCCTAGTGAAAGTCGATCTCGTGCGGGTGGTGAACCATGGTCCACGTCTCGTCACCTCCACCAACCTCCAGCCTCCAGTCACCTCCAGTCACCTCCCGTCATCTCCCGTCACCTCCTATCACTTCCCCTCATCTCCCGTCACCTCCTATCACTTTCCCGTATCGCCCGTCACCTCCCGTCACCTCCCGTCACCTCCCGTTATCTCCCGTCATCTCGCGTGAGCCCATGCAGAGGGAAGCGAAACAAAGGCATAGTTACGGGAATTCCATCCTTGGCAAGCTATCCCTGGAGGTGACGGGGGGTGGCGGGACGTGGACCATGGTCCGGGCTTATGTGAAGTCGTGACTCGTCCTAAAGATATAAAAGCACCGGGAAAAGGACCGACTAAATTTGGCCCTAGGACCGTGTAATTACCTTCCGACGGGTCCAGTGGTGTTCCATGCCACGAACTCAACCGACGGATCGGGCCGAGCTTGGTCGAAGGAGCTCGGGTAGAAGTTGTTGTCGAATCCGAATTCCTGGTGCATGTTCATTTGTCCGTCACGGACCAAGTTGTAAGGCGGGTAGTGAAGCGGCCGATTCACCGGCACTTGCATGAAGTGATTGCCGATCCGATGCCTTTGCGAGTCTTTGTACGCGAACAGCCGCGCCTGCAAAAACCAGAATGGTGAGTGTGACGGCCACATGGATTGCATTTTGCAAAGAGGAACCAAGAGCAGTCCAATGTTGCTGGGATTGTGTAAAATACATGTTTTTCCATAAAATTGCTACCCAAAGTAGCATTTTTCAGCGGAAAAATCGCTATATTTTGCAATTTTATTGGCGATAAAATCGCCACGATCATCGACATCTGAGCGATTATCCTCGATCTAATCGCAATAAAATTGCGCTTATATCGCCCGACAAGTTATCGCGATATTTTCGAAATAAAAATCGCGATTAATGGCGATTTAGATTGTATGTACAATGTTGAGTATTTATATATGTATGTAGTGGTCGCTTTTACAGCGCACTAGGGCACTGCGCGACACCTAAACGCTGCTTTTGTAGAATCTGCCAAGGTGGAGATTTTCCGGAAACTAGCATATCTCCATCTCTTTTTGGATGTCATTCATCCATCTTATAACTAACTATAATTTGACGCCGACTTGGAAAAGGTAACACTTTGAAATTTTAGCCTGTGAAAAACTCAAAATGCAAACACACCGTTGAACAAGAACAAGTATTATATTATTTTTTTTTATCTATGCGACGCTTTTTGTGGTACACGTACCTGAAGCACTCGATCAAGGCTGGGTTGTATTCCCGGAACCAGATTCGCTGGGCTGAAGGCAAGTTGCTCGATTTCCAAATGAAAGTTGTTAGGAAGCCTGTTCAATGTCATCGTTCCAACTGGGATCAAGGGATACTTATCTTCCGGCCAAAGCTTCACAAATAAGTATAGTCGTAAATATTCATCGAAATATTCCAAAAATGAGCTGAAAGTCTTAATGATACTCAAATTGACACTTTTAGACGTCGCTGACAGTTTCACCAAGTTGATCGGTTCAAAGAAAAGCAAGTCGCAAATTCACAATTAAACTGTCAACATTTGCGACGGTATTTCCACTTTAATCATGGTATGTAGGTATATTTTTATAGCAATGTAGGTATATTTTTAAGAGTGCTATGAATACACATCAGATAGCCATAATTGAGTGGCTTGGAGGACAAGGCGAAGTGCAGCTTTTGCTATTTCGAGAACTACGTGTTTGAAATTTTGAAATTACACGGATCCTTATGGCGGAAAGAATGTTCAAACGGATTCTTTGATGCTTAAAAATTGGAATTTGGGCGCCAATTTTTTATAGATTATGCATTAAGACTAGTTTTACATGAAATCATTAATATCTCAATTTTTTTCAAAAACTTCACTTAAATAATAAACTTAAATATTCAAAGTTTATACCAAGAACCCGCATATTAAAAATGGTAACAATAAAATTCACTTATACTAGAATTGAAGATACACCGGCAATATGTAAAAGAAAAAATTGATATGTACCTAGTGTTTGGTAGATGAATAAAGTGATATACTAGTGATTTTATTAACTTTGGATTTTCAAGATTCATATTTTTAATATCATATTTAATTCTATTTATATTCTATTAAAATTTTAAGTTAAGTTAAACTAATAATTTTCAAAATTATAATTAAATTTAGTGGTTTAAATTTAGCATTGTCCTCCAATCCCCTCAAATGGACCGCGTTTAACAGAAAGGAACCAAACCACATCAGCTTTTGCCAAATTTAACAGGGCAATTTAATTTTTTACGAGAGAACGTTTGTGTAGATTCCTCTGAAAATTTTGTAAAAGTTGCTTCGTACTATGGAGGAAATTCACTGAAAATTGCACGAAAATCCGCACAACTGCTTTCATGTAAACAAATTCAGTGTCCCGATTAAATTTGGCAATAGCTGATGTGGCTTGGTTCCTTTCTGTTAAACGCTGTCCAAATCATCTTCAAAATCCCAAATGATTTTTTATTAATTTTATTTTCAACCATTCAGACCCTGGTAAAAATTGGCGATAGGAGCTGTGTTTCAAAATACCATAGGAGTTCTTATAGCCGACTGAAGAGGGCGATAGAAAATCATATAGCTGGCTGTAGAAAGTGGAAAAAATCATACGGCCGGACTACACGAAGCGATAAAAAAGTATTCAGCCGGGCTATAGTTCCTATCGCCGGGCTTTACACTTTATCGCCTGGCTGTTGCTTTTTCGCCATCGGCTATAAAAGACTATAAGAAATTGAGTAGAAATTCTTGCGCTTTGTAAATCCTTAAGTTTGTACGGAATCACCTTAATATATACAAAACGCACATTATATTTTCCTTTACTATATATTTTTTTCATCAATTAAAATGGGAGTAATCCATACAGAGTGTGCAAACATTTCAAAGTCATGAGTTGAAAAACGCTGACTCCGCGAGATTAAATATTAGAGCCTAATACAAAGCGGAGCGGCGGCGCACTGGCGCCTACAAACCCAACAGGGATACTTCACGCATTACGTAATGCGTGAAGTATCCCAGTTAGGTTTGTAGGCGCCAATTCGCGTTTAGCGCTGGCTGCCCGCCCGCAGCGCCACGCCGCAGCGTACCGCGGCGCTTGAAGCAACTATTTTACACCAGAGGTATTGCACAGTATCATACGAAATTGAAGGCGCTCCAACATATTAGGAATGGCAGGCATCCTTCAAAAGTACGGAGCTTTCCTCGCAAATTAAATCAAGATACTGCGGCCCAAAAAGAGAGCGGTAATCCAAAAACTCACTAAGTCCTAGCATCCGTAATTAGTAACGGTTAGCATACACTTTATCGCCAGGCTGTTGCTTAGTCGCCATCGGCTATAAAAGGCCATAAGAAATTGTGTTGCCGGCTATAGAAAGTTATTGGAAATCTTACAGCCGGCTGTAGGTCCATGGTATTTTGGAACACAGATTCTACTGCCAATTTTTACCAGGGGAGTAGCAGATCAAAATTTGGATCACTCGCCTTCGTGCAATCTAAGACGCTGTACGGAAAACTGTCGGCTTGTTCGAAGGTCATAACTTGGATCATGAAGTCCCAGGATGGGTAGTCACCATTATTGATAGCTTCCGTTAGATCTAGTATCGAGTAGTTGACGTTTTGACCTCTTGCTTTCGCTGCGTCCTCGTGCGTCATGTTCTTCTTCCCGAGATGTGACTTGAACGAACCAACAGAAAAGCGGTAAAACGTGGCGACGAGAACGAATGTGGGATCAGAAGAAAGCCTCACGCAAAAACAGACTCGACAAACGTAAAAAACATATTGAATTAAACAAGTTAGGTGACTCTTTGAGGTTTCCTTCATGTAAAATTTATGCACCATGTATGTTAAAAAATTATGAAAAACGTAGGCGTCGAAAAATTCTCACACTCGGGAAACTGTGTACATTTAATGTGAGACGTTAACGGTGTTGAAAATTTGTTTCACATCCAACTAAAAATCTATGACTGAGGGCGGTGAGTGCGTATCTCACTTGCAAAATTAAAAAAATCTCTTAAAATTAGTGTGTTTCATATGCTTCAATGAAAATAATTAAAATGACGTCGCAATCTGATCAGCCACCTAAATATACAGATGGTACTCTAACTGCTTTAAATAATAAAAAAAAAAACGTAAGGAAAGGTATCTTGGTAACACTTTTTTAGGCTAAAATCAATGTTTAACCTACACTGGAAAAAAAAACGCATTGGATCTAGAGTCCAGACTCTTGAAAACATTGACAAGAAAAAATACTCTTGATTCAATCAGATTTAAGCTTAAATCAAAAGGAAATCCGCTCAAATTAAGAGGCTGGGTTCTTGATTTAAGTTTAAATCTGATTGAATCAAGAGTATTTGTTCTTGTCGATGTTTTTAAGAGTCTGGACTCTAGATCCAATGTGGTTTTTTTTCCAATGTAAAATCAACCTTTTTCTGTCTCTAACCTTTTTTAATATTTATTCTCCTGCTTGTCATTCATATTTCTTCGGATTAGAATGAAGAGGCACTTTTAAACTACCCATACCTTCCAATGGAATTTGCAATAGACGGGCTGATTGGTAGCGTTAATGAGCACAAAGGTGTTGACTCCGTAGCCGTCCATGTAACGGTAGCCATCGGGAGTGCCCCAGTCCGAGTAGAGCATCATGACTTGAAAAAGAGTATCGTGTCTCAAGCACACCAAGTCCCATTGGTAATTCGGGTTCTAAATGTCAAACAATCAGCTGCTCAGCGGAGAAACCGGGCATAGTACAATACTTTGAAATGACCCGAGTACAGCAATGATCTTCAAAAAGCACTTTTCAAAAAAACCTAAAATTATTGTTCAAGAAACTTTTTTTTAGTTATCTTGCAAGTGAAATTGACACCGGGTATTTACGTACAAAGTCTTTGACAAAATTCTACTTTTTAGAGCTTTTTGACATTTTCCCCAAACGTTTTAAGAGTTTTAAAAAAGTATGGTAGATATTTTAAAATTTCTTCGACATTTTCTATTTTATTTGAACCTTACATCTAGTACCTAATATTCCTTTTAAAATATGTAAAAATAGTTTCCTGGTAAGAAATGTCTTTTTCAAATTTACAAAATTGTTACTTAAAAAAGTTGACAGTCGTTGCTACCAGGGAACTTTAAAAGCTCTTTCTGAGTGAATATCGTAAAATCGTCTTTCATCTCAAATTTGAGATGTTCACTCAGATTTTACCTTCTAAGTTATTATGATTCAATGTCATTCCTTATCATAGGAGCTGCGTATGTTGCTGTTGCCTACGCAAAAACTGAAGGCGTTTTGACTTTTCTCGCCGATATAGAATTCCACTCACGAACAGAAACAGCACTATGCAACGCGAGGCTACAACTTGACGCAACTATTCGTGTTCCGGAGCTACCCTTTTTGCCTACACAAAAACTGAAGGCGTTTTACCTTTTCTTGCCGTTGCAGAGTTCCACTCAAAATTTGGCATGTATGTTTATTCCGGTTATTTGTAAGAAAGAAAACTAGCTATATGTCCCCATTATCGGCAGATGGGTAAGCGAAACACAACGTTGAATTCCAGTATTTCTAGTAAGCCCATTTGTTCTCCCGGAGGTAAGGAGCCCCCTGCCAACCCCAAAAACGTTCCTTAGAAAAAAAACGGGTACGTTATTGGATTGTAAAATTGTTCGTTCCCCTCCTGCGTATAACGGGATCCCAGCATATGTTTCATCGGAAAAATAACCGAAATACACACACGCGCACGAAATTCTTAACAATGTGCATTTATTAAATTGCATTTTTGGGTAGTTCATGAAAGTTTCATTTTTTACCGGGAGGTTTGTTTTGGGCTCCCTTCCTCTCTGCGAATGGATGAAAGCCGGCAGGAGCATGGGATCCCTGAAGTAAAAGATCGGCATGTTCTGCCCCGCAATGTCAAAGTTTCCATCTCCGGTATAAAACCTGACAGCGAAGCCACGTGGATCCCTGAGAAAATCCATGTTGAAATTTAAAGAATCGGGAGATCTCAATCGAATCTCAATTGCAGAAAATTCCGCCCTTAGTTTATTTTATTAAAATGGACTTTTTTATTAATTTTTTATTTAAAAAGGACGAAATAGTTTGCAACGTCACAAACCGAGATGTGCTCTATTGCAGCTTCACCATTAAAATGAATATGCTGATCCAGTTAAATTGATGCGATATAAGTAAATAATTCGATGACGGAACTCCTAAACCAAGTATCTCGGTTTGCGACGCTGCAGACTTCCCAGTCATATTTCACTTTTTAAATGGAGAACTACTAAACTTCAATCCTTCAAAACCACCTTGATTTTTCTTCTCTGTGCGAAGAAAATTCTGTGAAAACTTCAGTGAATAAATTCGGTTCGTTCTCCTTCAAACAAATAAAAAGGCAACAGCGGAGGTTTTAAAACATGGAAAACGAGGTAGGTACGTGGTGTGGGAGTTCCACCGTCAAATTGCAAAAAGGCATGTTGGTTATTGGCTAATTAAATTATTTAAAATTGCTTTGACACAATATTAGCCATTAACATCTCAAGAATTAAAAGTACAGTGCAATTACCAGGAAGGAGGGAAATTGAGACGAGGAGGGAGAAAGGGGAGGGAGAAAGGGGAGAGAGAAAGTGGGGAGGGGATGAATGCATAGAAACAAAACCACTAGAAGCAACTATTCGTGCTTCCAAGCCACTCGTATTGCCATCGCGGATTTTGAAGGCGGACACCTAGTGAGATCTAAGGAGAGTAACGTGTAATCTTTGCTTTCATCCGCTTATTCGTACCTTCATTCACTCATTAGTATCATTTAGGAGTAATTAAAAAATTAAATGCACAGAGTGTCCGCTAATGTCGTAAGCAAGGTAAGGTATCATGAAGAGCACTGCAGTGAGGAACTCTTCGAATTTTTTGTAACTTGGAATACAAAATTCCATTATTTTGATAATATGCTTTTTCAGAAAAGCAATATGTTGAAACATTAAATATTATCGGAAATTTCCAGGAAAATGGAAATAAAACAGTCATTTTTGGGTCAGTCCAGGCCCGCCACATCCGATCTCGGGCCCTGGTACCAGTTTTAAGGTCCGCGCCCCAAGCAAGGAGGGGGGGGGGGTCCGAGGGGCATCCCCCGAGAAATTTTAGAATTTATACGACTAATCGGACGCATTTTGAAGCTACCACAAAGAATTTTTCCATCAATTTCTGCGGAATAATTATGTTTTTTTTTCTACTTTCAGCACAAAATACTTGCGAATTGTTGCATTCAAAACATCTGGAAAATTTTATTTTTTTTTGGGGGGGGCATATGCTACTATTTCAGTTCTAAGAGGGCCAGGCCCCCTGGACTCTCCCTTCGTTTGTCTATGGCAAGGGAGTTGAGCCATGAGCCATTGAAGTCGAGGATGCCCAGACTGGAGACTCTTAGCATCTGACGACGGAAGAAAATGAAACGCAGTTACTAAAAATATCCCTCTGTGCTGGAAATCTTGAAAATAGATAGAAATTTTCCAAGAAGTATACTTCTTTGAAAATGTATGAACAATTCTGCAGTGCCCCAGCGTGTTTCTGAAAATCTATTCACCTTCTGCGAAATTTTTAGGGTAAAATTTTCACTTTTTCTTACGAAACAAGGGTTGCATGTGAATTCGTAGTGGTTTTCCACGGGTAACACGGGCCCCCTCCGGAGCCCGGGCTCCGGTACCAAGGACCTAGTACCCCCCCCCCCCCNCCCCCCCCCCCCCCTTGTGGCGGGCCTGGGTCAGTCGATGATTCAAATTTGAGTATGCAAATTGATGATGAATGTTCTCCGCTCCGGTGAACACCTGTTGACAAACAGTTCATTAGGTGACACTGAGCATGGAGTGAAATAACCCGATTCCGGGCAACAACTCAACACGCGACGGTCGCGTGATGTGCTATTCATTTCCACACCAAAGGGGTCTTCAACGAAAGCGAGGGAAAATTTGGGATAAACCTGATACATCGAGATTCATCAGGACAAATTACAGTTAAGTAATAGGACTAAAAATAGGATTAATACATTTAACTTTGTATTAATTATGATCGACCGCAGGATATACATGCATTAATACAAATTGTTAGGAAGCACAGCGAGACAACGATAGCATGAAAAAAACAAGGGGAAAAACGGAACCAAGGTTATAATTACAAGACTATAAAACCTAAGACGTTTCGACTCAAAAGTGAGTCATTTTCAGGCGGCAAAGAAATTGAAAATTAAAAAATTTCGACGAAAAAGCATTAGTTTGTTGTTTTTGGATCTTGAACACCAACATGTAGGTTTGCGTTTTTTCTTTGAAATTGTTTAATTTTGAATTTATTTTTCGATTGAAAATGATTCAGTTTTGAATCGGAACAACTTTTAGCGCTGTATTTTTTGCCTTGTTCCCCGTCGCGCCCTCCGCCCCTTGTTTTTTTATGATAAACGTGCAGCAAGCTCAATTGGAATGAATGTCAGCAAATCAAGCTAAATTTTCTTCATGAATTAAAATGAATCTTAAATAATTGTGCGAGGCATGAGTCAGTTATTGATATTGTCGTGCTGAGAACAATGCCGTATAATCATTTGGTCACTGCCAAATTTACTCCAATTAAATATTTAATTCTGACGATATACATGAGTATTTCTCTTTGAAATTTCCAGTCAAGTATGTGCTTTTGATCAAATCGCAAAAAATTTCCTGGAAATTGGGAGAATCGCAAGGAGATAACAAAGGAAAATAATAACATGGAAAGAGCGAGGCTAAAATATTAAAAACACCAAAAAGTCGGGACGTATCGAGCTCACATCGGCTGGCGCGCACGGCGTGTAAAGCATAAAGGCGCCTTACAAGACCGCAAGATACTGCATGCATTGCGCGTATACCACGGTGCGCCGCGCCGTGCGCGCTCAAGTCATTGTGAAGTCGTATTTTCTTGGCGTTGAACTTACATTATTTTGTCGTATTGATACTCTCAAGTTTACCAGATTTTTATTCCAGCTAAGAAAATTTTGCAACTTTTACCGGTCATACTACATTCTCTCTCAGCACAGCAGTATGGTACTGCGATAAGTGATTCGGATCTTCGAGTTTTTTCGCTATAGTGCTACCTTTGAGAGGAATTTATTTGTAAAACATTTACCGTATCATATCAGGGCCGCTGCGCCCGTTGCGGGAGGTGGAAAATCGGACGGCGACCTGTGTTTTGAGACCAACTTTGGAGAACACGGATGCCTTGCAGTATTGACTAATGTCATGGGTAACCACGAAGTCTCCGAAGGCACCTGTAAATTAGTAAGTAGACAGGAAGCACTAAAAATCGTAAGATTACTTCTCTCAAGTCTGTACTGCATCTAATTTGCAGTTTTTTTTTGTTTTTTTTTTTCCTGCTGGTTTAATGTAGAGTACCTATATAGCGAGAGTATGGACAGATCGCTTCATGGAGGGCTTAGGGCCCAAAAATGCAGCCACCCTTCTAACCAACTTCCAACGCACAAAATTTCACTCCCAGTCTGCGGATTCCAATTCTAACCAAGATGGCTAAGAATGTATATAAATGAGCGTTCTTCCGCAAAAATGAGTAAATTTATGCAAAAACTAAGTCAAATACAAGCTTTATAAACGATGGTTCGTAACAATTGTATTTGTGAATCGCTCTGGACATTTGAAATTCATTATTGGTTGGCTGCATTTCTGGGCCCTAACTTTATTCGCGGAGGCATCGGTGAAGGCCTGATGAATTTTCGGAGTTTCACATCTGTCTATACTCTCGCTATACAGGTACTCTAGTTTAATGGCTTTGTGTCTAGCACCTTCAGCCAACTTTAGACAATGTTTAGTGTCCGTAGACATCGTGGGATCTCCATGCTCCAGGTTTTTCCAATTTTCAGGGATTAGGGCCGAGGAGAATCTGTTTCAGCAGATCTATTCGTCAATTCCGTAAAAATTAGACGCCACCACCGGGATTCGAATCCGGGACTTATTGACCTAGAGTCAGACGCGCTGACCATTAGGCCAACCTGGCCGGCTTAAAATGCAATTTGAGTCAATTTCTTTAAGAATGAGTACCAACTCCAAGCGTCTTTCCTTCTTCTTTCCTCCGTTCCTTCTTTCTTTCTTTTTTTCATTCTTTCTTCACATTTCCTTCCTTCTCTTCTTCGGACGAACGAAGGAAGGGGGGAGTATGCTACCTGCGCACCGCACGCCCCCTGGATCCGCCTATGTTTTGAAGTGAGAAGCTCACGATAGTGCAGATTCTTCACGCAGGTTGTTGAGTCAGGAGTAAATTTTAGAGTTTTCCAATGTGTTTATCGTGATTTTCTAACCATTGCCCAAGAGAGATGATGAACTCCTCCTTTCGCCCCAGCAAAAATTTGCGGCAGACCCATTAGGTAAATGGCCGGGTGCCTCAACATTTTGAAAACTCGATTCCTTTTGTACAAAATGTGTGAGATAAGTTCAATTGATGGCAAACCTGCGCCTAGAGCATGGATAGCTCGCTCTGGAACCCGTTCTCGATCGAAGGAGGCCAAGTTGGAGATCAAAGTTATGTCTTCCAAAACTATGGGTCCCCATTTTCCGCAGGTCCGCGAAACGGTGTAAGAAGGTATCGGGCACCCGCTAGTGTCACGGTAGATATTCTGCCCAGCCTTGATGAAAGACAAAAGAAAAAGGTGATTCACGTGGATCTTTATTAAATCTTATGTTTCTATGTTTGACTTCCCGTCATACTTTATTTTTTAAACGAAAAACTACTCAACGGCAATTCTTTAAAACTGCCGCGTGCGAAGAAAATTCTACATAAACTCCAAAGGATGATGTCAATTTGTTCTCCTTTCAAAAAATAACATAGAGGCGGAGATTTTCAGAGACCGCAAACGAGATATCGACGGTGAAACTACCAAACCACGTATCTCGTTTGCGGTGTTTAAAAATCTACGCTCACAATTTATTTTTTTGAAGTAGACCAAATCAATATCATTCCTTGAAATTTTCACGGAATTTTCTCCGCACAAAGAGGAAAAATCACAGAAATTTTCAAGACTGGATGTTAAGTAGTTTTTCATTTAAAAACTAAAGTATGACAGGAAGTCTGCGACGTCGCAAACCGAGATACGTGGTTTGGTAGTTTCACCGTCGATATGTGGTTGCGGACTGACGCCGTCAATATGTGAGAATAATTTACTTTCATACACATTTCATGCAAGGAAATGTAATAAAATAGTATTGAATGGTAATTACGAAATGCGAATATGTTTATATTTAAAGATACATCAAATTATGTATATTCTTTGAAATATAGTGTGAGGAAATCTATCCTGGATTGAACAAAATTTATAATATCTCGACTTATTCAATATACCTGCGGACATGGTTATTTAAATTGATAGATAAAGCAATAGACAAGGAAAACGCAAGGAGTATGGAGCGATCCTATGGTGAAAGCGGTTGGTTGTGATAGACAAAGGAGGTAAGTAAGTAATAGACTAGCTGACGGCAATCGAGAGGAGACCGTACAGTAGTCCATCATTTTTCCCTTTAGTCTATAGGAACCAACCGTTTCGACCAACATGATCGTTCCTTACTCGACCATATGACTTCTTTTACCATCGCTTTGTCTATCAATTCCTATAATCAGCCTGGCGATTGAGGTGAAAGTGCTCACGGACGTGGGACATTTGAAAATACGTGAAAATACGGACTACAAAAAATGTGCATTGAGTTGAGACGTCGGTGTCCTGTGGGCTCGTGATTTTTGCGTCACTTTTCCTGTTAAAGACTGGTTAAATTATTGTTTCTCTTGCGTGCAAATAACCCATTATTCTTGGTAAATCATCGATTTTACTTACTGCGAGGGATATTCCGAGCATCCACGCCTCATCTAGAATTCAACAATGGAGATCATTAAACAAGTGCGGTACCTAGTTTACTTCCATCTCAGACGAGTGGCGTTCTCGACAAAATAACAGTCTTGGAAACTCTCAATTTTCGAGACGCTTTTGAAATAGGGAATTTCCTTCCTTTGTCTAGTGCCATTAAGCCTCTTACCTCTGTCCAACACAAAACTGACACATGACGAAGTCACTAAGATAGTTTATAGTAAGAAATAGTGTAATTTTATTTTATTTACGAATACTTACTTATCTCATATTTAATTCGCATCTGCTTTTATAAACTTTGTTAAATTAATTAAAGTTTAGCATAGGTCGTTAACACAACGAGGCCCTATAGCGACTCTACAAGTTTTACTTTACTTCATAGTTTTGATTCGGGTATGTGTTGGAGCCCAGGACTTTGGAGGACTCTGTCCGGATCCTCATGATTTTCTTTAGGTGACTTTTTTTACAGTTGGATACTGTATTTAAAATTTTGTGGAAAACTTAAATAAAGCCGGGAACTGCGATAGCTCGTACATTCAAGTTCATTTTTCTTTCTATCGATTATTCTATCATTTTTCTTAAAACTGTGAGTAAAAGTTAACAGGCGAACATAGTTTTGTTTTTGTTTTGTACCATATATTTTGTCCATTAAATTAAATTAGTTGGCATCGTAAAATTAGATATTGATAAGACTTACGAATGAAAATTAATTTTATCAACTGCGCTGGGAAAGTCCTCGGATCGAGGATGCCACCCATGACTGCCAAAGGACCTGCGTAGTAAACAAGAAACTTAACAAACTGCTTGCAAATTGCAAATTTTTAACGATTTCGGTCCGATTTTTGACGAGATATCATGCATGAATGTATGTTTATTTATTTGAGAAAATAAATCGTGTGTTTAATTATTCTCCGATTTTGGTTGAAGTTTTTCCATAATTTAATAAAGATTATGTTTGTTGTTTGAAGCTCACACATTTTCCGCTTTCTGTTTACAGGAATAAGGGCTGAACTGATTTGTGTATATAATCCTGCCGTGATTATTGCTCAGTGTTTTTTGCGAGGAAAAGATTTATGGCAAAGATCGAAAAATATGAGCTTCCATTTCAACATTTAAAACTGTTCGATGCCTCAAAAAGAACTGACCGAAATATCATCTTGAATATTCTGTGAATAGTATTGAATAAATATAGGAATTCCTCAAAGAATTTCAAGAAAAATTGCGCATAGGCGGATCCAGGGGGGGGGCGTAGAGGGCGACCCCCTTCTCCGTTAGCCCCATAAAAGGACGAAAAATGAGAGAAAGAAAGCGGGAACGAACGGAATAAAGAAGGAAGGACGCTTGTATTTGGTAATTATTTATAGCGAAATTGACTCCAACTGCAAATTAGATGCTATAAAATTTCGACAATTTTTAAGGGAAGCCCCCCCCCCCCCGAATTGCCCTTGCGCCCCCTCCCCTTCCGAAGTGTCTGGATCCACCTGTAAAGCTGCGTTAATTAGTTCCCTTTTATAGAAATAGAATATGAGTGAAGAAATGTAACGAAGGAATCGGTGTTACTCATTTTCCAGCCATAGCCATCAAAAATTGAAAAATGTGATGAAAATTGTATGATCTACCTGAACCAAGCGTGGATGCTACGGAACCAAGGACGTGAAAGCCGAGGCCGTTGCGTAGAGACTAGAGCCTGACAATGAACAGATGCTCATCAAGCAGTAATTCGTAAAATCTGACGTAAGGCCCTAATTTTGGAAATATTTACTTTTCTGATGTACCTTAACTGCTCAACTGTCTTCACACGGTCGAAATTTACCGTCTGTGATGAAGCCAAGTCGGAAGACCACATACGAAGTAAAAAAAGAGAGTAAATATAGTAATGCATGTTCAACTGTTCCAAAAAGTTAATGATGATGGCGCCGTCGTTGTGAGCAACTGTTGCTGTTTCAAAGTAGCCCACGTTGCATAATTAAGTTTTTGAAGGGAAACTGAACTAATCATCGGAGGCTACTTGTGCAATGGTCAATGAACAATATCTACTAGTATAAATCGTTGCCGTAAACAAAATTAAAAAGCGAGTGAAATCCAGGAACCAGCTACATTTGCTCTTTCGTGATTCTAATGCTGGATTGAAATACTGATTTGTAGATTAACTAAAAGAGTGTTAGAAAGAAATCGGGGAGCTTTTAATACGCGGGCTTTAATACATTATATGAACGTCGATAATAAAAAAAAATAAGATAAAGAGAATATCAATTATATTTAAATATTTTTTCAGTCACATGTTCACACATTGTATTGATATATTTGGAAATATTTGGATTTCATGGGTAAACAGCTTGACAGAAGAAGATCGCGCCTACATTGTAGCTGGTAAGAAGTACACGTGAGTTTTGTTGCCAATTAAAAATCAATTTATAACTAGCAGTTTTTGTTGCCTAGTCAATCTTTTGAAGGCGAGAAGCAATGTGAATGTATCTTTGCAACAAATTATGTTTGGTAAATAAAATAAAAAGAAAAGACCATTTGTTTTATTCCTTGCCTGCGGTTTGACTTTTAAATATTTATTTTAAGCGTAATTTTGAAACTGAGTTCTGTAGAGAAGACGTTTTAGTAAACGCTTCAAATTCAACTTACTGGACATACTTCAGCTTTCTTATGCGACAAAAACTAAGAAAATATATTCGAGATACATTGGACGACTGACGACATGTCCATAGACGCATCTAAAAGCTCGGAGACAAAAAACATCCCCCCCCCATTTCATTTACATGCGTACATTTAACTTTTAAAAAATTGAAGAAACATCACTTATACACGGAGAAAAAATGAACAACGTTTAAAATATACATATTTTTAATTGCTCATGAAAAAGAAGATAATATACACTTTACAGCTTACCATACATCTGTACAATTTTTAATTCTACATACGGTTCCAAACAACGTGAAATCAGAATTCCTTCTCTCTCCAAGTTAACATGCCTCTTCTTTGGAGTGAATTTTACCCGCAGTTGCAAGAAAAACGTAAAATATTTTTCGCCACGTCGCTGACGCTGCCATGCTACAGAAAAGAGCCGTAAGTGCAAACTAGGATAAGCTCAAGGTTACCAAGTGCGATAATAAGTGGATATTTTACACGGACTTGAATAGGGGAAAGTTCTGCTTTATAGCGCTATCTGGCAACAGTGTATGGAGGCACGTGAGAACATATCGACGGTGAAACTACCAAACCACGTATCTCGTTTGCTGTGTTTAAAAATCTACGCTCGCATTTTATTTTTTTGAAGTAGACCAAATCAATATCATTCCTTGAAATTTTCAAAGAATTTTCTCCGCACAAAAAGGAAAAATCACAGAAATTTTCAAGACTGGATGTTGAGTAGTTTTTTATTTAAAAAATAAAGTATGACAGGAAGTCTGCGACGTCGCAAACGGAGATACGTGGTTTGGTAGTTTCACCGTCGATATGCTTACCGTGTCTCATACAAAAATGCACTCACGGCTCTCCACCGAAACACGACTCACGAAGGAATACTGCCATGTTAGCGACCTCTCGCAGAGTGATACGGACTTTGGGAGAATATACTCGCAAGGAGATTACAAAGGAAAATAATAACATGAAAAGAGCGAGGCTAAATATTTATTAAAAACACCAAAAAATCGGACGTATCGAGCTCACTCCGGCCGGCTTGGGGCTGGCGCGCACGCCGTAAAAAGCATACTGGCGCCTTACAAGACCGCAGGATACTTCATGCATTGCGCGTATACAGCACGGTGCGCGCGAGGCATAGTAGCGCCTTACAAGTCTGCAAGATACTGCATGCATTGCGCGTATGCCACGGTGCTCTTTAGATGCGTTGTGGTGGGTTTAGTAGGAAGCCTGCTGCTTACTACGATTCCTGATTCCCAGGTATCCAATGGTATTTAACACAATGAACATCAAAATGAGCCCCAGGAAATCGAGCTCTATGTCACCAGTTCTATAGCCATATTTTTCCAAAACTTTGTCTGCAGTCAATAGGCACATTATGTCAGGGTTTTGCGGGCAAGCTGGCAAAGAAAAAACAAACGAATCAGTAAGTGAGCGGGTAGTAACAAAATAATATCTGAGACATTTTTGTACTTAACACTTTCATTATTGATGTGCGAAACTTCATCGTGGTAAAATAACATTTGTGCATTATAGGTCAAAAAACGATGGGCGAAATTTTAAACTACGTCTCCCTGCCACCAATCAGAAATGTTTCAGTAAGAGTTCTCTTCTCATGGAAAATATCTAGTCTCTCCACCATGAGCTATTATAAAAGCGCGTGAATCATCTATTTAAACTTGCGTCAGCCTTGGTAGTTTTAGTTAAGCAGCGAATATTGATGGCACAAACCATTGGCCTACATCAGTGGCGAAATGAGTCTGTATTAAAGAGAACTATGGTTGCCAAAGCCAATATTTTGGTAGGTACGTGCCTTTTAATAGACACTATATTTAAAGTGACATTAACAAATACACCCATTGTCAGTAAAAATCGATTTATGATTCATAGGTGTTTAAAACTTACGAATTTCGTCGACTGAAGTCCACTGAAGTATGCTGAAGGCTTCAACGCCGTAATAAAACCGAGAAACATATTTCAACCATCGGAGATAAAACGGAACAGAGCTGTAACAGAATAAATAATTCAAGCATGTACATTGCTAAAGAGAAAAAAGATAGTACCTAAATATAGTCTACTTACCATTTACACATGTATTTGGTCACGTACCTAGCAGGTTTTTTGTTTTGTTTTTTCTCATTGTTTTTCATAAATTTTACGTGAGTTTCCTCTAACTAAACTATTTGCAACTTTCTTTAAAAATGATATACTTAAATAGTTATAGATCTTTCTATCTTCCCTTCTTAAAAATTCAGTTAAAGTATTAGAATTCTATCGTACAAGATGTGAGTGAGGATGTATGATCAGTATATCACTGTCAATTCATATCATTCAAATTTTGTATTTCAATGGATCTAACATTTACCTGAGCTGTAGAAACATGCCGGAGAAAGTATATGAAATAAAATCTAGAGGCACCATCAAAAGAGAGGCTGATGACACAGTTTCGAAGTTTGAGGACATTGCACAACCTAAAAAGAAAAATAATTCAAATATTCAATTTGCCGTTTCTGAAATACACCAACGACTTATGAGAGATTTGGGCGAAAAAAGAAACAATTCTAAGTTTTCATCGTTTTTTTTTCTTCAGACTTTGAGACAATTTGTCCCGTTTAAGTGAAAGCAGGAGTCATGGAATTGTAAGTAGTTGATTTTGCCTATCACTCAAATGAAGGCGCATTACAAGTTTCTTCACTTTCAATCTTAAGTGGTAGGACGTAAGGCGGTGTTAGTCTTCATCTGACGGTACAATGTGGGAAAATGAGTACATTTCTACACCGATGATTTTTCTCTGTCGCCCTCCCACAATGAACTCTCTTCCCTTCTGCTTCAGTCATTCCATTTTAAGAGTTTTCGAGCTTTCTAACTCTAGAAATTGCGTTTCCCGCTAAAATTTGCTTCGGAAACTTCTGATTTCAAAAAGTTCCTGGATTATGGAACAATATTTTTGAACTTAAGATAGAGAGACGAATGCAAATGAGACAGACCATAGGCTGTGGCTGCCAGACCGCTCACAGCGATTGGAGCGACAAACTGAGGGAAACTCAATGTTCCGCCGCTGAAACCAGTGATCCAGAAAATTGTGAATGAGAAGATGAACGTTTCAACGGAGCAAAGCAGCACCTGTTGGACATTAAGACAAATGGTACGTTATAATTTTATTCTTCCATAAAATTTAAAAAAAAAAATCCGAAAACGTCGAAGCAATGAATATACTCACTTTTGAAGGCAGAATGTTGCTTGTTTTTATTTAACCAAAATTAGAATACGAGAGAAAATGAGATACCGTCAAGTGCAGTTACGCTGATTTTGTTTAAATCCGTCCATAAAAGATTGGGGCTTGTTAATATATAGTTTCATACTTAAGTCTCCACTCAAGAGAAAAATTGTATTTTCCAATTCAAATACATTTTTCAGCTATTTTGAATCTTTCTCAGTTATTTTCTGGAAAATGGGGGAGGGGAGTGTTAGGTCAGTCTTACATAGACAAGGAGGGGGGGGGTGAGAAGTTGTCTTATGAATATACCTAAAAACGGAGAAGGTGTCAAAAAGTCGGCCAAAATGGCTTGCGTATGATACTTGAACGGGCCCAAGGTGTCAAGACATGTGTGTGAGTTCCATTAGTGCGGTCGCAATCAATTATTTATTTTGTGGTTCATTAAATTTCAAATGGAAAAGGCTTTCTAGTGGAAAGATAAAAAATACGAAAAGAGAGCCTAAGAGAAAAGAAATCGGACGAGTACTTACTACGTATATTATCCTTGAAAGGTAGAATGGCCCCACGGAGTAAACTTTATCTTTGGTTTCTCGTAAGAGCACGGGAATTTCCGCTTGAAACGTATACAAAGATCGATAAGACTGACAGAAAATTGTTTCTGTTATCACATTGTTAAAAAAGCCTTGCAAATTTTGCACTCCGTTCTGGTCGAATATGACACCCCTGTAAGAAGCTGCTATTACAAAACCTGTAAACTACAAACGAAAAAAATTATGACGAAGCAAATAAAAGAGGAATACTGTTCCGAAGCGATATACCTGCAACATTTTCAAAGGTCTTTTCTGTACAACATCATGCAGATACAATGGAGAAAAACATTGGTAAGGAGTACTTCCGTTCAAGCCTCGACCAATATTAAACATTAGTGTGTTATGCCCCTTGGCTGCTACGCGGCCCAATCTCCTTCGCGCTCTTCTAGGCCCGCTTTAAAAAAAGAACGACTCTTCTTTTAGCAGACTCGCTTCTATGGAGCCACAAAACAGAATAATTTATCATACTTATTCGTGATTGAGAATTTAAATTATGGTAAAGTCTAAAGTATAGGCTCTCTATTTTTGCCAGCGAACATATTTTCACCCTCAATCATCATTAAGTAATAGAAAATTGAGAGGTGGACCATGACTTACCAAGAATGTGCAAACGCTAATAAAAATTCTATTGACATTTCTTGCTATATTCAGTCCATGCCTCCATGCCAGCAACCTAAATTGTGTACTTGTATCTGCTCCTTGCCTGCGCATGCAAAAAAGGAACCAAGTAAGTGCTTAGTTTTCATCAAGAAGGAGGTGAACGTATTTAGTTTTTTTGGTTTTCCTTACGGTTCAGTTGAACGAGTTTGGTCAAAAAATTATATTTTAGGCTTTAAACAAAAATTTCTCTCGGATGTCTGGAGGAATTTGAGGAAGGATTTTTAACGGTATAGGCTATTTTTTTCCATAGCCGAAGGCGTGAAGTTGTGTTATAATCCAACAATTCCTTACTCTGAGCACGGTAAAATAGAATTTTTAATAAAGTTTTCTCGATACTCCAATTTTTGGGCTGAAATCTTCAAGCTGCTACAACATTGGGCTGGTTCAACATCAACATGTTCTGTCCAAAAAAAATGATCCAAACACTGCGTTTCAGCATCGATACCTCTTTAAGTTTTCGAGGACTTAGATCCTTTCCATGCAACCCTCACCACATATATAAATCCTCGAATTTACTATGTTCATGTGTAATAATTTTGCAGGTGCAGTCCAGGAATTGGAAAGGAATTAGGTTGAATTACCTATTCTGAATGAGATGAAAGTTAAGATTTTGTCACTAAAAATAGCATGCCTCTCTCACCTCGAAGACGCACGATTTGAATTATAGGCGCCTTCAGCTAGCACAGTTGGGATGTTACGTGCTTGTAAAATAAAAAGAATCAAAGTAGCCCCCCCCCCCCCCCCCCCGTAAACTGAGGTTGAAGAAAAACGGACGATCGAAAAAACGTACTTACCATGTATTAAACCTCAGGAACTGTTTATCTATCTGCAAAGACCAAAAAGGTAGATGGGGTTAATAATGAGAATCTCCAACTTTGGTCAAATAAATCTGATCGTTATTCTTACATTCATTAATTTTAATCCAGGTAGGTACCCTTTACTTGGGTGGTCATCCACCTGCAGTATATACTCGATTCCTAGTTTGTAGATATGTATACCTACCTATGTAAATGCGTTTGATTATATTTAGATAGATGCAAATACATTGTTAGCTCGTAAAAATTATGTTTTAAAATATAATTGTTAAAAAATAAAGTCAATTTTTAAATCCGTTATTCAAGACTCGTATCAGTATCGGTTCTTTTATTAACTTCATTTTATCATGTGATTGCTCTTGGCGCACAGTGGATCGGGTCGATAGGAGAGGTCGGACAAAATCTGTAACCTTCGAACGCTTATAATTCCGTTTATACAAAACTTTGAGGTTCTAAAAGTGGTTCCATCGGTTTTCTCGTGAAATTTTCTATACCATAAGCACCCCTTGAAATTTAAAATGTGACAAAATTGACATCAAAAGTTGCAGTTTTAGTCAAAAATGTTATGTCTGGCCTCACTAATTGACTCGATCCACTGAATGGCGATACACCTAAGGGCAAAATAGAGGCAAACTGGAGAAATGAAACATGGATAAAAAAAGTAAACAAAACAACAAACAAAAAAACAAAAAAAAGCGAGTGAACATGCGTTATCGGGTTTGAAAGAATACATGCATGAATGATGAGCTGTGATAAGAGATGATTTGATACAAAGCTTGACGTAGCAAATAAGAACAAATTCTCACATGAGTATTTAGTTTTGAAGTAAAAGACCTTTTGGTATGAGTCGTGCGTTCTTTAGGATACCAACGAGGGTATTCAAGAGATCAATTTTTTAGATAATAATAATAAAACTTTTTTTCTTCAAACCATTTAAAAACCGTAAACTCTGGAGCAGGTCTCATCGACCTTTAAAATGGCTTACATGGCAATTTTTTTGGAGCGACTGAGTCTCGGTAGGACATTCAGAATTGATTTCTATAGAATTTCGCATTCCGATTCCTGCAACTTGTAGGTATTCGTGATGATTTTTTTGCACAAAATCAGGTTGAAAATGAAAATGAAATGCAACAGGAAAAAAATGAGGACATTTAGCTTACCTCGTGCACTATCTGAGTATCATTATAAACTGTATTGACTTCATTGAATTTTTTCTGGAAGATTTTATAAGATTCGGAGGTATCAAACAAGTCGCAAATTTGGTAGACCTCTTTCTTCGTTCGCGTGTCTTCTCTTATGCTAAGCTGTGAAATAAGGAACTCGGCGGTGTTGTAAGCTTTTGGACAGACCATTCCAAGCCTAGAAAAACGTAATGTATTATCTAAGAGTGCATCCTTCAGGTAATAGTTCTGTGAAAAACCGAGGGTAATGCGGAAGACGCATAATCCTTTAGGGTGGAAACTTTTACGAACTTTTTAAAAATCAAGATCTTGCGTGCCACGGAGATTTGCAATTTGAGTGCTTCATCCTTAAAAATTTCGCAGGTAATATGATGGTTTGAAAGATTATCTTAAGATATTTAGATTATTCCACAATTAAAAAAAGTCATGGTCTAATTTTAACAATACGAAAATAAATTATCCTTCTCTTACCGTTTTTGGGCAGATTTCAGCTGTTTAAAATTGCAGTTTATCATCTGGTTAAATTTTTCTTTTTTCTAGTAAAACTTAATAGAATTGAATAACTTCTAACTTTTATTATTACCACTGTCCGCCTCTTTATCTAGTCAAACGCGCCATGAACAAGTAGGATCAAATACATTAGCAGTGCCATGCATTTTTACCCCTCGCACAATAAGCACAGTGTGACAAAAATTTTAAAATAAAATTGCAATTTCCCTCCCTTAAAATGCACATCATTCGATTAATGAATGCCGCTTTTAAACGGTCAAATAATAGAGTTTCATAAATCAGGAAAATAGGCAATTTGGAATGCAAAGAAAAATTAGAAATTATTCCCATTTTATCGTCATAGTCTCAATACAAGGAGTAAGGAGACCTTCAATATAGTAAGTAGGCAAAATGCCCAACAATCAAATGTAGGACGAATAATATTATGTTATGAAATCGCAATGCATTGGACCTATGCTTCTTTGGAAACATCCCTGGTAAAAATTGACAGTAGAATCTGTGTTCCAAAATACCATCGACCCACAGCCGGCTGTAAGATTTCCAATAGCTTCTACAGCCGGCAACACAATTTCTTATAGCCTTTTATAGCCGATGGCGATTAAGCAACAGCCTGGCGATAAAGTGTATGCTAAACGTTACTAATTACGGATGCTAGGACTTAGCGAGTTTTTGGACTACCGCTCTCTTTTTGGGCCGCAGTATCTTGATTTAATTTGCGAGGAAAGCTCCGTTCTTTTGAAAGATGCCTGACATTCCTAAGATGTTGGAGCGCCTACAATTTCGTATTATACTGTGCAATACCTCTGGTGTGAAATAGTTGCTTCAAGCGCCGCGGTACGCTGCGGCGCGGCGCGGCGGGCGGGCAGCCAGCGCTGAACGCGCAATGGCGCCTGCAAACCTAACAGAGATACTTCACGCATTGCGCAATGCGTGAAGTATCCCTGTTAGGTTAGTAGGCGCCGGTGCGCCGCCGCTCCGCTTTGTGTTGGGCTCTTATATTTAATCTCGCGGAGTCAGCGTTTTTCAACTCATGACTTTGAAATTTTTGCACACTCTGTATGGATTATTCTCATTTTAATTGATGAAAAAAAATATGTAGTGAAGGAAAATATAATGTGCGTTTTGTAAATATTAAGGTGATTCCGTACAAACTTAAGGATTTACAAAGCACAAGAATTTCTACTCAATTTCTTATAGCCTTTTATAGCCGATGGCGAAAAAACAACAGCCAGGCAATAAAGTGGGAAGCCCGGCAATAGAAACTATAGCCCGGCTGTATATTTTTTTATCGCTTCGTGTAGCCTGGCCGTGTGATTTTTTCCACTTTCTACAGCCAGCTATATGATTTTCTATCGCCCTCTTCAGTCGGCTATAAGAACTCCTGTGGTATTTTGAAACGCAGCTCCTATATCGCCAATTTTTACCAGGGATAGCAATGCAAATCGATGGTGAAACTGCAGAAATGCGTACCTCGGTTTATTTCTTGACATACTTTTATTTTCTACATTTACTACTGGGCGTCATTTTTTTGGAGATTTAAGTGATTGTTCTTCTCTTCATGGAGAATATTCTGTGAACACTTCAAACCATGGTGTTGGTTCGGCCTTCTTCTATAAAATAAATTAGGAGCGGCGATTTCAAAACACTGCACTGCGACCGAAATTTGCAGTTTTGTAATTTCACCGTCGAAATGCAAGATTATTATTATTGTGTCTTTTTGTTCCTCAGTCGGCCACTTGGATTGCTTTTTGCAAGAGGGAACCAAGAGCATTCCAATGTCGCTAAGATAGTGNCTTTTACGAACTTTTTAAAAATCAAGATCTTGCGTGCCACGGAGATTTGCAATTTGAGTGCTTCATCCTTAAAAATTTCGCAGGTAATATGATGGTTTGAAAGATTATCTTAAGATATTTAGATTATTCCACAATTAAAAAAAGTCATGGTCTAATTTTAACAATACGAAAATAAATTATCCTTCTCTTACCGTTTTTGGGCAGATTTCAGCTGTTTAAAATTGCAGTTTATCATCTGGTTAAATTTTTCTTTTTTCTAGTAAAACTTAATAGAATTGAATAACTTCTAACTTTTATTATTACCACTGTCCGCCTCTTTATCTAGTCAAACGCGCCATGAACAAGTAGGATCAAATACATTAGCAGTGCCATGCATTTTTACCCCTCGCACAATAAGCACAGTGTGACAAAAATTTTAAAATAAAATTGCAATTTCCCTCCCTTAAAATGCACATCATTCGATTAATGAATGCCGCTTTTAAACGGTCAAATAATAGAGTTTCATAAATCAGGAAAATAGGCAATTTGGAATGCAAAGAAAAATTAGAAATTATTCCCATTTTATCGTCATAGTCTCAATACAAGGAGTAAGGAGACCTTCAATATAGTAAGTAGGCAAAATGCCCAACAATCAAATGTAGGACGAATAATATTATGTTATGAAATCGCAATGCATTGGACCTATGCTTCTTTGGAAACATCCCTGGTAAAAATTGACAGTAGAATCTGTGTTCCAAAATACCACAGACCTACAGCCGGCTGTAAGATTTCCAATAGCTTCTACAGCCGGCAACACAATTTCTTATAGCCTTTTATAGCCGATGGCGATTAAGCAACAGCCTGGCGATAAAGTGTATGCTAAACGTTACTAATTACGGATGCTAGGACTTAGCGAGTTTTTGGACTACCGCTCTCTTTTTGGGCCGCAGTATCTTGATTTAATTTGCGAGGAAAGCTCCGTTCTTTTGAAGGATGCCTGACATTCCTAAGATGTTGGAGCGCCTTCAATTTCGTATGATACTGTGCAATACCTCTGGTGTGAAATAGTTGCTTCAAGCGCCGGGGTACGCTGTGGCGCGGCGCGGCGGGCGGGCAGCCAGCGCTGAACGCGCATTAGCGCCTGCAAACCTAACAGGGATACTTCACGCATTGCGCAATGCGTGAAGTATCCCTGTTGGGTTTCTAGGCGCCAGTGCGCCGCCGCTCCGCTTTGTGTTAGGCTCTTATATTTAATCTCGCGGAGTCAGCGTTTTTCAACTCATGACTTTGAAATGTTTGCACACTCTGTATGGATTATTCTCATTTTAATTGATGAAAAAAAAATATGTAGTAAAGGAAAATATAATGTGCGTTTTGTAAATATTAAAGTGATTCTGTACAAACTTAAGGATTTACAAAGCACACGAATTTCTGCATAATTTCTTATAGCCTTTTATAGCCGATGGCGAAAAAGCAACAGCCAGGCGATAAAGTGTAAAGCCCGGCGATAGAAACTATAGCCCGGCTGTACAATTTTTTATCGCTTCGTATAGCCCAGCCGTTTGATTTTTTCCACTTTCTACAGCCAGCTATATGATTTTCTATCGCCCTCTTCAGTCGGCTATAAAAACTCCTATGGTATTTTGAAACGCAGCTCCTATCGCCAATTTTTACCAGGGATAGCAATGCAAATCGATGGTGAAACTGCAGAAATGCGTACCTCGGTTTATTTCTTGACATACTTTTATTTTCTACATTTACTACTGGACGTCATTTTTTGGAAATTTCAGTGATTGTTCTTCTCTTCATGGAGAATATTCTGTGAACACTTCAAACCATGGTGTTGGTTCGGCCTTCTTCTATAAAATAAAATAGGAGCGGTGATTTCAAAACACTGCACTACGACCGAAATACGCAGTTTTGTAGTTTCACCGTCGAAATGCAAGATTATTATTATTGTGTCTTTTTGTTCCTCAGTCGGGCACTTGGATTGCCTTTTGCAAGAGGGAACCAAGAGCATTCCAATGTCGCTAAGATTGTGCAGCTTTTTTTACCTTGTGAAAGTAAACTAATCATCTCAACAAGTTTTACCCTTACTTTCAAAAACTATTAATTCAAGACAAAAATTACCTCTTCAAATTTACTTCTTGCTTGATTTCAGTCATTATATTGCACAAGATGTAAGTTGCACAATGCTAGCAACATTGGAATGCTCTTGATTCCTTTTTACAAAATGGAATCCACTTATAGTTACGTTTGAGCGTTTATTTGCCTTCTTGATTCTAAAATCGAATCATTTGCGATCAGTGTTCGAAACTCACTTTTGAGTTTTAGGAGCCATCTGGCGCATCAAGCCCGATTTTTAGGCGCCATTGAAGATTTTTTAGGGGCCGTATTGACTTTTTGCCGACATATTACGGCGCATTAGGTGAAAATATAGACGCAAGATGTTTTCTTAACAGAACTAGTAAGTATAGTTGTAACTTGGGGAAGACAAAAGCACAAATGATTAAATCGTGAAGAATAGAAAAAGCTGTCACTTGTAGTGCTGAAAATTTCGAATAATAACCTAATACGAAAATTCAGATTTTTAGGGACTACGTTGGCGCAGAGCCTTCATTTTTTTAAGCCCATGGCCGATTTTTTAGGCGCATTTGGCGCGTTGGCGCCTGTGAGTTTCGAACACTGTTTGCGATGAATCCTACTTTTCCTTGATGTAGACTTACGTTTTGAAGTGGTCCAGAGCGTCGTTGATGGCCCCCTGGAAGGCAACGCGGCCGCCGGCGACCATGAGGATGACCTCGTCGAAGGTCTCGAAGACCCCAGACGTTGGCTGGTGGATGGTGCATACGACTGTTTTTCCATTTTTCGCTAGGGAGCTCAGGCAGGACACCATGCTCAGAGCGTTGAAGCTATCCAGACCGGTTGTCGGCTCGTCGCAGAAAAGAACCGGTGGGTCTGTCAGCAGCTGAAACCAAAAGTTATTCATCTTCATATACAGCACCTTATACCTATAGATCGCATTCGATACATCAAACGGGTGAGATTGTATCGATAGACGCTATTAGTGGCGCGTCATAGGGATTCTCCATAATATCGAATTGCATCCAAACAATAGCATTGGTATAACTTCTTTCAATGCTACGAACCAATGCGAAAAAATCGATATATATCGCTTTTCTGTGACGTGGCACTAATAGCGTCTATATAGATTGGTTATTGAGTTTCGAGTTTCGAGTTTCGTATGATCATGGTGTCAACAAAAACTTAGAAAAACTGTTTTTTTTTCTTTTTCTTTTTCTTTTACATTGGGTCTTACGAGATAATACTTCAAATCAATTTTCCTCCAACCTGAGTCAGAGTAACGTATTAGGTACTCCCTGTATGCTATGAACACTGTCCATTGAGTCCTCTCAGAAGCGTGGCGTGCTTTGCGATGTATCGATTGATCTGTCAGTAAACTTATAGAAAATTATCGATAAACAAGGTGTTCGCAACGAACACCCCAACAATCGATTCTTCACCATAGCTTCAAATGGAGATGTATCGATTAATCGATTATTCACGCCTCGCCACTAGTCCTGATTTTCTTCCCCACGATTTTCAAACAAAGCAATCAAAATGCAAATGGATGGAATGAATTGGCCGATTCGGACGCTCAGCTGACAGACCCGTCAGATTCTGTTTCTAGCGTAATAAAGTACTCAATCGCACGGTTCATCATTTAGACTCAAATTGGTTGAAAAATTCGATTACGTAAGTAACCTCTATTCAGAGACGAGGCCCCACCATTCTCGCTGTCTGTACCTACTTATGAATGTCGAGGAAACTCAGCGGATCTCCGCGAATATGGGTCCTCGTAGGATTACGTAATCTGATGGTAGTAAGGGGGCAAAGCCGAGTGCAGTGACCTCATGTTTTATCCATTGATGTTGAGAGCTATGGAAACGTGTGAGACCGAGTTACCCATTTACTGCCTTCCTCAACAAACCACGAGTTGTGCTCCTCTGACTTTAGGAGAGTTGAACATTCTTTATACTAGGGCCCACGAACGATGATCCCTGAAAAATCGGGCGAATAAACGCGTGGGCCATGTAAATGACAACGCTGCAGGGTCGAGCACGCACATCGACGAGACCGGGTATTGTGAACGCGAAAAGCTATTGTATGCGAACTGCTGCTACTACTCTACCCCTATCTTCAGGTCAAAATTCTTCATAGGAAGCCCTTTCGTAAAAGATCAATTTCTTGTAATTTTGCCCCAATCTCTTCGTCCATTACATGGTTGGATTGCTCGTAAAATTCTGAGCTAAATCATATGTAATTGTTGTATACAATTTTTATTTTTTCCTTCTTTTTCCTTTTTGAAGCGAAGTTCAATTTTTATTTATAACGTCGTATCTCGAACTGTAACTTTGCTGCTATTTGACCGATTTTTATAAACGAGGCCTCTTTTTACTCGTGTTTTAAAGGAGAGTAACGAAACACTTGCTAAAAAAATGTTACACAGCTTTCAACAAATTTTGACTTTTTCTAGCGGGAGGGTGAAATTGTAAATTACGCGTAAGTAATTAGGGTTCGATTGTGGCTCGGCTCGGCATTGTCCCCGAACTCGAGACTCGGTTCGGGCCGGGGTGTCGCTGTTGCCAGTGTTTGCAAGAAATACCCGCGGCTCAGGGATCATCGTTCGTGGGCCCTAGTATAGTGGCCAATTCCTATGGTAATTTTCTCAACTTCGATGGGTTTCTTTTCCAGGTTCTACCGAACTTTTTTATTTTTTCCCATTTTTTTGTTTGATTTTATTTCTAAAATCCGTGTGAAGAAGTTTCATGTGGACGCTATTTATTTGATTCTTGGTAAAATTTTTAAATCGAAAAAAAATTTTAATTGAAATCAAAATTTAATTTTTTTTTTAAATTTTAATCTTTTAATCTTATTCTTAATTCGTTCGAATCGACACCGGTCTTTTAATAATTTGCCAATGATCGAATTGGTGTAGATCGGTTCACAGCGATATGGATTCACGATTTTCTTTTTCGATCGACTCATGTCGATCGAACCCATTACACCCTTTTTTTTTAGGAAATCTCTCTGATGTGGCCTTCGATGTACTTACTTTCCTACGAGAGCTCGAGTGATAACTTTGGTAACCTTGGAGCCATGCACCCGTGCTAAAGAAGAACGCCGTATGAACATTCGAGAGTTGCCACATTTTCTTCTATACAACGTTCATTTCTGAAGCAAGTAATGAATATTTTTCCTTGATATTTTCAGGATCTTTGGGTAAAATTGCGCACAAAACTTTCTGAAAAATTAGAAGGAAAATATTCATAATTTTACCAGAAAATTCGTGTTTTAATAAAAGAAATTTGGCAACGCCTGGAGGCGCTTACGGCGTTTTTCCTTAGCACGGTAGCATGCGTCAGCCACTTCATTAAGATGCTTCTGGCCTATACGCTTTGGCTCACAGTCAGACTTGAGGAGCGGATTGCAGAGGCGTGTATGCACTGCTCGCCTCGTTACATAACCCCTGGCTCGCATGACCACGTTGTCGCTCAATTAAGAATTATGATATTTGTTCCATGAGTAATGATGCACTTCGGTTCCCAACGAAACGTCGCGTCGCATCACGGCGAGGGTTTACACGCTCCGAGCTTGCTTGACGGCGTGAAAAAATCGCACACATTACATTGAGTCTTACGGGGAAAAATGCTGAGTTTTCAGTACAGTTTGGCAACTATACATATCCGGCCGCGGTCGTCAAAATCACAACGCAAGCCTGCGAACGGATGCAGCTTCGTAGCCAAAGGATCAGGGATATCTGCATTGCCCGGCGAGACTCTAGCTTGGGCAAAAGTTTGAATTAAAAAATTCGGATATGTTCTGAGCGAGTTTAAATTAACTTATCGGAGACGCAAGTCACGTACTCGACGGCGATGCGGCGTATGGAGTATGCGAGGTGGATGCAGTTGTATGCAGTTGAGTGTAGCGGAATTGTGGGCAATGAGAAAGACGTACTCGTTTTCACGAGAATACGGCTCTCTTTGACAGTTTCTTCTTGCGCTGAGGAAAATACTCGTGCGTAAAGAAAGCTGTTTATTACGGCGAGTATTTTAGTTGTAACAATGTGTCACTCAATAAAATTTGTCGGCGACCCACGCAAACAATAGTTCAAAATACGTGTTTCCAGACTCATTTGCGCCATGGACTTACGAAAAGGGGGGATCTGGCCCGACCCCCCGCCCCTCTGGATGGAGAGGGATTCCATGCCCCCCCCCCCAGGCTCCCGGTGGTAGGGGTACCCGGCACCAGGCCCCTCCTTAAAAAATCAATAAAAAATGACCTACGTATGAGTATGATTTGCGTTTAGATTTCCTCGCTAATCGTCACGCCAATCTACGCACAAAGGAGTCTAAAAGTATGTTTTTGAATGCGTGTCACGACAAAAATAATTTCATTCGACGTCATTACAGCTTATATAAACAAACGATCAAAACAAGCATTTTATCGAATGTCTGGACGGATATTCAAAGTGGCCAAACTAAAACAAATTTCCATATACGTATTTAGAGATTTGATGATAGAGCACAAACTGCTCATACTTTAATACATTTTTGAACCAATGAAATAAGCTTAATAAATAGATCACGATTCCATACCTGAACCGCCAGTGATACTTTTCTCCTTTCTCCACCAGACAGGAACCGAAGTTGAGAGTGCATGCACTTTCTTAGTCCAAAATCTAAAATTAAATTGTTGATGATCCTATTCCTTTGGTTTTCTGACACTCTAACGTCCATTCTCAGACATCCCTGCAACCAAATCCATCGCCGGTTGAGCCATCGAAAATTATTCATGGAAAACTTACGATGAGAATTTTTGATGTGAGTAATAATCTTGATGTGGGGAATGGTATGAAATAAAATTACGAGCATCCATTAACCAAGAATGCAGTTTGCTAGTTCATCTCAATTTTTTGTTCAAAAATTACCAAAAATTGAGTTTTTCAGCTTAAAAATGTCATAATTTTTCAGGAGTAGACCTACCCCCTTAGATACAAGTCTTTAGGGGGGGGGGGTCAACTGAATCAAATTAGGACCGCTGATTATTGGAATTGATAGACATAGGTTTGTGCACAGACGACAAATGGGAAACGGAGCGATTCCATAGGTCGAAACAGGTGGTTGCTAGAATAAGTGGAAAAATGATGGACTTCAATGATAAAGTATAGGGTCCTTCATGGATTGTCGTTGGATAGTCTATTACTTATAGCTCCTTATTGTCCATTGCCACCACTCGTCTCCACCGGCTGGCTTCATTTGGGTTTTGACCTTTTTTCCCATCGGTTTGTCCATCAATTTAAATAATGAGCCGCCAGACCCCCGTCTGCAAAGCTACCACTCTCTAAGGGGGATTGACTGAATAAAGTGGAGCTCTTGCATTTGTCAGGAATGTGCAATTTAACTACGGTTTCCAATGTAAAATTTCGCGAGAAATACAATGGTGTCACTAGTTTTCTAAAGAAAAAACTCCAAAACTCAAAAAAAAGCTCTCAAAGTTAAGGCCGTAATGGAGGCGTATCCCACGCTATCCTGAGAGTCCACCTCTGTAAGTCAAACTCTCTATGCGGAGATAGGGAGTAAATGCATGAACAGGGTTACCACTTTGTTTGGGGCCTCCTTATAACTGAAAACATGGCAACCTTACTGATGTATTCGCTCCCTATCTTTGCATGGAGAGTTTGACTCAATATAGAGACTGGACCCTCCAGTGGACCCTCAGAATTGTATGGATATCTCATCTCCTCCATTGCGGCCGCAACTTTGAGCTTTGGAGTTTCTTTTAGAGAAAACCAGTGGCGCCATCGTGTGCCTCACGAAATTGTGCATCGTAGTAGGTGCTTGAATCGCACATCCCCTCACACATGCAAGAGCTCCATTGGCGCTGGGGCCTAGCGGTCCGATTACTGAAAATGATAGACAAAGTTATAGACAAATATGACAAAAGGAATATGGAGGGATCCTATTGGTGGAAGCGGGTGGTTATGCAATGGAGAAAGGAGGTAGACTTACTGACGGCAACCCACACGGAGAGAAAAACTTCGTGCATGGGACCCGAAGTTGAGGTCATATGGATCTCTGAAGTTTTCGGATCACGTATCTAAAAACTTGAGGTCCAGCTGCCGAAGTTCGGGTCAGACATCTGATGTACTTCAATATGTACCGAAGGGTTCGGGTCACACATCTGAAGCACTCCGGTACATACCGAAATGCCTCGATGTCTGACCCGAACTTCGACAGCTCGACCTCAAGTTTTCGGATGCGTGATCATAAAACTTCAGAGATCCATATGACCTCAACTTCGGGTCCCATGCACGAAGTTTTTTTCTCCGTGCACCAAAGACTCTATAATTAGTCCATCATTTTCTCCCTCAGTCTCTATGAACCACAAATTTTGACCAATAGGGTCGCTGGTCGCTCCGTACTTCCCACATCTCCTTCGTCTATAGCTCTGCCCATCAATTTCAATAATCAGCCCGCTGGGCTTGAATGAGGGGGGGGGGGGTCCCGAGTGTGCCCTGCGGGTGAGAAAAGGTGAGGAATGGTGAGAGGCTGGCAGAACGTACCGGAGTAACGTACCATGAACTGCAAATGCTCGAGGACGGTGAGGTTCTCGACGGTGAGGTCGGTCTGTGGCATGAATCCTGAAATCCGAAGCATGAGCTCGGGCTCGACTGGTCGACCGTTGAGCAGGATCTCACCCCGCCGCTCGTTCGCCGATGATCGCCCACTCACCGTTGAGAGCAGCGTTGTTTTCCCCGCACCGCTGTAACACAGTCACACACAGAAAAACTTGTTATAGGTTTTTTTGCAATTCTAGCAGTTTAGAGAGTAGATACGGAAAAAAACAACTAAGCGCTGAGCACTAGCACTATAAGTAAAATAGCACCAACTGCAGCAGGGATAGCGAAGAGAGTATAGTAAGCCGTTAACGGTAAACCTAAAACCTGCCTCTTTTTATGGGATAATAACCCTTAAAGAAAAGTCCGGAAAATTTTTTGTAAACTAAGGGCGCTCTCATACATTTCAAAAATACGAGAAGTAAAAAGTATTTGAAGCAGTTGATAACCGATAATTTTCAGAGATTTTGAGTTTGCCGATAGTGTTCACATTTTTCAGGTTGAATCTGAGACTCCAACTTAGGTCCGAATGAAAAGAAATTGCCATTTTTTTCCCTTCTTTTTTCACATGTCCTTTTATATATTGAGCCTATATCAATGAAAATCAGTAATTAGCAGTGTTAAAAGTCTCATTTTTTACCAGAAAAGTGTACTCTTGGCATTATCTTGATCAGTGTTTGAAACTCACAGGCACCAACGCGCCAAATGCGCCTAAGAAATCGGCCATGGCGCCTAAAAAATGAATGCTCTGCGCCAACGTGGCCCCTAAAAATTTCCCCCTAGACATCTGAATTTTCATATTAGGTGACCATTCGAAATTTTCAGCACCACGAGTGAAAGCTTTTTCTATTCTTCACCATTTCATTATTTGTGCTTTTGTCTTCCCCAAGTTACAGCTACTTACTAGTTCTGTTACGAAAACATCTTGCGTCTAACTTTTCACCAAATGCGCCGTAATATATAGGCAAAAAGTCAATTTGGCCCTTAAAAAATCTTCTCCTAAAAATCGGCCTTGATGCGCCACATGGCTCCTAAAACTCAAACGTGAGTTTCGAACACTGATCTTGATCCAAAATTAATCTGTATTCCTCTATGCGATTAAGCCTTATTTTTCCGGCAATGGGTGAGGAAGAATGCTCCGCAGGATCTGATATTTCAGCTGCAAAATCTGCACCACGGTTGTTAAATGAAAACGTGGTGACAAGCCGCAGAAAACCAAAGCACAAAAGAGCCCCTATAAGGAAAATGTCTACCTTAATGAGAAAAATATATTCATGGGGCGGCGCGGAGAAGACAGATAGGCATTAAGAATTTCAGACATGGAGAGCACTCGACGGTGCATGACACGGTGGAAACAGTGGCGAGGCGTGAATTGCGATATATCGATTGTTATGCCATTTAAACCTATGGTAAAGAATCGAATATTAAGGTGTTCGCTGCGAACACCCTGTTTATCGATCCTTTTCCAGAGGTTTAAATGGCATAACAATCGATATATCGCAATTCACGCCACACCACTGGGTGGAAACGAACATTTGCGGGGCTGAGCAGGAAAACGGTTCACTTATATGCTTTTGAAATAAATAAAAAAATAAATAAATGAAAATAATTTTGTTTGCCTGGGTAGGTCGGTTTCGGATTGCCGCGCCTTAATATTTAACTGGGGCTAGGTAGCGTTGCATTCTTATTTTAAAAAGTCGTCATTTTGTATTTATTTCCAGGAATACTCGTAAAAGAAATAATTGCTCAACATTTCAGTCCAACGCGCATTTAAAGAATGATCATGGAAGTTGTCAAATTAGGCTACATAAATTAACATTCGATTTGAAGGATTACGTTTTTATACTTAAAGATATCGCATTCCATTCCGAATTTTTACTCTTTCATACTATAAGCACGAGGTAATAACGCTGCAGGAAAGCAATGAACGGGTAAGAGATTCGAAACACAGTTTTTGGCCAGGTAGGTAGTCTAATTTTATTATCTCCTAGTTAGTACGTTGATGCGAGGCAAACGTATCTTTTTTGGCGAGAAAAAAACAGTGAACACTTTTAGGTGTGTATGCAAAGTAACCTTCCGATGAATACAGAAGCTAATATCATTTTCGTACCTAATTTCAGGTCGAACGAGGCTCAATTTTGAAATTTACGTCAATTCTCATGGGTTATAACAAAGTTTTAGCTAATGGTGTGGAATTGAAAACTAAAATTTCAGTGTCAATTGTTTGCAAAGTTTGCTTTATGGTGCAACTTCGTTCAAGATCCTGGTAAAAATTGGCGATAGGACCTACGTTTCAAAATACCATATAAGTTCTTACAGCCGACTGAAAAAGGCTATAGTAAATCATACAGCTGGCGGTAGAAACTGGAAAAAATCATACGGCCGTACTACCCAAAGCGATAAAAAATTATACATCCGGGCTATAGTTCCTATCGCCGGGCTTTACACTTCATCGCCGGGCTTTACACTTCATCGCCGGGCTTTACACTTCATCGCCTGGCTGTTGCTTTTTCGCCATCGGCTATAAAGGGCTATAAGAAATTGTGTGAAATTTGTGTGCTTTGGAAATCATTGAGTTTGATACGGAACCACCTTAATATGTACAAAACACACACTATATTTTCCTTTAATACATATTTTTTTTTCATCAATTAAAATGAGAATAATCCATACAGAGTGTGCAAACATTTCAAAGTTGAAGTTTTTCATGAGTTGAAAAATGCTGAATCTACCAGATTAAATATAAGAGCTTAACACAAAGCGGAGCGGCGGCGCACCGGCGCCTACAAACCTAACAGGGATACTTCACGCATTGCGCAATGCGTGAAGTATCCCTGTTAGGTTTGTAGGCGCCAATGCGCGTTCAGCGCTGGCTGCTTGCCCGCCGCGCCGCGCCGCAGCGTACCACGGCGCTTGAAGCAACTATTTCACACCAGAGGTATTGCACAGTATCATACGAAATTGAAGGCGCTCCAACATCTTAGGAATGGCAGGCATCCTTCAAAAGTACGGAGCTTTCCTCGCAAAATAAATCAAGATACTGCGGCCCAAAAAGAGAGCGGTAGTAAAAAACTCACTAAGTCCTAGCATCCGTAATTAGTAACGTTTAGCATACACTTTATCGCCAGGCTGTTGCTTAATCGCCATCGGCTATAAAAGGCCATAAGAAATTGTGTTGCCGGCTGTAGAAGCTATTGGAAATCTTACAGCCGGCTGTAGGTCTATGGTATTTTGGAACACAGATTCTACTGCCAATTTTTATCAGGGGAGTAACAATTCCTCGGTTTTTTCAAAAAAGTCCCTTACTTACTTCCTTCGTTTTGGGGGCTTCGATCGTAGAGCTGATAAAAAATTAGGTTGGAAAAAAAAGTTTGTTACAATATCTGTGTTGAATTCTGTTATTCCAGCCCCAGTTAGTTGATTGCATGGCCATTAATCAAGTTCATTAGTCTATGATCTATTAAAGGTGATTATCAAGTTATGTGCTGACCGATGTGAGATTGCTTACGCTCATGATGCGTATTGTCACTCGGTTGAAGAAAGGACGCGATCATATTTTCAAGTGAGCCTAGGATAGCATAGAGCTGCACGAATGGGAGGTATCACTTCCAAGTTTAATTGCATCAGTTCCAACAGATAGGTCGAAATTACGCTTCAACTGTTAGCAGATGAAAGTACGTGAGCTCTAAGAAATGCATACTGAGTTCAAAGATTCATCTAAGGATGCAAAACATTATGGATCCTTCTGTTATAGAAACCAATTAAAAACAAAACAAATATGGACGTACGAAATTGTGGTGAAACAGACCTGGCTCCCATGATGACAGTCAAAGATCCAGCTCTCGCATATCCACTAACTGGAAAAAACATAAACATAAGGGTGTACAGATAACGTTATAACTGGAAATTTTCTGATTTATCTATTGTTTACTTGAAAAATTTCAATTATATGCAGGTTTGGTTGAAGATTGAGAAGGTCTTTCCGTAATTTTTTTCTGTGGACAGCTCCTATACGAAAAATGGGGGATGTTCTCCGGCCAAAGGGGACACTTTTACGGCCTTTACATTTTTTTGAAAGCCCATGGAGGTAGGAGGGAGGGGAGAGGTTAAATACAGACTGGAATCTTTTTAAGAGACCGCCTTCATCTTGTGATGTATACTTTAAAAGGGTATGATTACAAAAGAAAGTGAAAAAGAAAGTATTTAGCACAAATTTTAAAACAGCTTCCAGTCTAAATGTTTTCGAATTTTTAGATCGACAACACAGACGAAACTCTGGTTTTTGCTTGAATTTGTTTCCTTTCATTCCAATAAAATAACCGCTTAGAGGGAGTTGCAAAAAAAATTTAGAGCTCTCCTCAGCCGCCTAACATGTAGTAACCCCCACCTCTCCCAGGCCACTTTCTAACAGATTTCTAGACAAGGTCAATTAAAGTAGCGTCTCATTAATTTATATTACATGGCTGATTTTTGAAATCTTGTGTTTGTCTACTAGACAAGACAAAGATGTTATTGTTGAATGAGATCGGTTTGACTCATTAAGTTGTGCTCAACGTAAAAAATGCATTGCGAGTTCCGGTTTTGGTTTTGAAAATTTAATACTTAGGAGATATAATAGGCGTTTACACAACATTAAAAAATAACTCTCAACTCCGATCAATTGCTCACATCACCTGAGATCCACGGAAAATTTTGTAAGCAAAAATCACCCCAATGAGAGTGAAAAAAAATGTAGATTACCTGAATTAAGAAGACGAGTTCTTTGTACTTTTTGTTGTTTAAAAAGTCCGTCCGCTACCTTTCTATTCGACCACACGCTGAGGTCCTTCCACGATATACCCACATCCTCTTGGAGATGTAAAGTCGTCCTGAAAACACATCATAAATGCAATATTTTGAGATACGCCCATTTGAACTTAGATTTTAATTAATTTTCAAATATCAAAAGTAAATTAAATAAAAGCAACTAAAGCATTAAAAGAAACTGAATCATATACCTGCTTTTGAAAAAGGTAATATTATAGTCCCTCCTAACGCTAGACTCTACGGACGAAATTAGTGCTCTATACCAACTCACATTGTATTATCGACTAAATTTGGTGTAAGGCGCCGATACAGCTAGTAAGCAAAAGTGATAAGTATAGGCACTGTCGGTATGCAGCACACAGTTTGTTAGCCGAGTTAAAATCAGATGTATCATTGGTACGGACCGACTCTTTTTCGAAGTATAATTATAGAGGAAGAATTAAGAATGCGATTGAATGTATGTTGAGCGGCACGATACCCATTATTGGCGGCACCGGCCTTTGCTTTTAACAAAAAGCAACAGCCGGTTGGAGCAGCAACGCTATAATAGGCGTTGGTAAATCTGGATTCAAATAAAATAAACCGGACGAAGAAATAAAGTCTTAGTGAATCCAATCAGTCGTTGACCCAACGGACTTTATGATACAGTTGTTTGGAAGCGACTCACGCGATGTTGAAGCTTTCTTCATCAGCGAGCAACTATTTTAACTCCCCAGAAATCGAATTGCATATCCTACAAAATGAAGGAATTTTGAACTGACGACGCGGCAATTTGTGTTCTTGGGCACCGCCGCAAAGTGGATCGGGTCAATTAGAGAGGTCGGACATGAAATTTTTGACTAAAACTGCAAATTTTGATGCTTATTTTACATTAAGAGGGGTGGTTCTAGAAGAAAATTTCACGAGAACATCAATGGAACCATTTTCAGAACCTCAAAGTTTTGCACAGACGGAGTTGTAAGCGTTTAAAGTTGCTAAATTTTGTTCGACCTCCCCTCAATAGGAGGTGTAAGGTGTAAGGTGTAAGGAGGAGCACGGTGTAAGTTTTGCTGTAAGTTCACTTTCACCTTGAGCCACTATCTCTACTCCAAAGAGATCAAATTGCATATCCAACGAAATGTAGGAGTTGGAGAAGAATTTACTGTTTAGCGGCCCAACGCCTTTCGGACGGGTAAGTTTCTGTTTAGAATGATACCGACGAATTGCTTCCTTTCTTTTGTACTTCAAAGTTTGTCAAATTTTTTAACTTTGCGGGTCGAGTTGAAAAAGGGATGAAGTTTAAATGTGCCGCAAAAGGCCTTTTTCAGTCAACAGTGCTAAATTTTTTGTAATACTACCAAGAACACCGGTCTAAATCTTTGAGCCATTATTTGCATTACCACGTATGTTATATGCGTTAGAGGGGAACTCTCTTAGATTGCCAAAAGCACTAAACTTTAAAAACTTTAACAGCGATTTTCTTAAATTTACTGTTTTTTCATGTTCTATGAGGGGTTACTTAAGTTACTTCAAGTCAGAATGTCAGAATTTGTTTTAAAACATTTCAATTACGTGACTAATGCGGAAAAAGCTCCCTCATTTCATAGGAAGCGTGTTTGTGTTTACCTTCTGTATAGTAGACATCAACCCCTCATATAACTTTTTTGACGTTCTTTGGCATATATAATGGGAGGGCAAAGGTGCTCAAGTCATCATAAGAGTCGGGCTCGTGATGTAATACAAGTAGATGCGCGCAGAACCCGTAAGTAATTACTGCAAAACTTGTTCCCAGCATAATTGTGGAAGTATCAATTAGTTACCGATGAGCGACAGCTCGCATGCTCCCTCCAACCACTCGCACTAGTCAGATTTCGCTCTGAGAGAAAATTCACTGCGAGCAGAAAAAGTGGCGTGGAGTGTTTTGCGATGTATCGATTGATCTGCCGTTTAAAACTATGGAATACGATCGATAAACAGGGTGTTCGCACGAACACCTTGGTAGTCGATACTTTGCATAGCTTCAAAAGGGAAAATATCGATAGTCGATTGCTACGCCTCGGCCACTGGTGAGAAATATTCAACTCAACATAGATTAAGCACATACAATCATACAAAGAATGACTTTTTATTTGTACCTTTTTAATACATTATTTTAATATTATTTTATTTTTTTTTCAAAAATAGTGTGGAGACAGATGGTTGTTTGAAAAATTGCAATGTGTTTAACAAATACCATGTAAACAGTGCTCGTGATCCTTTGACCCTTACTTCGTCTGTACACTACTTGTTCAACAGATAGCAGTTATAACGTTCGAATCACTGAATTAGTCTTGAAAAAAAAAGGGGGGGGGGGTGCTTCACTACCATGCACGGGTTTACGTTGACTAGCCGAGGAACTGCGACGATCTGGCAACACGTAATCAAACGTCTGATTAAGACTTCAACATGACAGATGAAGCCACTTTGCTAAGCTGATTCGTTTTACCAACGACAGAGCTGCGTAAATACGATCTAATATCCTACAACCATTGATATTTTATATTTTTACTGACGATGAAATTTAACACAAAAATTATATTCAGCTTCAGGACACAGATGTGATTCGTCATTCAGTTTAGGGACTGTCCATACGTTACGTAACGCTTACTTGTGCTTTTTGAACATCCTCATTCCTGTGTGGCTCTTTATGCCTAAAAATTACGTAACGCTTGACACATACCTACACGAGGCAGAAATAACTTCATTTACAAGGATCGAACCGCGGTTCAGATGGAACGCAAAAGTTTGGTTACGTATCGAAATTTTTGTTCGTAGAAACTGAACTTCGGTTAACAGATAGGTAATCGAAGTCATTGCTAAAGAATGCAAATCCTAGTATTGCTGAGTAAGACTTCAATTACCTGTATCTCCAGGAAATTTCAGTCACCTGAAACGGAAAATTTGGTGCGAACCAAAGTTTCCCTGTTCATATGAACCGCGTTTAGCCGAATAAAGGAACCAAGCCACATCAGTTATTGGCAAATTTAATTGGGCAATTAAACGTTTCGTACGGAGACGGTTGTGCGGATTTTTGTGCGAATTTCAGTGAATTTTTTGCGTGGCACGAAGCAAATTCCTTACCATTCTTAAAGGAATCCGCACAAAAAAAATTTCAAAACTCTCTGGTAAAATATTGATTTGCCCAGTTAAATATGGCGATAGCTGATATGGCTTGGCTTAATTTGGCTTTGGTCATCAAAATATAGCCGAGGGTGGTTTCCCGGCGATAAATTTTCTTAACGCAATAACAAAATCTACTACTACCACTAAGTCACCCTTATAGCGCTTCTGTCCGCTCCGTGACACCCAACCGCCACTGATAGCGATCCTGCCTGAGTTCCTCCGGCAGATCGCATCTCCTCATTTCCTGCCTTATACCCTCAATCCACGATTTAGCAGGGCGTCCTTTACGTTTTCTGCCACGGGGGACCCAATCTAGAACCTGCTTAGTAACAGAATCTGACTTTTTTATTCGGTGGTCACTGACATCTCATGGAACGGAACGTGATCTGTCATTCGGATCAGCTACATATGTGAATCGGTCTGAGTTAAGATGGATTGGCCTGAAAGCGCGCTAAATAACGTAATTGAGACACATCGGGGTACTTAAGGATTAAACTGTTCAAACCGGGATGGATCTAAGTGCACTATACTTCATCAAAACCACCGAAGCATTGGCGGATCCAGCAAATTGGCAACATTGTTTTTCTCCATTTAAACCTATGGTAATGTATCGATTCTTGGAGGGGCCAGGTGCTCTGACAAGAATCGATTATTTAACGTAACATGTTTAAACGGAGGGAAATCCGGTGTTACCAAATTGCTGGATCCGCCTCTGCACCGAAGACGACGCGACGGACGTAAAAATAGAGACGTGACGCCCTGTGACGCTTTGTAACATTGGCGTTGGCTCCCATCATGCGTAACGTTAAGTTACGTTATTACGGATACTCCTTAGTTTTCTCTTAAGCGCCCAGACCACGTCCAAACTAGGGGCTTCTAAGAGGCTCATCGATGGAACTGTTGACTGTTGCCTTTCAAAGAATTTGATCCAATTCTTCATATTTGATTTTGTTAAAGAAAACAATTCAGATGCCAAATGACCACCTCAGTGATAGTTAAATAATAATGCGGTTTTAAATCACCCATAATGCATCGAAGCTGGACTTTCAAGAGTATTCATTTTAATGTTCTTCTCAAAGTCTAACAATCAACACTTTTTTTTTTACAATATCAGCTATAGCCAATATACTGAATTAAAAAAAATATTTTGCGCGTTTTATATTACGGCATTAAATTCACGAGGTCGAGGACAAATAATTTTGGAGGAGACAATTTTTCGCTGAAAGAGCTAGCTGTTGAGGATCTGAACTGTCAGTTCATTTGGCTCAGACGAAACCTGTTTCCTTTATTAATTAATACATGCTCCAACGCTGGCACAGCCATTCGTCAACGTCACCTCTGCACGTTTTTTTAACATAAACACCAGTGTATTATCATTATTCTGCAAGTCTCCCCGAGCGGTATTAACTTCCAAACGTCTATCCTCTCTCAGAATCATGGAACGGTTCTCTTGTGGTGGCGGCACCGGGCAGCGTGTAATCCGAAGAGAAAATCAGGTATGTCTCAGTGGCGTGGCGTGCTTTGCGATATATAGATTGATACGCCACTCAAACCTATGAAAAAAGATCGATTATTAGGGCGTTCGCTACGAACACCTTAGTAATCGATTCTTTACCATAGCTTCAAATGGCGAGATATTGATAATCGATCATTCACGCCACGCCACTGGTATGTCTTCGATAAGGCCGCGGACAACTATCAACATAATGTACACATTTGAATCGACTTCCAAAAGGCTGATTGTTGAAATCGTGTAATCTCCTGTAATCTCCTCCTGTATTCTTTGTCTATCATTTTCAACAATCAGCCTGCAGGTGGCGACTCCACCTGATGAAGTTTAGATTAATGTCTACTGACATGTATATGATAAACAGAGCCGGATTTACCTGTATGCCGCCCATGGGCCGCCTGTATTTTTCCG